AAAAGGGTTGTACAGGCAGAGTAGAGGAGACTATATGCAATGTGCGATTTACGATGTGCTTTTGGGTAGAGTAGAGTAGAGTAGACAAAGTGGGGGAAAGGAAAGGGGGGGAGGGGGAAAATGGGAGAGCGAAGAGGGGAGGGGTAGTATAAAAGTCCATAGTATAGTAGAAGAGAAAAAACAAAGTCCATGTGGGTATGAAGATCGTCGGGTAGCAAGAGACATTTTGTGCCTCACTATGCCATGCGATGTGCTCTAGGCGATTCGCTCTCGCTCCTGCACAGGTCTAAGCCAGATCAATCCCGGCTTAGACCGGTCGCGCATGACCGCAAAGGGGTACTGTACCTGCACCGTCCTACCCTCTCGATCCTTGACAGCAGGATTCCTCAAAAGGGCCAAAGCCGAATCCCTCGTCTTTGCCGGTCCGCCTGCATCCGCCCCTTGGCCCAGGACAGCAGCGAGGATCTTAGCCTTGGCTTGCGGGGTGGCCAGAGGTCCAGCACAGCGCAGCACGAGGTCTTTTGCGTGCTCCGAGGTGCCTTCCGTCTCGAAGAACAGCTTGCCCTCCCATCCTTCGTCGACGCACTGGAAGCCTTCTTCGCTAATGATTTGACTCGCCTTGACGTTGGCCGTTGTGCGGTAGAGCCATTTGGCGATACGGTAGCGGAGACCATTTGGGGCAGTCGTCTCGACTTGATCTTGTACTAGACGGAGAGAGGAGATGATCTGCTCGCGCCAGGGAAGGATATCGAGGTAGAGGATGGGCGAAGCAGTCGAAGACTTGATGACGTTGTGATAGTATGCTGGTGGATAGAGGAGGAGATTGAGCCAGCTAGGGATATGTCCGATGGGATCAAAGGCAAAGGACAGGTCGCGCAGGAACCTCCCGTCAAAGATGAGCTTGCCGACGTTGCCCTCGTCGACCATGGCAGTGTTGCGAATGATGTCCCCGCGCCTGAGCAGAGGCCAGACCGACGCAAGGAAGAGCTCCCTCTCGCACTTGGCAATCTCCTCGTCGCTGAGCCAGACTCTGTCGCGACATGGGACCCAGACCCGATACACAGCTACCCGACCCGGTTTCCACGGGGAGGCTATGGCAGGTCCAGGCAATCCAACTGGCTGCTGTTGAGTAGACAGGCTTGCTGCTGGAGAGATTCGGCCATTCGCGCTGAGTGTAGGACTGAACATGTTCATGCTCATCAGAGGGCTTGACGCCAGTCCAGTAGGTGCCTTGCCAGCTGTAGGCGACGAAGCTCCAGAAACTGAATGAATAGAGCCTGCTGATGATGCTGGAGGTTGAGACGGAGGAGGCGAGGGCACTTTATATGAGGGTTGAAGCCTGAGTCGAGTCAAGACGCGCGAGTAGGCTCTCGTCGTGGCTCTGGCTAATCGTGGTACCCGTGCGTCCATCTCATGCGGAAGGCTGAGCCAGTCCGCGCCTACAAGTGCATACTCCGGGAAGACCTCTGTGGCAAGGAAAAATCCTTCCACATCTTGGAATGTGATCGGGAGAGGATCTCGCTCTGGCAGCGCAGGGAGCTTCGGGGGCGGCGCAGACGATGCAGAAGACGCAGCGGACACGTCTGAGCTTGTCCTAGTGTGCGTGGTCTTGATATCTTGCCACGTTTGATAGCCGACTGGGTAAAGGAATCGTCGCAGGATCACTTCGCGGCTAGCGTCAGTATCGAGAGCAGTTCGCACTTCGGAACACGTCTGTCGGAGCGCTTTGACATCGGCGCAGTCGAGATGAGAAACGATGCGCTCAAGGACATCCGGTGTGGTCTTGGAGAAGAGTGGGCCAAAGAGATCAAAGACGAGCTCCTCCCTCGTGAAAGGCTCCCAGACTTCCTCAAATTCAGAGGGATCGGCAAGCGCATCGAAGATGGCATCGTAGTCTCGGATCCGCTTTTCGCCAGTCTCGGGGTCCCTAAAGAATCTCTTTCGGACGAGGCGGGTGTCTTGTATCTCAACCACCTTGTAGTGAGAGGTGATGAGGTCAGGATCTCCATACCCGTGACTCTGCCAACCTTCGCTGAGCCTAGGCTTGGTTGGATCGCTAACATCTGCAAGAGCTACAGAGAAAGCAACATTTGCAAGGGTGGCAGGGTTGTAGTCCGGAAGAGCGTTCTCTCCAATAATCCCTGCATCCCACGGAACGCGGACCGCCGGAGCAAAATCGCGGCCGGACTTGGCAGCAGCAGATTGTGGGGCACTGCGGGCACCGACTGTCAGAGCAGAGATGAAGCGCAAATGATTACGTTTCCTTCTCGTGATTGGAGCGGGAGGTGGAACAGGAGCTTGGATGCCCTGGTTCTCCCCCGGCTGCTGGAAGCGTACCATCGGCGCACCATTCGCTGCTTCGACAGGGGCAGGATGCGGCAAGCCAGACATGGCTCCGGCAGGGCCATTGTTGCGAGTGTGGTCGCCGTTCTGGAATCCAGCTTGCGGCCCCTGACCATTCGGAGCAGCGTGTCCGTTCTGAGGGCCAAAAGGTTGTCCCTCGCGAGTGAAAATCTGCGGCATCCGGTTCTGTCCTATCACGCCGTGATCCGGGCTGCCTCCGGTGCCCATAGCCTTTTGTTGGTGTTCTCCATGACCTCCGGTACTCGGAAGGCTGACGCCAGAGTCCGATGAGTAGTATTCGTGAGAACCATGTCCTCTGTCTTGCTGCTGCGTCTCCAACCAAGCCATATGCCTTTGATAGTCCTGCAGCGCTCTCTCGTAATCTTGACGAGCTCTTTCATAATGCTGTTGAGCCATAGCTGCCTCATGACGACCTCGATCGACATTTTCCTTGTCTTCCCTTTCGATATTTGCGTGACCGTCTGCAATAGCTCGAATGTAGTCCTGCTTTGCCTTTTCGATGCGTCTCTTTTCATCTTCGATGGCCTTGAGTCGAGCCTTCTCAGCGTCTTCAATTGCTTTGAGTCGAGCCTTCTCAGCATCCTCGATGGCCTTGATCTTTGCCAGTCTGGCCTCTTCGATCGCTCGCAGCCGTGCTTCTTCCGCCTCTTTAGCGGCCCGGATGCGAGCCTGTTCGGCATCCTTTTCGGCCTTGATCCTTGCCTGCTCGGCAGCAATGCGCCGCCTCTCAGCTTCTTGCTGAGCCCGTATCCGGGCTTGTTCTGCCTCTTTCTCGGCCTGGATACGAGCCTTCTCTGCCTCGGCTCTTCTCCGTGCTGCCTCCTCCTCAGCCTTAATGCGAGCTGCTTCTGCAACCTCGAATTGGCGCCTAGCCTCTGCAGCCCTTTCCAATCGCTGTCTTTCCTCCATCTGGCGACGTCTGGCAACTTCCTCTGCCCATCGAGCTGCATCCTCACGACGCCGTCGCTCTTCGTCCTCTTGCCTTTGACGCTCCATCTCCCTTCGTCTGGCTTCTTCCTCCTTCTTACGCGCCTGCTTTTCCTGCCATCTCCTTTCTTGCTCCCTCAACCTTTCAGCTTCTGCCTCGCGCTCCTGGCGCTCGCGTTCGACTCTTGCAGCTGCGATGGCTCTTTTCCTGTCTTCCTCTTCTTCCTGCCGCTTTCGAGCTATGTCTTCTGCGCGTTTTCGAGCAGCGATGGCTTCCTGTCTCTCCATCTCCTCGAACTCAGCTCTCCTGCGAGAAGACTCTTCTTCCGCCTGCTTCGCCTTGACCTCGTAGCGCTCCTTGCGATCGGCAGCGTGTTGTCGCTCTCGAGCTTCTTCCCATTCCCGTGCCCTTCGTTGATCATCAGTCTCGTTCGCCCGAGCAATCCACTGAGTGACACCTTCGGTACGCGGAGGGGGATGAACGCTTGGCGGGGAGGCATAATAATCTGCAGAAGAACGATGAGAGGGCGCCCTCGGCTGCGGAGACGGTCTTGAACGGTGCGGAGAGGCTGGAGGGCTCGACATACCATAAGGTGGCCGAGGCATGTCCACAGGTGAGCCGTATGGATCTTGGCTCCTTGACTTAGCCATGTAAGCTCGACCGGAGTCGGAGCCATTGACGGCGTCCCCTGGACGGAAGTAGCCTCCACTGCTAGCAGTGGCAGCAGGGGATCGCCGGGAGTATGAAGACTGCTGAGGAGCAGAGGACAGAGAATTCGAGGAGTGATTTGGGGGGGTAGCTGCTGGCGAGGAACCTGGGTATGTGGGCGCGCGCGTAGAAGCTGACGCAGGAGGAGGCTGGTACGGACGAGGAGAATTGCGGTGGTTGCCCTTGACATTAACGTACTCGCCAGCTTGTGATGACCAGTCTCGCTCGTCCATCTCTTGGGACGGACTGGAAGTCATCGGGACGCCTCCAACCCCGGCCATCATCTTCTCCACGTCGAAACCAGAGAGTCTCAAGTTGGGCAAACCAGGTGTAGAAGAGGAAGGATTCATCTTGGACGATGAGGGCCCTGCACGCTGGCTGTAGTTAGAGCCAGGATATGCGGGAGTGTCATAAAATGATGCAGGAGACGCGCCAGCGCGAGCCTCCTCGGCGAGGTCCCTGTTTGACTTGCGGTGGTAGACGCCGACCATGGCGCGCCGCTGAAAGTGGGGTAGACAGAATGGGTATACAGTCCGGGAAGGTGGCTTGCTCCTGTCAAGGAGTTGTTGTGGTCGAACGCAACCTCAAGGCCCTGATTTTGTTGGTCGACGGCGTCGGCAAGGTGAAATCTGGCACTTGCTACCAGGCAGAGTCGCGCCTTCGAGGCGCGAGAGACGATGCCGCTAGTATCCAGTTGCAGGGGGCGTGAGGGCGACTGTAGAGGTGGAGTCTAGTGCGGGCACTTTTCGGTATGTTGAGAAGCAGAGACAGAGCAAGCTCCCGTCAAGAGAGTGCAGAAAGAGCAAGGAATAACGATGGACGAGGAGGAGCTGAAGAGGGTAGAGTAGAAGTCGGTGAAAAGTGGTGTGGCCGGATGGGAGGCAGTCGGCACAGGGACGGAGAAGCGCGGCGGGGATTGGCGCCAGGGACGGGCGCACGGCACTGCACAAGCGACAAACACGCACGCATCCCACTGCATCCGCACCCCGCCGCCTCCTTCCGTCCCTGCGCCTGGGTGCTCTTCGCCTCCCCGCCCAATGACATTCTCTCCCAAACGGGGGACGCGAGACCGACAGACAGGCCACGCCCGTACACCCTTCTTCACGCGAGGTGCACAGCGCTCTTCCCCCGCCAAGGACCTACACTTCGCTTGTGCATCGCACCGCATCTCCTTCGAAGGAAGAAATCTGCCCAACGCCCAACGCAGAGAAGAGAAGAGACTGGCACAGCGCTAGCGCCTCTGCACCTCGGGCACACTTACCCCGCCGAGGGCTCGCAGGGACTAGGGTCCAGGGTGAATCCCACTGCCGAGCCGCGGCCGTGCCACGCGGGTCTCACCTGCTCAGCTTCCGTTCCGACGTCTCATCGTACATAGATTGATTTCTGAGTCGCCGTTGCTCACTTCTTCGACTCCCGATGTTGCCGCTAGCATGTCCACTGATCCAGAATCGAGCTCTGGTCGACAGAACAGCGGACCCCTGAACGTCGCTCTCAGCGATAGCTCCATGCGATCTTCCGAACCGAGCGAGGAAATGCAGTCTGTATCCTACCGCAAATTGAACCTTCGCTCTGCAGAGATCTTCGTCACTAAGCTTCAAAGAGAACAATGGCCAGACCATATCAAAGACGTTGCTGACCAACTTACTCGTAATCTCGTCTCCGAGACTGCCAGAATCACGAACAAGGAATCGTCTTCATCCCTGAGTCCGAGGGAGGTTGCCGAGAGAGATACTGCCGCTGCCCTGGCGCATGAAGTCGCACAGTGTAATCTGCTACCGGAGCCGCACTGGATCTCACTCAATTGGCGCGTCTTCAGCGTCTTCAGGGAAGAAGAACTCTTTAGCAGCTTGAGCCAGAGATTCGAAGTGCCGATAGGACCCGTGAGCTACGGCGATTGGCATCTCTCCACTCCGAAGCCAGACATCACCATTGGGCTTGCCACAGATGAACATTGTGCCTTCGGATTGTCCACTGCTCAAGCTCGAGTTCTCTCGCAGAAGTTCCTCTCGGACCTCATGGCTTTGCGCGACATACACCCATTTATTGCTCCCGTTTGTACCGAGTTAGTCTTTCCCTGCCTAATCTCCGTAACCAAGGACTACTCAGGTAGCCTATACGCAGCGGAAAATCAGGCAGCTCATGGTGCAGCAAAGGCCTTGGCAATGGTCCAGTCCCTTCGAGACAGCTACCTTCGAGGACCCGACACCCAAGTTACTCCTCGTCTGCCTACAATCGTCATCTGTTCGCAAGGCTGTCTCTTTGAGGTCCTTGTCGCCTTCGACGTCCGAAGGGAGGAGCTCCCGCTTCAACAAGGCCCCGTTGCAGATTCAACAAGGTCAGTTGTCAACCCTGGAGTACATCTAGTTCGTGTCTGGGTCGGAGCTGCCGACGAGCTCGAGACAATGTATCAGTTCCAACTGCTACTACAGAGGATCAAGCGATGGATCTTGGACACGTGGAGACCCACCGTGCTGGGCATGCTCGAGGCTGTGAAGACCAGTATGATCGAGGAAGAAGCAGAGGAGGAAATGGTCAGCTATACGTCAAGTACTTCATAAATGTTTTCACAGAGTCAGCATCCACATAGCATGATTTAGCATTATACGCGTCGCAGGGAGTGCTCGGTGCTGTGTTGCTGTCGAGGTCTAGGTGTGATACGATGCGCTGCGTATGTGCGTACCTGCGCCGGGGTCAGAGTCCACAGTTCCATCTGCTGCCGGACTACCGGCACTGGCACTGGCAGTGGCACTGACCCGCGCCAGACATCTAAGGCCTTCACGTCGACCTACGTGCGGAACAGACAAAGAGACACTCGTCGCTGCAGACATTGAAGCGTGATCCTGCCCTTCACTCGTTTTCACAGTATCAACGTCTTGATACGAATCGTATTTGGTGTGATGAAGGATCTTTATCATTTGAGGGATGACCGTCTCTCTATTCACAAAAGAATCATGAACTTGGCCTGTATACACTGGCTCTTTTCCGCTGTACCCTCATGCTGGACGACTGGCAATCTTCTCTCCCGGCTTGAGCGTCCTCTGCTCCTCGCCAAGGTATAAGCGCTTGAAAAGGACGTCTGAAAGCAAGAGGCAGTGAGGTCAGACCGGCGGCATCGAATGTAGCAACCATTCCGTGCGCTTTCAAAGAGACTTACAGCTTGTAGCTACCAGCAGTGGGAAGGACAGGACGATCACCTGATGCAGGATTAGGGTAGATCGGCAGGCGTCAGTGACATGCTTCCACCAGGATGGAGTAGGATGTCTAACAAGGACTGTAGTCCCATTCGCTTCCATCTCCATCGACCTCATCCCATCGACAGATATTTCACTCGCCCAATGCTTGGAAAAGGTGGGATACCTACCCTGATTCTCTGCTGATCAGGCGTGAGAGGAATCTTCGGCGGCATTGCGACGTTCAGCCGACGGTTTTTCCAAGCAACCAAGAAGCGAGCACAGCTGTTGCTACGTCGGCGTCGGCTCTCGTCTTCTGTCCGTAGCGCGTCTTGACTTTTTTTTGAAGTAGGGCCGTGAGCAAAGAGGGATGGCGTGGCGTCGGACGGAAAGCGGAGCACGAGGTGAAGCTGCAGCCGCGCAGTCGATGACATCGCCGTACCGACGGTTGCAGTGGGCGGAGGCGCCGGCAGTTGCCGAGGGAAGACGCACACGCCGGGAGCGTGAGTGAGTGGGCTGACACTTTTCCATGAGCTCTGGCTGCTACTCTCCACCCCTCGTGCCAGCCATTGTTGCTTCTTCCCGTCCTTGTATTTCTTCTCCAAGCTACGGATTTGCCTCTGTCTATCCCCTGTCCCACCCAAACCACCTCGGCGACTGCGAGCGGCTGAAAAGAGAGGACAGAAAGACTTCAGAGCTTGCACCGCACCCTTACGGCGGTTCTCACCATGGCTACCTCTACCTCGGCCCTTCCCGTCTCCTTCCCTGGACGGGGCGGCTCCCCTCTGAACACACGAGCTTTGCCTTTTGTCAAACTCGCCGTGCTCCTCTCTAGCGCTGTAGGTCACGTCTTCGCGGCTCCGCTGGCCGATGCCTTTGGCGCGAACGACGCATATACGGTAGCTGGCCACGGAGGAGGTGACGATGAGGCTCCGGCGAGGACAGGTATTGAGCTGACCATTAGCATGCTGTCGATTGCTGTGAGTGACTGAATTGTGATCGGGATGGAAGTTTCGTTCTACTGATCACCTACGCCCCCTCCTAACGCGCTTGTAGGGTCTCGTCCTTCTCGGAGGGATCTTCGCTGGTCTCACACTAGCTCTCATGGGTCTAGACGAGCTTCACCTGCAAGTTCTGTCCAGCTCGGGAACCGATTTGGAGCGAGCTCGAGCATCCAAGGTACTCAGACTCCTCTCAAAGGGGAAGCATTGGGTCCTGGTTGTCCTGCTCCTGGGAAACGTCATCGTCAACGAAACCCTGCCTATCTTCTTGAGTGACTTTGGAGGAGGACTAGCCGCCGTCTTCACTTCGACTCTGCTCATCGTCATCTTCGGCGAGGTCGTCCCACAATCAGTCTGTGCCCGATATGGCCTGGCCATCGGAGCCTTCTGCGCTCCTTTGGTCCACATGACTATGCTCCTCTTTGCGCCAGTAGCCTGGCCCACGGCAAAATTCCTAGACTGGTGCCTGGGTGAGGATCACGGTACAGCGTACCGCAAGGCAGAGCTCAAGACCTTCGTTAGTCTGCATCAGACGTTGGGCGCGGAGAACCTTAGCGAAGATGAAGTGACTATCATTCGTGCTGTTCTGGATCTCAATGAGAAGAGCGTCAAGGATGTCATGACTCCCATTGCAGACGTGTTCACCCTGTCCGCCGACACCATCTTGGATGACGAAGGTGTGATTGAGCTGGTCAATTCCGGATACTCGAGAGTGCCGGTGTACGAGCCTGGCAAGCCCGACGCCATCCACGGTATGCTCCTCGTCAAGAAGCTCATCTCGTATGATCCTGAAGACGCAAAGCCGGTATCGTTCTTCAACCTCAGCCCTCTGCCCGAAGCAAGGTGAGTCATGAGAGAAGCAGCCCTTTGATGAACCTGCAGAGCGACTGACTCCTGACTTTTCCTTCTGCCCCTCCCGATTACAGTCCCGACCTCACTCTTTTGGATTGCCTTAACTTCTTCCAAGGCGGATCCTCTCACATGCTTCTCGTCTCTGAGAATCCAGGTCAGAACAAAGGAGCTCTGGGCGTGGTCACCCTCGAGGATATCGTAGAGGAGATGATCGGCGAGGAGATCATCGACGAGACCGACATCTACGTCGACGTGCATAACAAAATCCAGGTCGAGCGCAAGAAGGACACACAGCAAGGTCCTTCGAGCAGTCTGGGCCCGCTGATTAGGGACGTCATGGCGAAGCGTAAGCCGGGCAATGCTCCTGTGCGTGCTCCTCTGCGGTCCAAATATGGTGCCCCAGGCTCGACTGCCTCCAAGAATGCAGCTACGGGAGGTGGACCCCGAGCTATGGACAAGGTCATGATCAAGCGACCAGGGTCTCCCACTCCTTCTGAAAGCGCTGCGACTCTTGCCAGTAGGGCGAATGGAGCCAGTGCAGCCAATGGAGGCGGCGGCGGCGGAGGAGGAGGAGGTGGTGGTGGAGGCAATGCCAGTCTTTCCCCACGGATCAAAGCCGTCGAGCACTTTGTCAAGGAATACCAAAACCACCCCGAAACAGGCGATGAGCAAGACCTGAACATTTCCATTTCTCCACGTCAAGAGGGCGAGGAGACGAACAAGAGACCATTCATCGTCGAGCGAGGACCGGATGGGACTGGTCCCTCGATTGTCTTCCATGCGGGTGACGTGCCGGAGGACCCGGGGGCGGAGGAGAGGGCTAGGAGACAGGCCGAGGCGGAGAGGCAGGAGAAGGAGAGGCAGGAGAGAGAGGGTACCAAGCCTGAGGAGGAGGAGAATGAAGGCAAGACGGACGTGATGAAGGGAGTGAGGGACTTCTTTGGTGGTGGGAAGAGCAATTGAGCGGGTAACATGGATAGGCGGGCAATGGTGAGAGACCTTGGAAGCAAAGAGAGAGTAATGATGAATGAGGTTGAAGAGGAAGCGAAGCGATAGTGGGCCCAAACATATGTACCATCCTGACCGTAGCATCCTGCAGCATCCACCAAAACATCTCCAATAAGGCATCCCATCCGCACAGACCTTTACGCACGGGAGAGGATAAGACAGTCCACTTGTGAGGTATTGAATACGGTGGAATTACTTACACAGCAAGCCGAAAACAAAACCCCTCCGTCAAAGCAGATGAGGTAGAAGCTACTTGGTGGGTTCATGAGTACCACCTCTGATACGTCGCCGGATGGGAACGTATAATCCCCCTCCAGGCCGAAAGGCCCGCTTCCTCCCTCTCTAGTCCATGCAAATCCTTCTCCGGCACGCTCGACACCCTCCCCCCTCCCCCCCTCGCCTTCTCCGCCGCTGACCAATCCTGTAGCACCTCTTCCGAAAGCTCCTCACGGGGGATAGGTGCGATGAGTGCTCTCAGGTTGGGCATGGCAAAATAGGGAAAGGAGAGGCGGGGGGCGGGTGAAGGGTAGATGTGCACACGATGTGTTGCGGCATTTATTAGACCGCTGCTGATGCGTTCGAGCTGCTGGCCAAAGTTGACGAGGATACAGCCGGGACGATAGGGTACGTCGAGCCAGGAGCCGTCGAAGTCTTCTACTTGAAGGCCAGGCTTGTCGTCCGTGGCAAGGAGGGTGATCTGGTGGCAGGAGCGCAATTGGGATCAGCAGCTGCTTGATGGGCATGCTACGCTCTGGGGCACAGCAACTCACCCATCCTCCGTCTCTGTGAGCACCCACTCCCTGCTCGTTCCCTTCGCTTCCATATCGTACGATTTTCATCCTCTCATAAGGCATCTCTTTTGGCAAAGCCGCCATCACCTCCTCTGCGCCGAGCGGAGCGTCTGACACCTCCTGCCTCTTGGCAAGATCCCGGATGGCAGCAAAGGCCGCATCTTTGGATGTGAGACCGAGCTGATCTTGAAGTCTGCCGGGAGGCACACCCAGTGCTTCTTCGATGGCCGCAGTGAGCTGGATAGTCAGCTGCTCGGCGGCTTCGATGTAGCGCAGGACCGCCTCCTTTAGCTCTGGTGGCGAAGCAGGGAATTGGCTGCGCGGTGGGGGTGGCGAATGAGCTCAGTTCTATGTGAAGGATAGTCTGACTTGTCAGATGATGGACTCACTTTGGGCCCCAGAGGTTGAGATACGGTGCTGATTTGGTAACGGACGTGGGAAGTGCAGGAGCTTCTATGCCCAGATCCAGCTGATGCACAGACGACAGGGTCAGCATCAATGTCTAGGCACCGAAGATTCGGGTGTCTACTCACCTGCTCTCTGTTATCCTGCTTACTCTGGGTGTATTCCGTGCCGATATCAGAGTAGCCTCCTGCGATTCCCATGAGACAAGCTTTGGTCAATTTCTACTAGCTCACCAGCCACTGGGCACTGCTAATTTGTCGCACAGCTTGACGCTCACTAAAATGTCTGCTCTCCTTCTGATCGATAAGTCTCCTTTCCTCTACGCTGACATCGAAGAAGCGTCTACTGAGGTCTAATACATTTTCTCTCTCCTTCTCCAGCGGCGAGTCGGCGAGGTAGAAGAAGCCAAGTCCGACCATGGACCTGCGCAATAGGGATATGAACTTGGCATGGCTAGAGGCGTCCGATGTGGGTCCGGCGAGGTCGGGGTAGGAGAGGATGGTCTCGAGAGAGGCATTGGTGGCTACGGGCGTCATGACATACGAGGCGAAGGTGGTGGAGGGTAGTCAGAAGGGGGGGAAAAGAAGTTCTACTGATCCTAGCCTGGGTAGACTATGGTGAGTGTGCTGCATCAACGGACAATTGGTTGTGCCCCGTGCAGGTGACTCCACTTGAGATGCGCCTGCAGCTCCGCACTTGGACTGCCCTACCGCCTGTCACGAGCCACCGGCAAGAAGAGCCGGCAATGCCATGACGCCTTAGGCTGCTACCATCACACCACCACCTCACCTTCACTACCATCACAGCGCCCAAACCATGGCATCACCGTCCGACGACATTCCCTCCATCACTCCGCCGCAGCCTTACAAGATCCACTTTGATCAGGCCGACATTGACCAGTTTCACCGCAAGGTCCAGGATGCGCGTCTTCCGGCTGCCCCTCTCTACCCCGGTCTGCCCCTCGACAAGAGGGATGGAGGAGCCGCTGCTGAATTCAACCCAAAAGCATTTCCTACTTTGGAGCGGATGAAGAACATGCTGGAAAAGTGGAAGAACAAGGATTTCAAAGCCATGGAAGATGAGCTCAATCAGTGAGAGTGCCAGCTGGTAGCCCAAGCTAAGGCCCTGCTACTAACGCCGATGCTGTGTTGCTCCCGCCTGCTCCCGCCTACAGATACCCACACTACACTACAAAGGTCGACTGGTGTGATCAACTTCACTTCCTCCACCAACCCTCCACTCGTCCGAGCGCTATCCCCCTCCTCCTCTGCCACGGCTGGCCTGGCAGTTTCAAGGAATTCCTGAGTGTCCTCAAGCCCCTTGCTGAACCAGAAGATCCAGATGCCCAAGGTGGGTGTATCGGACCTGCTCTGCCTAGCCTCCTATCTTGCTGCTGACACCACCATCACTCGCTCCACCTCCGCTATAGCCTTTCACGTAGTCGCCCCTTCGATGCCCGGCTATACCTTCTCCTCACCGGCTCCCACACCCGAGCTGGGCAAATTCACTGCCATCGCCCGGCTGTACGACGGTCTAATGACCGGCCTCGGCTACACACGCTACGGAGTCCAAGGTGGTGACTGGGGAAGCATCGTCGCCCGCGAGGTAGCCCGGCGAAGTCGTGCTGATGGGACGGGGTGTCGTGCGTGCCACCTCAACTTCCTCCCGATGCTGCCTACCCCGCTCGGAAAGACGGTCAGTGGTGCTCTGCTGGTCATGCCAGAATGGGCGACTCTTGCTGTCGGCAAGTACATGTTCGACGCCGAGTGCTATCGCGCTCTAGAGAAGTCGCTCTTGTACGTACACCACGGCTCAGTCTACTATACCGTGCAGGCGAATCGACCTAGTCAGCTCGGCTTCGGATGTATCGACTCTCCCGTTGCATTGCTGGGTTGGATGAGCTACTTTACAATGGGCCTCAATGTCAAAGAGGACAGTGAAGAGCGTGGTCCCGATCGACGCAAGGGTGAAAAAGGCGCAATCGAGACCTTCTTCCCAAATTACGAGACGCTCAACATCGATTGGCTTCTCGACGAGGCATGGCTCTATTGGGTCACATCGAGCATTGCCACTTCTTTCAGGAGCTATAGCGACAATGAACACCTTTTGGAATTCATCACAAACTCGAAATACAAGATTCACGTGCCCTTTGCCTACTCGGGCTTCCCGGATGAGATCATCGACGCTCCTCTGCGGTGGGTGGGAAAGTACGGAAACGTGAGCGATTTGCGCTGGTATGCAAAAGCGTGAGTATCCTCACCCTCTTCACCCTTCGAAGGCAAAGACCAATGCCTGACGCCTCCCCCTCTTCTCTTCCCGCAGTCCGACCGGCGGACACATGGCAGCCGCCGAGCGGCCCGAGCTCTTTGTCAAGCACCTACGCGCCGCCTTTGCCCCTGGAGGAATCGACGCAGTGAGCACTCCTGGGGGACCCAAGTCGAGCTTTGGACCCAATGGGGATAAAGGAGCCATCTTCACCGAGGGGAGCATTTGGAGGAAAGGAGGGTTGTGGGATGATGAGAGGAGGAAGGGAGAGAGGTGAGGTGGTGATGTGGAATGGGCTGGTGCAGGATGAGATGACGGCCACACACATGGACACTCAATAATTGAAAGGCAAGAATCGTTGTATTGGCAGCGCCCCAGCAAATTTCAACCATCCATAATCGCCAACTTCGCTCTCCCCTGACCCGTCTTCTGTCCCTTTCCATCAATCGAAACGCTACAGTACCGATCTTGCAACCAAGTCACCTTCCAAGTTCCCTCCTCCGAAGCATAGAATCTCACTTCATCCTCCAAAATCCCCGAAATGGTATGCTCCTCCAGTACCCTCGGGTAAGCATAAAAGTCCGCCGCTTCTAGTCGCTGGTAGGTGAGGGAGAAAGGCGGTGTGCCTCTGAGGGAGAAGACGATTTCGGCTTGTGTTCCCTCACGGAGATCCTCGATGAAATTAGCGCCATCTCTGACTTTTACAGAGGGGAGAGGATGGATGACTTTGCGCATGCCCTCGTCGCGTGGGGAGAGGTCGCGCTTGCAGCTGTTGTGCTGGTGAGCTACGCTGCGTACTTCGAGCGTACCGGCTTTTTCGGCCACGCGGGAGAAGTGACGAGTGTTGACGTTGGCGGTGGAAGTCTTGCCATTGAAGGCGTAGGTGACGGTCCAGGGTGCGGTTCCTTGAAGGCTGTGGATGAGATGATCGTAAGCAGGGGGAGATCTTAGTCAGTCCGCAAATTACCTTTGAAAGATCAGTGCAGTCTCGTACTCACATATAGTCTACAGTCTCGCCGACACAGTAGTCCTCGCGAGTCCCTACTGCAGCAATACTAGCGGTATCAGCCACCTCGATATGGGCAGCTGCACTCTTCGCCATTCCACCAAGAGCAGCGTGCCCGACGCCCGAAGTGTCCGTGGTGAGACAGCCATTGCCATCTTCGAGACTGAGGATTCGGAAGCCCCAGTTGCCCGTCGTGTCGAACTTGAACTCTTCCGCCTCGTCTACCTCTAGACCCAGGGTGTACGTGTGCGAACGAATGTTGCGACGCAAGAAGCGTCTCGACCCACCCTGTCGACGGAAGGAGGTACTCTGTAGCTCAAATTCGAGAGTGAAGGGTGGCTGGCCGCTCAATTGTACTGTTGGGGCAACATCGCGCTGTGAATTCAACGAATCGCCCACACAGAAGGTCTTCTTGCTCTTGCGGCTGCTGCTCTCCTGCGGTGCAAAGGCGGCGGAGGGAGGAGAATGGACCATCTGCTCTAGCCGCTGTGACTTGGAAGCCTTCAAAGCCGTGAGAGGATAGACGGTGTCTCCAACCTCCAGCAGCTCATACGTGTGCCAGCCAGGACGACTTGTCGAGAGCTGGAAAGCTGTCACATTTTGAGCCGTTGTGAATGTGTCGCGCTCCCTTCCCCCGTTCTGACGAGAAGCGCCATCGCTGCTAAGGAACCGCTCCCTCTCCTGATCCGTTGGCACCGACCAGGAAGGCGACCGATGTTCGTAAGTGACTTCCATCGGCGATTGGCCGCTGAGGTCGAGGAAAACACTGTCGGGAGTGCCTTGACAAATTGAACGGCGAATCAGAGATCCATTCTTGCTGCTCTTGACACCCGAGTCTTCCTTGAAGTGCACCGATGGTCTCTTGGCCACAGCTACCTGCCATTGAGCAGACTCGCTTGGGACAGTGCCATCGCAGAATGCATCGTGGACAGCAACAAGGCTGTAGAGGCCAGGTCGATCGACGATAAGCTCGGATTCCGATTGCCTGATTGTGGTGGTGACAGGCATCGCATCCCCGTCTCGGAGGTATTCAACCTTCCAAGGCGCTTCTCCCTCCAGTCGGATTGGCAGTCGGGCTTCGCGGCCCTCCAGGATCTGGGTCTGTCCTGTCCGTGTCTCTCCTCGCGAAGCCCCAGGAATCGCAAATGCTGCTGTGGGTCGTCCTCTCCGAATTTCGACGACGACGTCTGCTGTTGTCAAGGGACGCTCGCAGCTCTTACCGTCCTTGATGCTGACCAAGCTCACGGTGAGGGTGCCTCCATGTGTGTTGATGTGCGGCGGTAGGTCGATATCGAGGGTATGATTGGGCCCCTTGATACCTTTGACTGTCCTCTGCTCGGCATCCGCTTTGCCAGAGCCACTACGTACTACGTATGTGACATCAAAGGGTCCCGTCCCCTCAAGGACGATATCGGCTCGAGCTCGGTTGCCTTCGCAGCTCCTCATAATGATCTTTTCGTCCCTGGAGGGCGACGATGTGCGCCGCCCGTGCTGTGGTGGCGAGCCACCACTGTGAGTGAACCGCGCGCTAGCAAGCGGATGGACGATCTGTTCAAAGACAGGCCCATCCAATCGAATGTCTCGATAGTTGGCATCGGCAAGACCAGTGAAGCGGTACTCCACAGCTCCTTTTGTCGAAGGCCTGAATTCGAACTCTTCTCGAGTTCTCTCGATGATGCGCTCTTGCTTACGGGCAGGCTGTCCGCTTCTCTTCATTTCGTATGAAAGCCGGAATGGAGGCTGCCCAGTGAGGATGGCCATGGCGTTGACTCCTACCGACCCGGCGCACATGTCTTCGATGGCAGAGAAAGAGATATCCGCTGTCGGAGGAGGGACCTCCACCACCGGACATGACCAAGGCGAACCAATCTCGCCGGTGCAGAATGTTCCCTCCATTCCTTCAAGAAGATAGAGACCGGGCAGAGCTGCCGCCATACGCGCCGTACCGTCTTTGCCAAACGTCATATTCTTCCTCCATCCTGCAGCAGGAGATCCTTCCTCTGGCTGGAAGCGCACCGAGGCAGTCCACTCCACATCAGCTTCCACTCGAGTCGCCTTGAGCATCAGCTCCTTGGGCGGCCCTCCTCTCAACAGCTGTAAAGGCTTCTCTGTGGAGCAGCCAATGATGCTGGCATGAGCCCTGCTGTGAACTTCAATTTGTCGGCGGTAGACGGGTGGCAGTTCGCTATCGCCCGCAGCCAATGCTTTGAGTGCCGATGACGATTTGTGGGCTTCGTGCTTGGACAAGGAGGGCACGTCTACAATGTTGCCACACGCATCCTTGACGGTACGCAGCTCATACGAATAGCTACCTGGTTGCGCTATGTCGAGCGAGATGGGAACTACCTCCTCTTGCGATACGGCCCAGCCAAAGTCTGGGTCTCGTCGCTGTTGCAAATCAGAGCCACGTCGCCGCCCCAGGGCGACGGACAGGGCGCCTTCTGTCGACGATCCTTCACCGCCGACAAGGGGACTTGCGATGTTAGTGTTCGAGATGTGACTGATACTGAGAGACTGGGTCTCCGGCTTGGCTCCAGAGTGGGAAGCGGTCCACTCTCTTGTATACGATAGCTCGAGAGGGGCCAGTCCTCGTACGGCTACGCTAAGCTGCGCTTTGTCACCCGGACACTTGTGTTGAGGATCGGACAGTGAGTCTGACTGCACGAAGGATGTCGTAGGGCAGCCAACAACCATGATCTCGCCTTGTGAAATCCTGGCGTCCATTCTACTACGATCCAGCACTCTTTCCAGCCTGAGCCTCCCAATATGCTTGACTGGTAGCTGATACATTCTTTGCTGATTTTCCGATGCCAACATCTTCGCTGCTAGTTTCCTGCCCTGTTTGGTCTTGGCAGACCGAGGAGACGGGCCGTTCGCGGAACCTTCCCTGCGTGCAAGCGCATCCGAACCGACCAGCTCTGCTTCGACTTCGTCCCAGTCCGCATGCTCAGCAAGCTCGTCGCGGTGCTCTGTAGCTATTGTGGTCAATCCGCCCTTGTGAATGGTGACGTTGAATAGAGCTGGGTTGCCAGGATCATCAAATGGGGTGACACTGTACTGGAGCCAGTGTGGCTCTGTGTTGTTGAAGAGGACGGGGATCTTGACATCGGGCCTTCCAGGACCGATGCAGTGACAGGAAGAGAGCGAGGGAGAGAAGGCAGCAGTACTGTAGGGCAGCACATGAATGGTATGCTGTCCCAGTATATGGCTGCCCGGCTTGACCAAGTCACTTATCCGGACTCTACCCTCGGACAAGGAGATGGAGCTTGAGAATGTATCGCCAAAGAGAGTGGCGAGCCAACTGCTGATCGATCCCATGCCCAGTAGACTCAGCATTGTCCGCCAGCCTCCCATCAGCAGCCAGTCCAATAGGGCCGCCAGAGCTCCGATGGCAACCCACTTCCCATCTGAAAAGGCTAGACGCGGTATCCTCAGCCTTGACAAGGCTAGGAGAAGAGCCAGGTCGATGAGCAGAGCGAAAGACAGCGATGCTGACGAGTCATCTGAAGCAAAGAGGATGAAGAATTTGTATGCCTGAACAGCGCCAGCCGCACTGACTGCCCAGAGTCGCTGGGCGGGGGCATCGATGAGGGAGATGGGAATGAGGGGAGGGAGAGGACTAGCAGCGGCAGGAGCAACACCTGGCTTCCCTCCAGCAGGCGATGCTGCCGCCGACGCCATGTCTACTGACGACGGAGCGACGCTCTTGCTATCACTGTCCAGAACGAGCAAGCTTCAGCTTTTTATCGCCTGTGAAGACTGCGAGAAAGCGAAGGGGTATGGTGAAATGACGGAAAACGGAAGGACTGCATCTCTGAGGGTCTGGCTTTTTTGAGACGCGTTCTCCACCTACCCTCGTTTCCGTCGGGTCACCATGCCATGTCAGTCAGTTCACGAGGGCGATGGAGAAGAACCTGCATTGATGATTGAAGGACGGTTTACATTGCCACACCAGAGCCATCTGCTCTTTCATTCCCAGATATCAGTGTTGGAGTATGCTGTGGTCCATGAGGCTCTGACGCCAGAGACCGGTCAAGGCGAAGCCGTATATTGGCTCCCCCAGGAGGTCACTCAGTACGCCACAAGAATGGTAAAGGACCAGAAGCCAGATGATGTCGAGCCCATAGTCAAAAGCTTAGGTATCAGAGGGACACATTACTGATGTGCAGACATTTTGTGGTAGAAGTCTGTATGTGATTCACCTCGTCAAGCCGATTCGCTCAGCTGCCGTCATTTCCCTCCTCTCTCCGGCTCGCCTGTCTGCGGGATGTTGGCTTGAGTCAGGCTGACCTTGCAAGGGCGTGTCTGGCTTCTGCTGATCTGCTGTGCTTAAGCTCTCCTCCCTTGCCTTCTTTCTGATTGCCTTGAGCTCTTCGATGTCGCTTGATGAGACGAGGATGCTTGTAGGAGGCCTTCGGATCATGATGCTTCGAAGCAGTGATTCACTTGCGACGCGATAGCGCTTCTGACTCCAAGCTGCAAGCAGTCGAAGTAGACTGTCGTGATCTGAGATCAAGTCTGGAGGTACGAGCACTCTTTGTTTGGTCTGCGTTGTTGGGATGCTCGAAGCTGTTCGTATGAGCGGAGAAGATGCGAAGCGAAGTGTTGCTCTCGGTGCAACACGCTCCCGCAAAAGTGGAGAAGAGCTCGCTTCGGTTGTCTCCCCTTGCTGTGCTCTCCTATATCCGCCCACCACCAATCCCACAACCTCTGCGTGGAGAGAGCACAACTGCAGCCTACCTGCTTGTCATCTCAGGATGGGGTCAGCAGCAGGAAGTGCTCCAGCTGCTGGCGACGATCCCCTCTTTGACCCGCTGTCCGCCTTTGCTGCCTCGTCCTCGTACACCTCCTCGCAGCGTTCCTCTCGGCCTGGCACGTCACATGACGATCAAACGCGTCCTTCTGGTATCGAAGCGTCAGCAGGGCGACATTACTTTGACCTGAAAGCACTACAGTCAAGTCTACAATCAAATGATACCACGGCTGCAGCCTTTCCCAAGGCGACGTCTAGCGTCAGGGACAGTTCAGCAGGACAAGTAGGCTACGATGGCGAAGACGACGGAGGAAAGACCCCAGGCGAAAGGAGGCCCCGACTGATAGATACTAGCGAGGGGAGGTATGAGAAAGGCGGTGCTGAAGACGATGAGACCAGGTCACAGTCGGAGGCTCTTACGCCGAGATCATCGATGTCTGCTCTCAGAGGACAATCTCCCTCAGGGCAACCCGGTCTCAACGCCCAGACCCTGCCAGCCTCCAGACCCACAGGACTGCAGAGTCCCTATCACGACCGTCGTAGCGATAGTCGACTTGGAAAACGACCCTCCGAAAGTGGGCAAACTAGTCGGCCACCCTCAAGAGCAAATGCTCCTTCTTCACCATTCTTTCCCAGCGAGCCGCGGCCCAACAGCCGGGCACATCAGAATCTCCGGGAGCCTCGAGACTTGTACGAGGAACCAGACGATGGAGACGCGGCTAGTGCTTCGGAAGAGGATGAGACGGGTTTTCTCTCAAGATTACATCTCATGTCCGATGCTGAGCTGCAGCGCTTGATGGGCGCAACGATCAGGCCCGGGGGCTCGCCTCGGCAGCTCTCGCCTTCCTTTTCGCGTCCATCGCTCGCTACTGTACAGGCCGGTACGCCTCAGCATAGCCTGAGCTCGCCAGTGCTAGGCGAAGTTGCCATGTTCGCTCAAGCAGCAAAGCTGCAAGAGATGGAAAGCGTCGAGCTTTGCAGAAAGCTGTCTCGAGCCCTTGCGGAAGCCTTGTCAGAGGTCACTGATGCAAGGCAGAGTCTCAGAGAGCAGCAGGAGCGCTTTGCTACGCAGATGGACGCTATGAAAAGGCGATCGGAAACAAGGGAGGAGGCTATGTATGCTGTCTGTCTACAGCATGGTATTGCGGCGGGCACGATCGATCGAGCGGTTGCTAGGGCTCTTGCTGACATGCCGCAGGTCAGCATCAATGTCGAGGAGCAGGTCAAGACGCTTGCCCAGAGGACGTGGCTATCTGCTCCAGATACGCCGGCCTACCCTTCCACACGGCGCAGTAGCGTTCACTCACGCTCTGCCGGCTTGGACGGAGAAAGGCGACCTCGATCAGCGGCCAGTGCTGCAGAAATGATACATGAGCCAAGCTTGCCTGTTTCCCTTCAAGAGGCGATGCTGGACGAATTTCACGTCGGAGGCAGCTCTGGTATTCCTGTCTCTTCGGACGTTCGCCTCTCTGCTAAGGCTCGTGCCGCTTCCTTACAGCAGGGGTCCGCAAAAGATGCACGACCGGACTTGGGCACAACCCAGTCTGCCTCCCGCTCGAGCGATGGCACATCTTCTGCATTGCCCACACCAAGTAGTAGCCACTCCGAGGCAGCTGTCAGCTTCGGCAGCTCTCGTCGATCAACTACCGGTAGCTCGCCGATCAGCGCACGGCGCTCCAGCTCAAGAGCGGTAGACGGTCTGCTGCCGTGGAACAACGAAAGCAAAGACCGCAAAGCTATTGCCACGACACAATCGACTCTTGTTCCAGCAGTGAACGCAGACAGCGCTGTCGCGAACACATACACTCCAGCGTCGCTGGGATCTACAACCCTTCCCTCGGTGCCTAGCCTCCGGACTTCATCGTCCAATCCAGGGTTCTTCAGCAGCTTTGGATGGAAAAGGGGCAAAAAGGGGGCGCCACCAGTACCCGTGGTTCCTGACACTGTCGCTTCGCCCAGTGCGGACGGCAAAGTCCTGGATCAGGCCAAGTCTGCACCTCTACCCTTAGGGCCAAGTGATCAAAGCACTTCTGTCCAGTCCGTCGCCAGAGTTGAGGCGCCCCCCAATGACTCAACATCGATACACCCTCAGCTAGATCGGACCTCGTCTGGCACAGACGTGATCTCTGCACTCCACGAAGCGATAGGCTCAGCTCCAGTATCGCCGTCTGAGCACCCAGCTCACCACATCGATCTCAAAGCTCTACCCAAACCTCCATCGGTCAAGGCGATTTTCCTCGCTACCCGTATCCTCGGCAACGACGCTTCGAGTTTGTTACAGAACCGCGGTCGTAAGATCTCCCAGCAGGTGGCCCAAAAGGCTGTTGACGTGGTAAAGAATTCTCTAGATGAAGGACTTCATATCGACGAGCCGCCGAATCGAGGCTCCAGCCAGCAAACAACCATACGGAGACCGTCTGGCACCCAGCCTCCGGTGCAGCGCGAGTCTGCGAGGTCTACTGAGAGATCTGAATGCCGTCCAGTCGCCAGCGCCAGCATAAAACAGAAGCAACGAGCACAGTCTGTAGCTGCACAAGCTGCTGCTGCCATCGTCGAATCTGCTTCTGGACCGGGGACAGCAGCTGTGGGCCGGCTCAGTGGACGACGGAGTGAGGTGCGTCTTCCGTCCCGTTCACGCGTGGAACCAAATGTCACCCGTCTACCGCGCCAAATTGGCTATGGAAGCACTCAGCATCGAGCACCGTCTCTTGCCGACAGGACAGCAGCCGAGCCTCGTACGCCCAGCAAAGGCCCACCAGGCGTCGAAGGAGAAGCTGGCCTACCAGTAGAGCTGGAGGCGATTGTTCCTTTCGATGGCAAGCCGCCAACGCTGGCTCTCTTCTCTCAAACGGGTCGCCGACCCACTCGCGCACCCATCAGTAACGGCGACAATGACGACGAAAGTTCTGGAGACGAGTTCGAAGTCTATGGTGGGAAAGGAAACCTCGTCATTCCTCAGCCGGTACGGTCTTCCGCCATTGGCTTTGACGACCGAGCTGTTGATGTGTTCGGCTTTGTCTACGATGCCACGCCGGCTGACGTTCGTCTGCTGAGGCAGGCCCGGAAGGCGTCCACCCCAGCTCCTGCCTGTCTGACGGGCATCAGGGTCGGGGTGGCAGCCCGTGGTGGCTCTGATCGGCAAAGTGGAAGCGAAGCTGATGAGGCGGACACGGACACGGACGCGGACAGCATCATTGCGAAGGAAGAGAGCACAAGTGAGGACATGTCCCACACTGTCACCGACGCCATGCCTGCCACTCCAAGCAAGTCCACTACCGAGCCTGCAGACAGCTCTCCTGAGACAAGCCCTGTCAGGCTGCTGGGTATCGCCCGAGGTAGGCCCTCGACAGAGACTTCGCAAGTCAGCGCATCTTCCGGCCTAGAAGCTGGCCCCACCAGTCCTGGCCAAGAAAGGGAATTTCAATTGTCCAGCGATCCCTCGAAAGCTCCTGAAGGCCATGATGAGGAGCCCACCACCACGACAGGCACCTCTAAGACGCGTGAACCTAAAGCGACTTCCGAGACGGTCCGTCATCTTCTTGATCAGCTCAAGGTCATGCATTCTCAGCACCAAGAAGTCCAAAAGGCCAAGTGGGATGCATTCATTCAGCATCGCCGCACAGTGATGACACGGTCAGCTGAGAATGCGTCGGGCACACAAGATCGTGACAAAGAAAAAAAGAGCTTGTCGAAAACCGCTCGCGGCCTCTTGGCCGATGGTCGTACTCCAAATGCTGAAGATCAATACCATCACGGTCTCATCGGCGTGCGTCTCTTGGGCGACGACAAGTCAGGGAAAGAGGACCGCAAGCAATTTCTCCGCCTTGTTCAGGAAGGGATCCCCTTGGCTCATCGACCCAAGATCTGGGCGGAATGCAGTGGTGCAAGCGAAGTGGCAGAGCCCGGACTCTTCCAGGATCTGCTCAACGAGCACGCCAGCGAGTCCAATCCCTGTCTCGTCCAGATCGATCTTGACGTGCATCGCACTATGCCCACCAACATCTACTTTGGAGGTGATGGACCTGGCGTACCCAAGTTGCGGCGGGTCCTCGCAGCGTACTCTTGGTACAACCCGAGTACCGGATACTGTCAGGGTATGAACAATCTTGCTGCCACTCTGCTGCTCACACACGCCACCGAGGAAGAAGCTTTCTGGGTGCTGGTGTGCATCATTGATAAGATTCTGCCAGAGGATTACTACACTTCACATTTGCTGGTCTCTCAAGCCGATCAGCGAGTACTGATCGATCTCGTCCGCGAGCTGATACCAAAGCTGGCGGATCATTTAGAGGACTTGGGCGTCGATTTGCCTGCCGTCACTTTTGCTTGGTTCTTGTCGCTCTACACCGATTGCCTTCCCGTTGAGGTGAGTATTGAGACGGCACTACATGAGAGACCTGAACGATTGACTGAACATCCCTTCGTCTTGCCTCATTCGTGCCGCAGACCCTCTTCCGCGTCTGGGACCTCCTCTTCGTCGAAGGAATGATCATCCTCTTCCGCGTAGCCGTAGCAATCCTGATGATGAACGAGAAGGAACTCATAGCTACCACGTCCCCCGCCGCCTTCTACGGACACGTGCACAGCATGACTTCGCGTCTCTTTTCTGTGGACAGACTTTTGCAGGTGAGTTGGCTCTACATCACTCCGCTTGCTTCTGGACGCAAAGCACTGACTGGAGGATTTGACCTTTGCAGCTCGCGTGTCAAGACTTGCGCAACGTTGTGACAGAGGAGAAAGTTCTCCGGCGGCGCAGAATCCACATTGCCGATATTAAGGATGAGCTTGGTCTCGCCGAATAAGTCCCGCTTCGCTTTCTATAAGTTACCACAGCCACAAGACATCACTATACGCTCCTTTCTCACATTCGCATGCATGTACAATAGCTTCATCTGGGGTGTTCATCTGATTCGCGTACATTCATTCGCTTCTGGCCAATGACGCCTGCATCGTTATTCCGGCCCTACAAATGCCAGCTGTCGAGCTTGCAGAAGAGCTCCCTGAGACCTTCCAGCTTCCACTCGCCCATGTCCTGTTTCCACTCTACAGCGTCCCCAACTGCCGTCTTCAACCTCTGCACTCTGCCCTGATCTTCCTGCTGCCCACCTTCCGCACCAGCTTCGCCGCCCCCACGGAGTCGCACGCGCACTGTCCCGTTGCGGGCTTCCTGCTCACCGACGACGAGCGTGAAGTTGTATCGTGCCACTTGTGCCTTCCGAATGCGCTTGCCGAGGGTATCAGTGGAGCGGTCCACATCTACATGGAAAGCCTGGGTAGGTCGCGGCCCCACTTCAGCACCAGAGGATCCACCACTTTCAGCAGAGATACCAAGGGAAAGGTACCTCTGCACTTTGCGGGCGTATGCGCTCAGCTCTTCCGTATCTGTCACAGGCACGACTAGAGCCTGTCGTGGGCTGATCCAGAAGGGCCAGTGATTGCCCCTCGACTCGATCAAGATAGCCATAAACCTCTCCACGCTTCCCAGAATTGCGCGGTGGATCATCACAGGACGAGCGCGGCCTGATGGCTGCTCAGTGACATCTTCGTAAGAGAGGTCGAAGCGTTGTGGCAGCTGGAAGTCGAGCTGAATTGTTGCTGTCTGGTGTTTGCGGCCGAAGATGTCGACCAGTCTAACGTCGATCTTTGGACCGTAGAAGGCTCCGTCTGCTTCGTTCAGCTCCCATTTGAGACCAGTGCCGTCCAGCGCATCCTTCAATCCTTGCTCTGCTCGATCCCACTCCTCGATACTCCCGATGAAGTTGGCGGGACGAGTCGAGAGCACTAGCTCAAAGCGGGGGAAGCCAAAGACGTTGTACGCTTCTGATAGCATGTGCAGCATTGTACTGATCTCGGAGGCCACTTGTGACTGAGCGCAAAATACGTGCGCGTCATCTTGGTGGAAGCGTCGGACCCTCGTCAGACCAGAAAGGGACCCAGAAGACTCGTTGCGGTGGAGAGGCGACCACTCTGCAAATCGAATGGGAAGGTCCTTGAGCGTTCGAGGCTGCGAGGCGAAGATGATGCAATGGCCTGGGCAATTCATGGGCTTAAGACCAAAAGCTTCGTCCACAGCTGTAGAGCTGGAGTGAGCAGAGCAGCACCCATCGCGCTCACTTGATGTCTTTCGAGCCAGTTCTTCCTCCCTCATGTCCTTCTCCTTGAAGCCTTCGACGCTGAACATGTCATCACGGTAGTTCTGCCAATGTCCACTTCGGACCCACAAGTCCTTCTTATACAGCTGTGGGCTGATGACTTCGTCGTACTCGTGGACATCATACAGATCACGTATCACCCTCTCCATCTTGCGGGCCAAACGAACACCGTGCGGCAGCATGAAGGGGATTCCTGGAGAGGACTGATGAGTGAGGAAGAGGTGCTGGGCTTTGCCGATCGCGTGATGGGACGATGCCGCTGCCTTCTCAATCGCCTGCAGATGAGCTTTAAGAAGCTTGTCGTTCGAAAATGAGATCCCGCGTAGTGACTGTAGATGTTGTGATGTTGGCAGAGATGTAGCTGGGTGAGAGGGATCGGTGGGTATAAAGGTCGCTGTCGACCACTCTGTCACTTTGAGCGCTTTGACAGCGCCGGTGTCAGGCAGCACCGGGCCCTGTGGCGCGATATCGACAAAGCTGTCCCCGAGGCGTATCACTTCAACATTATCGTTTGGAAAAGCTAGCACCCTCTCGATCTTGAAAGGGTTGCTCTTAAAAAACTCGATTGCTTCAGATTTTCTCACGAATTCCTTCCGGATGGGCATATTCTGGGAGACCATCTTGGCGATGATGCTTTCCAGCTGAGCAATGTCCTCTGTGGAGATGGGTGTAGGCTGAAGGGTCTGCGACGCAACAAGACGACCCACTGCTTCGACCGATTCGGCATAAGAAGTCAGTGCAGGTTCTGGTGCGTGCTCGGGTGGTCTCAGTAGATGCTCATAAGAGAAGCCGCTTCCGCCTGCACCAGACTCAAGCAACCTCGGCGATCCGGCTAGCAAACACCTATCCGCTCCATGTAATTGGACCAGCGCTGCTCCAAGCAGATAAGCAGAAGTATACCAGAACGCTTGTCGGCCGGCTGCGTGCTCGGAGTTAAAAGGAACGAAAATTGCAGCTGTAGCATCGGAGGGAAGAGGTTCGGAGAGAGAGATTGCAAGGCCCAGCTGGTCCTGGCCGTCTTTAGGTATTGCTGCAAAGAAGTTAGGATACGCTTTTGGCATTCGAGCTGTTCAAGAAGAACATGCTGAGCTATCAACATGATGAGGCGCAGGGAAGCAGGGACCCGTTGCAGCTGAATCTCTTACCTTTGAGAAGTTCTCCTGCTGTTCGGAAGTCTGCCAGATCTTGCTGCGAGATTTCAAGCGTCAAACCAATCTTTGCCTCTTCTGTGGCTTTCTCTTCCTTCTCCTTCCCTTTGCTCGGATTTCGTGAGACGTATTGTGAGATCGGCGACTTCCAGAGAGCTTGCGTGGGAGGATAAGCGAAATACCGCTGTCCTTGGACACCTGCCTGTGGCCGACTCGGTAGAGGTGGTAGAAGCCGTTCTTCGAGCAAGCCAGTAGATCGAGGCCTGAGTGGGATACTTCTACGGCGTCCTGCTGTCCATGTGAGCGCACGTAACGTCCTCGAGCCATGAGCTACGGAGCTGCCCATTGCAGTAGCAGCCGTAGGCGAGTAAGGAGCGGTAGGAAGAAGTGGTCGAACCGTTCGTGCATTGAGCCACACGGAAAGGGAAACGAGACCGGAACGGAACGGATTCACACGACTCATTGAATGAACGAATGTAGGCGGGGAAGCAATTTACTCTCCTTCCCGCAAATCCACATCTGCCTCACCTTACCGATCATTCCTTCACTGGCCTCTTTATACCCAAAGGACGGGCATGCCATGTCGCCTGCCACGGCCTCCTCATCTTCTTCGAGATTGCATGGCGCCAATGCTGCCGGAAGCAGTAGCCTGGCGTCGCCGAGCAGTCAGCGTAGGGCATCTAGGAAGACGCCGTCCAATGAGCAGCACCCTTTCCGCCTGGAAGTCCAGCAGGTGACACCCGTGTCGATCTCAATGAGATGGTCACTTAGGCCGCCTCCCATCAGCGAGCTCAAAAATTCAGGAGAAAACGGGACCGAAAGTCTGTTACGCAAAACCTTCGCTGCTGTCAGTCGCAAAGAGGCGCGGGCAGGCAGCGATGAAGATGACTGGCCTAGCGATGATGGCGCTACAGCTGTCAACGATGATGCATCGGATAGCGACGACCTCTCCGACAGCTCGGAGCCCGGACAATCGATAGACGATCATTCTCACTCGACGTCAAAAGCTGAATCTGGCTCTCTCTCCCTCAGCAGGATGTTCGAGTCGGGAGTCTCAGTCGTTCTCAATGGGCAGGCTTGGAGCCAAGTGGTCATCGGAGACAAAGGAGCCGACGAGGCAGTGATTGTCGTGTATGGTCTACATCCGGAAAGTGAATACGACCTTGAGATGACCGTTGGAACGCAAGACCAGAGGAAGGCAAAGCTTGCCGGTCGCTTTACAACTATCCGAGGTGAGTACATGGAGACGGTAGTGAAAGACGGAGGTCAGCAATAGCGCTGACTGCCACGCCTCCCCTTGTCCTTCTCTGCAGGTACAGCGTCTGGGAGTGACAGCGCTGGTCTTGCCACCCCAGAGGCTAGAGATGCCCCCACTACAACCGCCGTACCATCAATGAGTGCCAGAGGGACGTTCACTCCTCGACAAGCCTCCGACCACGGCCACCAAGGCGGCAACGGGACCTCCTCCCAAGAGACTCCTGCCGGCCACAAGGAGCTCTCTCAAGCTGATGTTATCGAGGCGCTACGCGACTCTCTGACAGCAGAGCTCCGGCAGGCGCGCAAAGAAGCGTCCCGGGCTGAGCAAGCGTTGCGCAACGAGATCGAAGCCATCAAGAAGTCTCTAGATCGTACTAGCGGAGTCGACCATCGCTCGAAGCAGAAAGTTCTGGCCTTGCAAGAATCGATTAGACAGGCGAATCAGTCTGCAAAAGACATCGCGGAGGAGGCCGAAGTGGTAGAATCGGAACATGAGAGCTGGGAAGCAAGGGAAAAGGAAGCTGTCGAAAAGGAAGGCTTGGCTCGCGAGAAAGCTGAAAGCGCTGAAGCACAAGCATCCGAAAAGATCAAAGAAGAGGAGGAATTGACCTCGGCTGCCGAGAAGGAGCTGGCCGGGGTGCAGAAGACCCTGAATGCTCGCACTTCAGAGGTGGAGAAGCTGGAAGAAGGCAGGCTAGCAGAGTTGGAAGCCCAGCTGGTTGAGCTCGAGGCAGAAGTAGAGAAGATGAAAGGGGCCAGTACACCTCCTCTCGCCGAACCTATGCGGTACTCGCGGGGCGTCTTGGAGCCACATGCTCCTCCTTTCCAGCCTGGTCAAGGACTTGCAAGTGGGAATGCAGCAAGGGGCGGCCCCACCGGTATGCGAGGCTCAAGACAGTTCAGAGACGGCAAGGGGGCTCCTGTGGGCGCGGCTCCTATCTCAGGAAACAAATCTGGACCTCAGCGCCATGCTTCTGGCGGCAGTCAGGCCAATAAGCGTGGCAGAGGTGGTATGACCGGACCTGGTCCTGGCGCTCATCCTCACAACATCATGGCTCCAGCGCTCAACTCTTCATCGTTTGACCAAGCCGGTCCAGGGTATCCGCCTATGATGCCTTACAATCCCGCAGACTTTGCAGGACCAAGCGGATTTGCCTCCGCTCCCGCCTCCAGTCGTCCCGCCTACCCAGCGGGACTGAACCCAGTCCTACCGGACTTCCAGCCTGGCTCTGGTCATCCATCGCCCGTCCTAGCCCGCAACCTCTCGCCAATGTTGCCCATGCCTCCCGGCTCCACTGGCTGGAACCAGGGCAACGCAGACTTCTCTCCTCAGGGGATGGCGGGTGGAGGAGGGCTCAACCGCATGCCCTTCAGGAACACAAGTGGACTGCCTATGCACGACTCCCCAACGATGGGAAGCTCTCACTTTCCCGGTGTGATGCGCGACTCACCGACGAGTGGAAGTGCCTACGCGTCCTCTGCCAGCCTCCTCACACCTTCCAGCGCATACAGTGGAGCGGCATTAAGCAAGGATCGCGGAAGGCGGTCCTCCTCTATGGGTTCGCCAGACGACTCTGCGGACATCTTCGACCCTACTTCCTCGGGCCCAAGTATGCACTCCCCTTCTTCCTCCAGTCACTTCTCTACAAGACCGACGTACGATCTAGGTCTCAGTAGCGGAAGTGCTGGTACAGGCGCGGGCGCACCTGCTTCACCATGGAATCGTACAACAGCTCTCCCTACCGAGCCTTCTCCCAAGCCTGGCGCAGGACCATTCTGGTCTTCAGCAGCGGCTACAGGTCCAGGCGGAGCCACACCCACGATGACTTCCTCTCCAACGATGGGCGGCCCGCCAGGAGGTGGGCTAGGCGGTCCACACTCTTCTTCCTCCTCGTCTGCAGAGGATATCTGGGGCCCCAGTCCTGGGCCTGCTCCTGCGAACTCATTGAACATGGTCAACGACCCTTCTGGTCGCTCCTCGCGGTCCACCCTTCCCAGCTTGCTTTCAGGAGCGGGCACAACCAGCAGTCACAATTCACCCGTACAACAATCCTTCCACCAACCACCATCGCAATCCCAAGCACAGCAGTGGCAGCATCCCCATGCACTTGGACAACTCTACGCGCAGCATCAACATTTCCCACTTTCACAGAGCCAGCGACACTCGTCTTCTACCAGCTCTCACTCGCCAAGTCAGAGCGGAGGAGGGAGTACGCCCCAAGGCGCAGGTGTGGGAGGAGGCGCTGCTCCTGGTAGTGTGAATACGAGTACGAATGCGAGTGCAAGTACAAGCACAAGTGGGAGCGCCAATGGAAGTGGTCCTGCGAGCGCAGGAGGAAGCATGCCGACTAGCCCAACCGTGCCTCTTGGCAGTGGCAGTGGCAGTGGCAGTGGCAGTGGCAGTGGACCCAGTGGTGGGTCGGGCAAGAGTGGAGCAACGTACGGAGCGATTGGAGCGGGTGGTACAAAATCCTAGACGAATCCTTACTAATACAGATGGACGTACTGAGCGATGCGAGATTTGGAAGTTGGCAAGGCAAGAGGGTGATGAGATGAAATGTAATAGAGAGTTTTTGTTGCTATTGCTACTTGTACAATTGGGGTCATGTCAGGCACTCTTTCTTTACTTTTAGCTATCCAACTAATCAACCCCAACCAAAACCAAACTAAACGAAACCGTCATTAGCTAGCAGTGTGAATGTGACGTAGGACAGGACACTGTCTTACTCGTCATCATCGCTTGCCTCACTTCCGCTCTCACTATCCTCCTCCTCCTCTTCCTCCGAATCACTCTCACCACTCTCACCGCTCTCCACCTCTTCCTCTTCCTCTTGTTCTTCCTCAGCATGACAAACAGAAGCCCAAACAGCCTCGACTTCAGCCTCCCATCGCTCCTCTCCTCTTCCAGCACGTCGAGCAAGGTGCAGGAGATGCACAGCGCCTCTTGTATCTCCTGCTTTGCTCTTACTACCCTCACCATTCTTGACATCAACTTCCTCTACGCCCACGGGATAGAGGGCGTTGCGGAAGAGACGTCCAAACGCCTCTAGCAGGTCCGCCCGCTCCTCCTCTCCTGCCACCTCGCCGCCTTTTTGTGGTCCTCGACCGGCCCGGTCTGAGCTAGGCGAGAAGAAGGAGGCGGCTCGATTGCCCGCCAGTGTCTGCAGCGACGTAAAGACCTCTGCCCGTGTGGCGGCAAGGAGAAATCGATCGTCCAGCAGACGGAAGTAGACGTGCAGACTCGGAGAGCTCTTGTGCGTGTCAGTGAGAATCTTTACCTGCTCTTTCGGATGAGTGGAAAGAGTGCTGCTGGAAGAAGAAGACTTGATAATGTACACGTACAGGGCTTCATCGTGTAGCTCCTGGTCCTGCTTTCTCTCCTCGAGAGTGGGCGAGGCGGAGCCTACTAGTGGGCCACGAGTGAGGCGAACCAAACTCTCGAGTGCCTTGACCAATTTTGTTGAGGATGATGAGGGAAGCGAAAGGCACCAGAGATGGAAGAGCTTGAACGTCTTGCGCGCTACGCGTGCGTACGGGCTTACGGAGGTCTTGAGAGAGCTAGACGTCAGGTCGAGGAGAGAGGACCAGAAGGCGAGTCCTCCTGTCTCTTCTTCCTCCTCGTCGAGGTTTGTATCTCGGAGGAGGGACTGCCAGGCGCACTTCGAGGACCAGACCCTTGCGTGCAAATGGGTGAAACATCTCTCGAGCAGAGGCGAAGAAGCCTCTCTTTCCTTGATGATGCTCAACAGCTCATCCCATGCTTCAGTCACCTTGTCCTCCTCACCCTCCTGGGCAAGAGCCTGCGTGTGCAATAGCTTCTGGTACCGGAATATGAGGGTCAACAATCTGACTTCCTGCTGCTCCGCTGTAGAAGTTCGAATCTGCTCCTGCCCTATGCGTTGCAGTGTCGATGCCAGGTATGGCAGCAGAGGGTCCTGCCTTGCTTGAGCGCCTAATCCAATTTCAAAAGGTGAGAAGGAAGGGGAGGACTCCTCGTCTGCACTATCTTCTTTGTTTTTCGAAAAAGGCAGATATGCGTACACCCTCCAGATTGACCAAGCGACCTTCATTCTGAGTGATGCTAGACTGTCGCCATCGCTGTTACGCATGTCATCAAGTATTTCCTTGATCTTTCTGGCCAGCAGCAACTGCACTTGTCCAGACGGTGTGCCAGCCGAGGATCCGTCTGCCAGTGATCGAAGAAGTAGAGAGAATTGCGAAAGGAGTTGCTCCTCCGTTTGCTCTGCTTCTCGCTCGCGGTTTTCTTTCTGCCCGGTCTTGAAGTCGATGAGAAGACCAGAGGCCTCTCCCATTGATCTGGTCCAAGAGGCTTGCTCGTAGCCTGCAGCCGCCCCACTGCCGAGATACGAGGGACGGAGTACACTGGCCACAGCCAGCTCCTTTCTGTCCTCTTCCCTTCTCTCTTCCTCACTAAGGAAGAGGCGAGCCTCCTCCTGCGAGCGCCGGTTGAGGTCTTCGGTGAGGGTGCGCAGACTTGTGCTCTGCCTCGCCAGCGTCAACACTTTGGCATTCCCAGGCGACTGCTGGGCCAGAGGCGATAAGGCGAGAGCCATGCCCTGCAGCAAAGCAGACCTTAGCTCCTCTCCATCCTCGCGTCGGTCTCCTTTACTGCTATCTTCGCCTGACAAACGAGCAAAAGGGAACTTCTGTACCTCCTCCGTGACTGCGAGGATGAAAGCTAGGCGTGCCTGGGCTGGCAGGGAAGGCCCCGCCTTCTTGATGATTGACTCTTCCTGACTAGAGGCTGTCAGAGCTAAAGCGGAGGAGAAAATTGCGAGGGGTAATGCGCCTGACAGAACCTTGGAAGGGGCTGTAGCCGCTGCTGCTACGCTAGCGCTCTGAGCGGCTCCCCCGTCCTCGTCTTCATCTCCTTGACGGATCTTCTGCATCGCAGAATTGCCTCCTGAGCTCTCGATACCCTCGCCTCCTTGATCTTCCTCCTCGCCGTCCGGCGATGTCGCCTCTTCCTGAGCCTCTGTCGAGGCCTCCTGAGTAGGCTGCGAGGTAGCGTTGATGCCCAGAACGGCCCATCGCCGACGTAGTCTTTCGAGGAAGACCAATTCCATTCTGAAGTATTGGACCCACAGATCGAGGACATTGCGCGTCGATGATGTAGGCAAAGAATGCAAAGAGAGCCTTGCCGCATCACTTGAGCTAACACTAGCGAATTCGACCTCCTGGCTTGCTGCACCATTGCTCATCTTCATCTTTTTCCTCCTGGCAGCTCCTCCTTTTGAAGGAGGCTGATGCTGCTGGCCGTTGCTGCTTTGCTCCGCCATGGACGTGTTGAGTCGAATACCTCTGAGCAGGGTAATTCTAGCGGCTGACGCATCAGTGTTGTTATTCAGCTCCCAATCTGCTACACGGATCCAAAGGGCAGCTTCGCTGGGATGCATGCTCAATCCCTGAGCAGCCACCTCTCCATAGACTCTTCTCATCTTCCTCTGCTGGAGAAAGTCGAGGTAGAGGGAGTAGACGTTGGGTTCCTTTCTTGCCTTTTTGGCAATGAGGCGTTGCCAGATGGAGATGATGTGCTTCTCCATGCCCCTTCGAAGCATACTTCGGTCCTTGACTGTGACACGATCATCTCCCGTCTCTGGGTCTTTACCGGCCCTCGAGATGCGCAAAAGCACCAGCTTTTCGACGTCGAGTTCGAAGGCGACATATTGAAGGAAAGTGGCGGGTGACGAGGCGGGAGTGATGAGAGCGGTCTCGTGGTGTCGCCTGGTGTGGGTGAGTGCTTGCAGCTCGGTGGCAGAGAGAAGGGAGAGCTGCGACAGGAGCTGGAGCGTGGGGAGGAGACGCTCCAGATGGTACTGCACCCTGTCCATGTCTGCTGATATGGCACGACGATGGCGTGAGTGGTGTGATAGTGAAAGGGCGGGCCGAGTGAGTAAAGGCAAGTCGTCTCCTGTGCCTCACCTTTGCTTCTCTGTCCTGTGGTCTTCGAGAGTACGAAGTTCCGGCGGCGGAGTCTCATTTGTCCTTCCGTGCTTTCCTGTGTGGTGAAATTTAGCGCGCACAGATCTGACGGTTGAAAGTCCGCCCTCGCACGACGCATCCGAACACATCCACGCCAGGGTCACGGCGGGGCGGAGGACGCTGGGCCGAGGGAGGCGGGCAGACAGACACACAGGCAGCGACGCAGTGGCCCGCTGCATTGACTTGTTACTTCTACGCCTCCCCCCACGCACACGCACCTACTCCAACCATCACCACCATCACTCTCTCTCTCTCGCTACCAGCATCCTCGTACACATCACTCGTGGCTGCTCGTCTACTTGGACCTTCGCTCCGCCCGCAACGCCCGCCCATCTGCCTCCGTCGGGCTAACCTCGCAGCCCCAGATCATCGCACAGCCTCCGCTCCCCGCGCCAGAGCAACCAATTCGGCGGGGCCTTTCGTACTAGACTCGGACATCTCACTGCTCCCACCCAAGGCATTGACCTGTCCCTTTTACCTTACTATATCGCTGAGCAGCCAATATGCCCAATCCTCATTACGACTTGCTGCTGAAGCTCCTCCTCATTGGAGACTCTGGTGAGTGTCCCTCAAGCGGATCTGCTTCCGGCGCTCAGCCCCTGCTCACACCCCTTATTCCTGCTCTTCTGGCATCCCATTTCTCTCCCAGGTGTTGGAAAGTCATGTCTGCTGCTACGATTCTGCGATGATGCATGGACACCCTCCTTCATCACCACCATCGGAATTGACTTTAAGATCAGGACAATTGAGCTCGATGGAAAGAGGATCAAGCTGCAGATTGTGAGTAGTCACAGAGTAGGGTATATGCGGTGTTCAGCTGCACAAGAGGAGCACATGTCAAGAACAGGAGGGCAGATATACGATCATGCTTGCTCAGCGGTACACATTACTGACTGGTCAATCTTGCGCACCTCAAATACTATCCTCTCCACAGTGGGACACAGCAGGACAAGAGAGGTGAGAGCTCTGCAGAGCCTACAGAGGGCCAAAGGCATGTACCATTGTCGCTGACGCTCTACTCTTCAAACCTCCCACACAGGTTCCGAACAATCACAACGGCTTACTACCGTGGCGCAATGGGTATCCTCCTCGTCTTCGACACGACTGATGAGAGGAGCTTCCAGAGTGAGTATCAAAAGACGACAGAGTCCGGCTCTTTAGATGGCCGCCTGCTCTAGAGACCTTGACTGACACATTCTTGGACATTTTCTCTGCCTCACAACCGCACAGACATCCGAACTTGGCATTCCAACATCGAGCAGCACGCATCCGAGGGCGTCTCCCGTCTGCTAGTCGGCAACAAGTCCGACTGGACCGAGAAGCGGGCCGTCTCCCGCGAGGAAGCCCAAGCTCTGGCCGACGAGCTAGGTATCCGCTATGTAGAGACCAGCGCCAAGAACAATGATCAGGTTGACGATGCCTTTTTCAGCTTGGCTAGGGAGGTCAAGGCGAAGCTTGCAGAGAGTGGAGTGGCTGGAGCGGCTGGTGGGGCTGGGGGAAGTGCAGCGGCTGGTTCGACGGGGGCTAGTGGAGGAAATGTCAATGTGGGCGCTCAAGGGAACACCAAGGCAGCGGGAGGATGCTGCTGAGGGGACTCTCCTGATAGACCAGGGCACTCTCACTTCTCGGCCGTCAAGCAGCACAAGCAGGAGGGACGAGTAGGAGGAGCACGAGTCGGACTTCTACACTAGCTCCCGACGATACTTCTGCACCTATCCTCCCCTCTCCCTGCTCCGCCCCTCTGGCCACCCGCCTCGTCCCCTCGACCCCTCTCCCTTGTCTTTACTCCTCTCCTGTCCTCTCCTATTCTCTTGTCCTTGTCATGATTCTGCGAAATAGCACCTCTTACGTCCCCATTTCCGTCCCGTCCCCGTCCCCGTCCCCGTCCCCGTCCCCAACCTGGTTGCTCTTGCTTGCTTGCTCTGCAAACTCCCCCTCGAGGTCTGGAGAGAGAGAGAGAGAGAGACTATTCTATCGATCGCCAAATGAGCACCAAGGCTCGGATCGGGGCGGGGCGAGGCAGTCTCGTTCAAGTCTGCGTGTGTGGGCGTGGGCGTGGGTGTGGGTGTGGGTGTAGGTGTTGGTGTGGACAAAATGGCGTTCCATCCATCCGTCCATCCATCCATTCCTCCATATGTACCTGAGATGTGTACCTGAGATGTGGAGCTCATGCGTGCGTGCGTGCGTGCGTGCGTGTGTGCGTTCATAGCCAATATGTCTGTGTGTGAATGTGAGCGTTGTGGTGTGTTTGTGTGTGTGTGTGTGTGCTGAATACAAGTGAAGACCCGGGATTGGAATAAAAAAAGAAACTGAACTCTGGACTGAACTGAACTGAAGTTCACTGGACTGGACTGGACTGAACCGAATCGATCAAGTGAGAAATGATTCCTCTTTTCCAAGCTGCTGAAGCTTCTTCCTTCCTAGCTTCCCCTCTCTCCCTCTTTTCACCTGTCCGACCTTTTCCCCTTCTACAATCTCCTCCCAAACGCGCTCCTATTGCCTCCCCTCCCAGGTCCGCCTCCAGCGGCACCACCGCCACCAGGCGGGCCCGAGCCCGTAGCAAACCCAACGTGGCCTCCTCCGCTAGAGCGCTGCCGAGCGTGCTGCTGCTGCTGTCCATCCGCCCCAACTGGCGCTCCGTGCATCATCCTAGTGCGGGAAGCTCCCGTCGCAACTGCCGGTCCTGGGCCTAGGTCGTGTAGCTGATATCCACCACCACCGCCACCGCCACCACCGTTGCCTACAGGTCCTCCTATTGAGGGTGGTTGAGGGGAAATGTTTCCCCGTAGGAGAGAGACGTCTTCCCTGCTTGCTTCGAAGTTGGTCGTGCTGGCATTCATCCCATAGCCCATGACTGCAGCAGGGCTACTGCGACCATTTGGATGTCGTAGAGGATCATAGCTGCCTGGTGCTGGACTGGAACCATTGCGATAGGGTGGTGCACGGGCATTGACTCCTCCTCCTCCTCCTGCGGGGATGAACGTCGCGCCGTTTGCTCCTGGTGCACGATATCCTGGATCTCCACCAAGACCATTGGGCATCGGCGGTCGAGGGTTCTTGGATTGCCGCTGGGACCGGCGAGCCTGTGCTCGACTGGGTGCGAGAGGTTGAGAGCGTAGAGAGAGGGTTCGTGGCACGGGCTGTAGACGATCGCCTCCTGGCTTCCATTGTCCCTGAGGTGCAGCTCCGGCTCCTGCCTCTCCGGCGACGAACTCTTCCTTTTCCAACATGGCCTCGAGCTCTCCTGCCGCTAGCACATCTGCTGTTCCGTCTCCATCAATGATCATCGTATGGCGGATCACTTGAGTAGGGGGCGGAGCCGCTTCCTCGTACACTCCCACATGAGCACCCCACACATCCTCTTCAGTCGTCTCTGACCAGGTGTCAGACTCTCTGAAGTGAGGATGACGAGTGCGGGGCGCGCCAGTGTAGTCTCCATCAGGGGAGTGAGATCCTTGTGATCGCAGGTCTTGTTGGTCGTTCCAGAATTTGCCACCGAATTGGGCTTCCATCTCACGTCTCCGCTTCTCAGCCCGCTTCTGCCTGTTCTGCCGACTGCGCTCCCAATCTTCCCACTTTCGCAAGGGAACACTGGCAGCGGCAAAGACGCTGTCTCCCTCACCACCTCCATGCCCGCCTTCTCCCTTTCCTTCACCTGCAACTTTCCGCGTCTCACCCCAGGAAAAGTCGTCAAAGTGCCAAAAGGCATACGTCGGGAGAATAAAGTTCCAGACCGGCAGGAAGACGAGGTAGATTCCCATCCACATGACGTAGACGACCTTTCTTGTTGCGAGTAGGATCAGGAAGGCTGGTAGACCAATGACGGCGATAAGCAGCATCAACGGGATAGCCTCGGAGAAGTTCTTGGGTGGGTTGAGGCAGTAGGACACAATGAGAGTATACGTCAAGCAGATAGCTACGGGTAGGACCAGAGTTCCGACCAGATCCATGAAGATGACGAATTGCATCGAGAAGCAGAAAGTCCCGCAGAGATCCCTGACTAGCACGAGCTCCATGAGGTTGTGAATCGTAGAGTTGATCCACCTTCGTCGCTGTGACAGGAGCATCTTGAATGTGTGGGGCACCTCTGTACGGCACCGAGCTTGCGGCACAAAGATCATCTTGCGATTGGGGAACGTTCTCAGGAGAGTGGTAGTCAGGAATCGGTCCTCTCCCAGCAGTAGCAGATTCTTCTGATGCAGCGTCGACACAGTCGACTGCGAGTACTCCCTCGTGATCTCGGGCTTGACAAGGATAGGTACCCAGTCGTCATCTGATGGCTTTCTTGCCTTGATTCTGTACATCGAGAAGCAGCCTGGCAAGCAGGTCACACCACCAAAGACAGACTCGAAGGCTTTGACGAGGTGATGACTGATAAAGTACTCGTAGACCTGGATCGCAGTCACCCAGCTAGCCGTCTTGTTTGAGATACGAGTCTCACCGCAAGCTCCCATGACCATGTGGTCCCTCATCATCGCATTTGACAGCTTCCGCATGCCTGCAGGATACACCTTGGTATCGGCATCCACCATCAAGACTAGCTCAAAGAAGTCAGGAGTGACACCCATGAGTGCCTGAATCTTGCGGAAGAGGTCGAAGTCTAGAGGCGTCATGCGATCGTTGTAGGTCACCCGCTGGAGGAAGTTCATGAGAATCATCTGAGAGTCTCGCTTGCCTCTGTTGCCAGGCTTCCCCTCGCCTGCCTCTTCGGGTGTACCACACTTGACGATCACCACCATTGGCACCCTGCGGCCGCCCGAGGCACGCGCGTAGTGTCCAGCGTAGACCATGGCCATGTTGTGAGCTTTGGCTCCTTGTGCAACTGCGACAAAACTCATGGGCATTGGTGTACCGAAGCGAGTATCAGCATCAAGAAGCCCCACGCAGGTGTCAGGTGTGGATTGTGACTCTCCATGACCCGTGACCATGCCGTCCGCAACAACGAAGAGAAGCTTCTTGTGATCCGGATAGTCGCTGTCTGCGAGCGACGTGAGTGTTGTTCCAATTCCTTCCTCGTTCTCTGAATAACACGTGACCAGACTGATGATCCACGGCTCGATACCGATCGTCTCGGCAGTCAGGACTGTATTCACAGAAGGGCTTGAAGAAGCCGCATCTGACCAGGCTCTCTTGGCTATGGGTGTGAGTTGCTTGTTGAAGGCGGCAACTCCTCGGTCCCTGCCTGCCCAGGGAGCGGCCCCGGAAGCATTGACTGCAGTCGCCGCATCCTGAGGCAGGACGTTGAGGGGCACCTTCTTCTGGCCGTCATCCCGCGGAGCAGAGGACATCCTGTCCGCGAGGAACCAAGAGAAATACAGCGCCATGAAGAAGCGGATCATAACCACGCCCAAAATGGCCAAGAGGGATACGTAGAGGAACATGTCGGAGACGAAGCAGCCTGGTGTTATCTTGTCTATGCTGCCAGCCATGTACTTTTCCATCATACACGGAATCGCGTTCTTGGTGGCGGAACTGGTGTAGAAGTACCTGGTTGCATCGCGGGCTCCGCTGTCTGTGAAGTTTTGCAGCTGACTTCTGATTGCGAGATCTACCGAATCGTTTGCAATAGCCTTTGGATTGGCAAGCAGATACGGGTTCATATTGAGAACATGACCCTCAATGACTAGATAATTGGCGAAGGTTGAATTCTTGAGATCCTCCCAGCCATAGCCAACCCGTCTTGTTAGGTTCGTCATACCAAGAGTGGCGAGATTTGTCGTATTGAGGTAGCCTAGAGCGCACTTGGTCAGCGTAGCAGTCGACATATCGCATGTGGTGCTGGTCGCGTAGGCTCCCGTTTGATTTTGGCAAGCCGGATAATCGTTCTTGACCGTCCGGTTGAAGAGAGTAGTGACATCATACCCGGAAACTGTATCTGCCATGGTCCAGAGGTCCACTCCAACCTGGGCGGAGTCCGGGAGCTTGGCGGCGCTGATGTCGAAATTCCACCCATCGATCCCCAGTGTCCCTGACCCTGACCCGATGCTGGCAAATGACCGGGTACTCGCCGTTGCGGTACTCGGGCATAGGACCTTGTTCAGTGCAATGGTCACGAATCCTACTATTCCTCCGAGCGTCAGTGCAAGGCTGACTAGCGTGACTCTGGTACGAGGAGAAGGTAAAGAGCAAAGACGAATGGAATGGTCAGTATTCTCAACGTTCGCATTTACAAAGCCCCTACCAGCCTCATCCGACTCTCACTTTTCTCTCCATGCCTGCTGCGTCGCCTTGTCCCTCATGCCGCAAGCACTCAGACATGGGGACAGGGCCCAGAATGTCAGAACCTTGGAGAATATCCTCCAGGTGGGCGACCCGGGCTCGCTTGTACTTGCTGCTGATGATGATTGTGGATTGATGAGGGGTACTTGGGGATGTTGCCGTTCCGGCCTGGTCAGCGTCTTGGACCTCTGCATTCTGGTAGGCTGCCGTAGCGGCGGAGGCGCCTCTGTCCGGATCGGTATCGAGGTGTCCCTACCCACTCCCGAGTTGGCGCCTCCGGGTTTCCGCACAAAGGACTTGCCCCAGGTGGCATTTCTAGAGGGAGCCATCGTGGGCAGCTAGACTGGCTCTGCCGCCAACGTGCCGCTGGGCGTTCTATGTCTGAAGCGCGGGGTTATTGTGGCGAGGCAAAGCAAAAGGTGTCGGACTGTATAGAGTCGGAGGTCAGGTGTGGACTTGGTAGCAGCTTTACGCCTTGTGGCAGACTTTTGCCGGAAGTGCTTGAGCGAGCGTGGCAGATGGCGAAGCAAGCTGGTGTGTGCGTCAGAGCGATGCAAGTAAAGGCAACCACGAGGTGTCTGCGAGATGCTCGAGGGAGCAGAGATTCTCCAGAAAGGGTGATTTGGGTAAAGACAGGGGCACCTCGGACGTAGAGGGAGATGATAATGGAGGAGACAGGAATCCTCGCCTACGGGCGCGCACCTGTTTCTGTAGGTTTCTAGCCGAGAATGTGGGGATGACAACGTGAGCTAGCCAGAGCTCAGAAGTGGCCGGGAGAGAATGGGGAGATGGAGCTGGCGATGAAGTGGATCAGCAGCTGTGAATCGTACGGAGCTTCGTAGTCGTCGTGATCGTCGTGTGCAAGGCCAAGAAGAGAGGCAAGTCGCGTCGTGGAGGGTATCGAGTGAATGTGGAAGCAGAGGTAGAGGCCCAGAGAACTTGGAGCCAGTACGTGACGCGAAGGGCAAGGGAGACGATGAGGTTGGGTCTTCGTTTCCTGGCCTTGTATCGGGAATGACTTGCAAGACAGCGGGATGAATGCCCTTGAGCTTGATGAGGGGAGGCGTGGTGATCTGAATGTAGGTTTGAGATTCTGGAAAGGGGGGGTTGGCTTGGGGGGGGGGAGGGAGGCTCGCCTGCCTGCCTGGGAGCGCGATGGCTCACTGCCGGGCGAAAGCGCACACACACACGGACACACACACGCGGCACTGGCCCACTCAGTCGGTCAGCCAATCAGGCCGAGCAGCCAAGCCTCCGCGTAGCGCGACGCAAGGCACTGTTGGTCTCGAGGAAAAAAACGCCCAGGCAAAGGCGCACCACTGTCGAGGCACCTCGTCCTCATCGCCACGGCGTCTAGACTCTTCAAGGTGTGCCATGTGGGGCCTCATCCTGCCAACAGTTGCTCAAGGCGATCACATCTCATCTGGCAAAGGCAGCACCTTGCTCTTCACCAGATGCAGCCAGACAGACACTTTGCCTCGTTGTACCTGAGATACGCAGCGCAGGCTACTGGGGGGGCTCGGCCTCGGACTACAAGACGCGCCCGGCACGCGTGAATACAACAGGCTCAATCACAAGGGTGCTTCGCATCACATTGCAATACAATTGTATTACGCTCATACACGGGCAGAAGTGACACTCTTCCTAATCATCATTCAGCCCGCAGACGGCAATCACACTCTTCTCAAAAGCGTCCACTGCCCTCCACACGTCTTCGAAGGAGCTATACTGCGCCAGTGGGGCAAAGCGAATCACATCAGGGTTACGAATATCCGCGATGAGAGAAAAGTGCTCTTCAGCATACGTCTGAATACGCGAAATGAGCGTTTCAGACGAAAGCGGCGGTGGGACGCCGTCGTCGTCTGTCTGAGCCTCGCTTGCATTGGCTGACTTCTGAGAAGAGGGACCGGGACCATCGCTAGTGGTCGTGGCTTGATTCGGAATCCGGATGGACAACTGTGACCCTCTCTGATGTGGGTCACTCGGAGTGATCAAGTGCATCCCAGCCTTTTTGAAGACAGGTGCATACCTGGTAGAATGAAACAGGAGGTACTCGAGGTATCCAGTCAGTTGCAGAGACCTCGCCCTCAACACCGGCATAATGGACCCAGAGCCAACAGTCGTCTTGGCCTCCTGCTCCTTTGCCCAAGGCTGAGTGCCTACCACTTTTGCATGATCGCTCGCACCCAGAGGTGACAGCTCTACAGCAAGTGACAGCGTCTCGAGAGAGCCTCTCAGCACCGCCATATCTAACGTGCTCGGGTTAGACACTTGCCACCCAGCAGCTCCGACCGTTGGATCAAACTCGGACGGCATGGCGAAACGAGTAGAGCGCTTGTGGCCCCACCAACCTGCCGGCCGGAGCAAAGGCGATGGATCCGGATCTTCGGTGGAGAAGGTTGGCGATCCGCCCCACTTCTCGTGAATGAAGAGGCCGGCGATTCCTCCTGGACCGGAAGAGCCATACTTGTAGGTACACCACACAGCAAAGTCTACACCCCAATCATGCAGTGCTAGCGGAACATTAGCAAAGGCGTGAGCAAGGTCCAGACCACAATAAATGTCTAGCTCTTGTGCCTTCTCTGCGATCCGTTCGAGCTCAAACAGCTGGCCTGTGAGGTACTGAATGCCTCCGAGCAAGATTCCCCAACACTCCCCAGTAGCTGCTTCCTGCTCCATTGTATGCAGAATGTCTTCCGTATTGAGAGTCTTTGTGCCCTCCCTCGGCTTCAAAGGGACAAGCGATGTCTTTGGGTCGAGTCCATTCAGCTGCACCACAGAAGCCAAAGCATATTGGTCCGAAGGGAACGGTGATTGCTCATGGATGATCTTGTGCTTGGATGACCGCTTTGCGAGGGGTCTGTAGAAGGTCTGCAGGACCGTATGGAGATTACCCGTTAGGGTATTCATGGCCACCACTTCGCTCGGCTTTGCACCAGCAATATCGCTCATGAGCCAATTGACCTTGTCGTCCATCCTGGTCCATTGTCGGTCCGGTCCGAAGGGGTGATTGAAGTGGCCCAGGACGCCATGAGTGCCCCATGCATTCACTTCTTCCAGCACAATCTGTTGGCTGCGCTTCGCTAGTGGGCCCAGGGAATTACCACAAAGGTAGAGGGAGGTCTCGCCATCAGACGGTGTGGGAGGCTTGGGAGGGGTGGCTGAGGTAGAGACAGGGTGAACGGAGCTGGCGAGGGGTAGATGATACTGTGACCGAAGGGCAGACAAGGGATCCTGCGAATCAGCCGCTTTAGCAAACTCGCGCGTCTCGAGTCCGACGTTGTGGTCTTGCGCTACCCGCTGAAGTTGGGCAGGAAGGAGGCAGGGAGGCGTGACGGACTTCATCGTGGGACTGATCCGATTGTGAGTGAGCCGATGTGGCTTGGTTTCGTGGTAGGCAGTACAAGTCGAGGTCAGCGATAATGTCGTCAGCGGTATCTTCCCCGTTGTGACGCGGGGAGGAAGGCGAAGCGGAAGGAGCAACGTGGCTATGAGGTTCTCGGCTAATCCACGGTCCGGTCAACATTGATGATGCCTCCTGTGACACTTCGCAAGGGTCTCTTGAACACAAGACGGTCCTCGTCGTCTGCCGAGCATCTCACCATCACCCCATCATCTTCTACAGACGAAATGAGCGATGCCTACCTCAATCTCTGATCTTGGCGCGGACGCTTCATAGAGGTCTCCAACCCCTTTGCGAGCCCTTTCCAACTGCATTCAAGACCGGAGCTCGGCCATGCATTCTGGAGCCCGATCACCTGATTTCAGTGCCACCCTCGACCGGCAGTGGGCCCATAGATCACAATCTCAGCTGGTCGACAGCTCTGAGATTCCGAAAGCTGTCCATCCGTTGGCTTCTGGGAGCATCGGATCTGCCCCGGGTTCGAGAGCTCACACTCCTTTCGAGCAAAGGATTCTGCACTTGCCTGCCAATGCAGAGAACGACTCTGGCTTCTCGCAAGAGCCGGTTCAGGGCTCCGCGGAAGACAACGCAGACGAGCGAAACTCGCAACAGAAAGCGCACGATGTCAACTGGTCTACGATAGTCTTGAAGAGAGCTGATGATGCAGAGGCCGAGGGGGCTCTTGCCAAGCTGGAGAGGATGAAGAAGCAAAAAGATACAACAAGAAGGTGGATGAAAGGAACGGGCGCCTCACTGCTCGTCAAACATCGCCGGAAATCTTCAGAGAGTGTGGATCTCTCCCTGCCAGATGCTTCCACGCCTGACCTATCGGGAGAGCCCGCAGAAGTCACACTTGGCATTGTATCACGTCCCGAATACTCTGTCATGGGCGTGAGAAATGCGGCTCAAGATACCGCTGGAAGAATCCCAGATAAGTCACGACTTTCGCTATCGCTATCGCGAACACAATCTCCCCTTGCGGCAGGGACTTCCGATGCTATGGGAAGTCGTGCCGGTGAATCCAGCGTGGGTGCAAAGCCCGGAATACAAAGCGCCAAGAGCCCTCTGCAGGGTCCTCACTACACCTCAAGTACGTCCGTGGCATCGCCGGAAGCCAGCACAAGTAGGCTACTATCGCCCCTCGGAGAGGAGCTCAAAGCTGTAGAAGAAGAGCGACAGGACGAAGAGGTCGGGCGGTCTGCTCGAACGTCTCCTCAACAAGGGCGTGACGAGCCTCGCTCGCGCCCTCGGATACCCACGCTTCACATTCAAGAGCCTAGTGAAGCTTCAGCTGAACCTACTTCATCGCCTTATGCGCCACCATCATCATCATCGTCGTCGTCTACGGGTCTTGCTGTAAGACCCGTTGCGGTGCGGAAAGGCCTGAGCCTCGGTGTCGACGGCGCTGGTGTAGCTATGGATCGCCACAGCGGCGATGGCAGTAGCAGCGCCAGTCAACCCGAGTCTTTCCTTGGCGAGCAGATGTATGATGAGCCAGAGGGCGACGATGACTTCCCCAGACAAGGCCAGCATCCTTCCGCCCTCGACAGAGACGTGAGATCGCAGGCTCTGTACGAGAATGATACGTCATCTGACTCAGATGTAGAGGAGGTGCTCGGATCAGCAACAGCTCGTAGGGGCACGGCTGATGATTCATCTGAGGATGAGGCTTCGATGGCCCAACTCAGCCTGCAGCATGGTCAACGCGCGATGGGAGGGCCTTCACGTAGAAAAGTGAAGCGAGAAATGGTGCCCTCTGCAAACGCACGCCGGGGCACACTCGGACACGTTCGAGCTACTTCTCTGGGTGACCGAGTGACTAGGGGCCTGACCTATGCTAGCAGCGAGAGTCGCAATCGTAGAGCTATGGAAAAGTACACTCCTGCACCCGCTAGAGTGGTCAAGCAAGGCGACAGTCGATCCACGACCCCCACATTAGGCGCCCCTTTTGATCTATCGACCACGTTCTTCGGCGGTAGCACAACGTCGTTCTCGGAAAGACCTTCGCCTGCAGTCGAAGAGCCTGGCGACCCTCTCTTTACAGGAAGTGGCTATCAGCAGTCATTGGCAGAGGCCGCAGCACGGACCCGGGATACTCCCTTCGGTGGCTACTCCGCACAACGCCTGGATTCGGAGCGCGGTGCGAATCGCACCGACAATGCTTCTCCGCAGCTAGGATCGTACGCCCTGCACGCCTCCCGATCCGAAACGCCTCCACTACAATCGTTGGGAACTGCGGGTCCAGGTTCTGCCCTCGATCCAAGGCGGGCGTCCATCTCTTCGATCACTTCACCTGGGCAAGAGCCTTCTGATCGATTCTCCTTTGGCTTGCCTCGTCGTACAGGCACATTCCGCTCGGTCAGCTTGGCCGGCACAGGGGAGAGAGGAGGTGCACACCCATCTCATACACGACTTCCCCGACCTTGGCGACCCCGCCAGCGTCGGAAGTGGAAGCAACACGTGGTAGAAGAATGTAAGGTGACACCCGACGAGGAGCTGACCGGTGCTGACCCAGATCAGGAGCTTGACGATGTTCTCGGTAATCTCATCTTGGAGGAGGATCCCGACCAAGTGCGCGAAAAGTACGACTGGGATGTCTTGTATGAAAATCAGCGCGGGCTTCTCTTCTTTGGCATTCCGAAGTTTAGCGCTCGAGTGCTGATGCAATGGGACCCAGCGCCATGGACGGATCGCAAATTTCAAAATTCTCCCTACAACATCGTCAACGCTCAGCTGCCGGACACTAGATGGGACTGGGTTTATCCCGAGTGGCTGATTGACATGTCTGGAGATGTTGATGAATCGGGCTGGCAGTACTCTGGTAGCTTCGGTCGCATCCCCATCTCCAAGATGAGCAGGTACATTGGATTCCAAATGGCCAAGAGGGCAGGGCGGGTCCCTCAAGGAAGCGCATCCGGTGAGATGGAAATGGAAGGCGTTGAAGCAGCAACACATCGCAAGCAAGAGAAGCGGAAGCAGAAGGAGCAGACAAGGGAAGATGATGGGGTGGAGGCGCTGAAGAGAAGCATAAAAGCAAGGGGCAACAAATGGACCGGCCGACCAGATGGCGCTACTTTTGTCAGACGACGTCGTTGGATTCGACTCAGGAAACGGCGAGGCCTCGTCCCCGCAGGTTCTCTTCCCAAAGGAGACAGCAGTCGCCAATCCGCAGAGCCCGTACAGGGCGTCGTTGAAGTAGCTCATACCAACGGCAACTATGTCCCCAAGGCATCTGGCGCCTCTTTAGCGGCTGACTCGACATCGGATTCCGGATCAAGTCTTACCTCTTCCGACGAGGAAGATGATTCCTCATCCGATGGTGAAAGCGCCTCAGTGGACTCGGACCCTTCAGCTGTCTCGCCACCACATCGACTGGCGGAACATCCACGCAATAGCTCTCACGCCTCCGATCCCCGCAAAGAATTGTCACAGGCAAAACGGCAACGGCGCCATCAGAAGGAGTTCACGGGCACGTTGCGAGAATTGAAGCATCTACTTCCTGCCATACTTGATCCCAAAGGAGCTTTGCAGCACAGCCTCGACCACCAGTTGAGTGGTCAAGACTTGGCTCTGGGTTGTATCGATGCACGGAACCCTTACATTAGCTGGAAGTTCGTCAAGAAGCGTCTCAATGAAGATGACATGAGCTGGAAGACTACGGCCCTTCGCCAGAGGGAGCGGCATTACCAGACTAGAAAATGTGATGGTTTCAGACTTCCTACACGCAGACGTACATCAGACGCCAACGGTCGAAGGCAATTCCCTGCTTCCCTCGGCTCAAGACATGGCACCACTGATTCTGTTCGTCAGTCCAAGGGTCCATACGCTGACGGCACAGGTAACGCTGCACGCCGCAGCTCACAAGCTTCGATTCCCATTTTCAGCGCTACCGATGCCAATGAAGCGCCTTATCAAGACATGTTCGCAGCCATTGATGCCTACGAGCTCACCAAAGATGCGCTGGTCGATATCAACTGGGTCAGGGTGAAGAGAGTCTTGAGAGCCTGCAACCTTGATCGTCAGCGTTTGGATCTCTGGAGATTGTGGCTGGGCCTTGACGGCCCGATTCTGGTGACCTCGGAGCAGTTGCTTGCAGAGGGCGAGACTGCGCTCCATTTGGCGGCGACGACAGGAAATTGGACGGCCGCTGAAGAGTTCATGGGCTCTTATCAGACTGATGGTCACGGCAGACGATCCAGTGTGACCTCACTTGCCGGTCCATCTACCAAGGCGCCTAGGAGACGTCATACTTCGCAGCCCCAATCTTCTCAAAGGGATCAGAGCTTCAATATTCTACCTGATGCAAACGATGTCTGGGACCTCCTGGAACGTCGGATCGATTCGATCCTGATTCTGTTCGAATTTAATGGTAGCCGAGCTTATCTATTGAAGCTCCTGCTTAGCATTCACGATGGTGCTCATGGTCAACACCGACATCGTCCCGAGACCTGGTCATTCCGGGATGAGGCAGGAAAGCACTATCAGAGAACCGCACCTCAGGTCCTCGCACCTTGGGCCCATGGGCCCAGAGGGAATGGTCACTCTACAGATCGGATCGGCCAAAGTAACGGCAACGGTACAGAAGAGGGAGATTATCCTGAAAATCCGTACAACAACGACTGGGTAGCCGGACTAGCGACTCGTCTTCAATTCTATTCCGATGTGCAGGAGATCGCCACCTCGTTGCAAGATCACAGTGGGGCAAGAAACAGCTTCAGTCCTCCAAGGCCTGAAGCGACTTCTGCTGGCCTAGGAATCTCGCCTCGGAACGGGGAGACAGTACCTGTTCGCTTCCGTTCGCCATTCGCTGAAGCCTCATCGAATGCGGAGACCAGCGCCGGACCAAGTTCAGCCAATGATGCCACTCCATCTCCTCCTCACGCCCCTACCAATACGCGTGGACAGCCAGTCTTGCATTCCTTGAGGACCAGTCCCTCTGCACTCTTCCAGGCCTCGGGTCGGAATCAGCAGTCCTCTGCAGACACGGTAAAGGGCAGTAGTGCTGCCGTCAGGTTCGCTCAGAACATCGGCAGAGAGCCTTCACCCCGGTCACGTTCTCCAGCCCAAGATCACGCTTCTGACCTCGGGTATCATGGTCCATTCCAATCGCACTACCAGCTTCAAGCTCCGCGTGTACAGCAGCAGGGGACATCGCAGCCACAGCCACAGCAGCAGCAGCAGCAGCAGCAGCAGCCAGAACGACCAAAGTCGGCTTCTCGACTGTCTCCCTCTCCACTTGATAGGCCGGCACGCCATCGAGGAGTGGGCGTCAATGGTCCACCTCGCCAGCCCTCGCCCGGCCAACTGGCGAGCCCCACGAGTGCAGTAGCTCGCGCCAAGCATCCACTCTCGACGATGAGAAACGCCAGTCCGGACCCTTCTGAAGCTGAAAGCGGGCGTGACAGTGGACGCACTTCTTTGCCACCTTCGCGATCTTCGACAATGGGCCCACGCATGGGCCCTTCTCCAGCGCCTGGATTGAGGAGAGACACCTTGCCATCGCCTGGTCATCTAGATCCCGTCTTGCAATCAAACCCAAGCGCTGCTTTCCAAAAAGAGCAACTTCGAAGACTTCTCATGGGTGGCGGTGTGGAGGATGTAGATGCAGATGCAGAGGAGGTAGAGAGCGAAATTGGTCGAGGATCAGGCTGAGGTTTGCACGCTTGCGTTTTCCTGCCAAGCACAGATTTCACATGTAGTGTCCTTGCGACAACTTTATACCCGTACTGCACAAGTGACACAAGTCTAGAGAAATTGATGAATACAGATACATATGACATCGGGGGATGAAACAGGGTGAGGACCAATCTATTCACCACTGTACCTGTGTTGTGTCGTCGTGACTGTCGTCCTCTTCGTCTCCCACATCGTCTTCATCAGCCTGTAAGGCGACGGTGGCCATACGCCCCGCAAGCAGGCTCAGACCGTCGCCAGGTTCGTCTACGTCTACCCTGTCGTGTCGATCCTGATTGAATCCTGTGACATCGCTTGCATCATCAAGAAGCGATCCTGCCATTCTTCTCCACCAGGAGGCAGAGACAGAGGCTTCGGCACTCTCCAGTGCGGAGATGTCCTCCTGCGCTGCTTCCGTTTCGCCAGTGACAGTCACCTTCTGTGTCGAGGCAACAGGATCTCGAGTCTTCTTCGCTTCTATGAGCCAACCGTTGCGCCGAGCGTGGCCAACGACCCTACGCCATGACTCGCAATGAGTACCCAGAAGCTCCGCATTGCCAACGACGATGAGCAGCTCTCGAGCACGAGTGAGGGCGACGTTGAGTCTCTTGGCCTCACAGACCAATCCTTGGCCTGCCTCCCGGTCGCTGGCTAAAAATCTGGAGCGAGAGCGCACGGGAGAGAGGATAACAATGGGAGCTTCTTGACCCTGGTATGCTTCGACTGGGCCGACGGCAACGTCGCCCAGTCCTGCAGCTCTCAGAGCGACACGGAGGCGCCATACTTGTTCCCTGAATGGGCTTATGACTGCGATTTCCGATGGCTTGACAATGCATTGCCCGTTGTTGGAGTTTCGAGGATTGTTGGTGCTCGGAGTTGAGCAGCCCACGGGCTCAACGAGAGAGCGACACATTTCGACAATTTTCTGTACCTCTCCTTCGTTCCACCAGGAGACTCCCTCATCGACCCATTCCTCGTGTGACCTGACATCGGCGAAAAGCATTGGCATACCGCGAAGTGCACCCCGACGGGGTAGCTGAGTCCAATTGTTGAGCAGGTCAATCAGTCTACCGTTGGCAGGGGCGCAGGGCACGAGAGAATCGCTGTAGAAGAGGGTGGAGGGGAGATGCAGGAGGGCTGGGTGACGAGCTCGATAGTTCCGAATCAGATGGCCCGAGTGGGCGCTGAATTCTGGATGCGGCCTTGCACTCTGGCCAGCATTTCCACCTCCGGAAAGTACGATAGAGCGGCCGTGGCGCTTAAGGCGTGCGAGACTCTGAGCATAGACTGGAAGCCGCGAGAGGCGTTCAAAGAGAGAGACGTCCAGTCCCTGAGACCGGCACATGTCGTTCTTGATGGCTGGGCCTAATTGAGCAGGGTCACCAACCAAAATTATTGCTGGTGTTGCGTAACACCTCGGGTGCGGAAGGACACAAGCAAGAGCAGGTGCAAGATCCGGCTCAGTGCCCTGCGCCGCTTCATCGACAAGCAGATGGGTCCAGTGAAGCTCGATAGAAGTCTCTCGATCGGGCTGCAGACCAGCCAGATAGATAGCTTGCAGTCGACCTATGTCAATGTTGCTCGCAGCACGACTGTTGATGAGGATCGGGACATCATGACATGCTGTGACAACGACTTTGGCCTTCATCAACGATTTCCATGGAGGTAGAGAGAATTCTCTCTTCTCTTCGTCCACATACGTGTAGGCATTGAGTTTGGGCGGTATTTCGGCAAATGTCCTCGTGGGAGCATTCAAGCGGTACATTTGACCTGGGGCCAGATGAGCAGAGAGGCGCGTCGCCAAAACGTCGCTAGCTGCATTCGAAGGCGCCACGACCAAGACACGATTCGTCGAACTTCTTTGCAGGGTTTGCAAGATTGCTTCGACGGACGTCATGGTTTTGCCGGTGCCAGGCGGACCACTCAGAAGGAAAGGGACTATACGGTTCTCCTCGCCGACGATCGAAGTGACAGCTGCCTTCTGCTCCGCGTTCAGATTGTCGTCAAACCATCGTTGCGAGCGCGAAGGCGAACCCTGCTGTGTGTTCAACTGGGTGGGCGCAGAGTCTGACTCGGTGCTCATTGTCGCTGCAGAAGGGAACAGCCATTTTCGCAAAGCGATCGCAGCGCGGTTGCTTCTGTTCTTCAAGGTGCGAGCTAGGATTGCTACAGAACCAGCTTCATCTTGCAGCAGAGATGAGTCGAACACAAACACGACGTTGAACTTTGCGGCTTGCACGCCTGGGAATGTAGCCGCCAAGAGCTGTAATCGAGGACATGATACAATGACCTCTCCCTGCAGTGCTCGGACGGTGACGATCCGAGCTTCGAAGACAATGTGCAGCCATCCGAAGTGCTCGTATGCCCTGCCATCGTCTCCTGTTGCGAGGACGCGAAGATGGCACATGTTTCCGGGCGTGAGCTTTGGCTTCTCCTCTCTGATGCCAGGTAGGCGTACTTTATAGAGACCATCTGGGTCCCAGCCGGTAGCGCTCGACCTTGAGTAGATTGACAAATTCTCGGCGAAGACCGTATGAGACGAAAGCTCCTTCTCTCGTGTCATCGATTCTGCTTGCAAGAGAGATTCCCAATGTTGCAGGTATGTGGACGGCTTCAGACGGAGCAAGGTCCGTGACGCCTTTGGCGCTCCAATAGAGCTCGGAGCGGTGGTGGGGCTAGTCCTGGGCTCAGACTGAAATCGCTCATCTTGGCTAGGCAGCGTTGTGTTTGTGCCGCCAGAGATGCTTGGAGCATTGAACTTGCCGTGGTGAGCGGGGCTTCCGATATCGTCCTCTCCTTCGCTTTCCAGTAGCTCGCCTTGCCCATCAATTCCCTCACCCAGCCAAGCTCCTGCTGTCTCAGACAGCTGTCGTTCCTCTTCAAAGGCTTCGTCAACTGCTCCAGATTGAAGCTTCTCCCACAATTTGAAGGGCCAAACAGTCTGAGCGTAGGCCGCAAAATCGATCTGCCCGCTTTGACCAGATTCTGTGAGCGGTATGAATTGGTAGTTGGTATCGTCGTTGACCGCTTTGAGCCATTGTGGGACGAATGTCTTGGCATATCTGTCCAGCGGCATATCCGCCCCACCCGGGTTTGAAGAGCTCACAGGCTCTGCATCAAGATACCCAGTAGGAGGTGACTCCACCGTTGGGGAGCCAAGCGATCCTCCAATGGTGAGGCCAGCCGGAGCGAGATTGTTCCTTGTTCGTTCATGGGCGGTCAAGTTCTTGCCAGCGCGGCCACCATTGTGGACCGGTACAACACTCCTGTTCGATGGCGGGGCTGGAGGTCGCGCCGAATGGTTCGATACACCCGGACGCACAGAGAATTGAGCTTGCCCGTAGGTGTTGAAGTCTGTCGGAACTTGAGTAGTGGGCCTGTGTCCCTGGACCCCACCATGTTGTGGGTGCTGGTGTTGCTGTTGTCGAGGGTCGTGCCAAGGATACGGCTGAACTATTGAGGCGGGACCAAGCGTGTGGCCAAAGCCATCGTAAACGCTGCCATTGCGAGCTACAGGAGAATGGAAAACCCAATTGCTTGGGGGTCTGGAGACTTGATTCCTCACTCCGTTTGCGATAGGATGTGGATGCGAGACAGGCGATCTTGAGGCGGGGTGGGCCGTCGCTCCTGTCGGCCGGGGTGGCCCCTGCCAGAAGCCTGTAGGGTGACTCTTCGCATTGCCGGGTGTAGCCAATGAGCGGGCGTCTGACAGCGTCGGCCATTGTTCATTGAGAGGACTAGTGCCATCTCGAGGGGACAACACTGGCACATGTGCCATTTACGTCGTCACCGACGGTGATGATCGGTGGTAGACTGAAGGCAAAGAGGGGCTGACGAGCAACGGAAAGGCGGCGGGCAATTTCAAAATGTTCCGACATTGGCTCCTCCACTTGTCCCCCAGGGGCTCCATCCTATCGGCACCAACGTCTCTCTCTGTCAAGGGACAGTCTGCCATGAACGAACGTCTGCCTTGCCCATCCGCCCTTGTCGCTTGTCGCTTGAAGCCAAGCACAGCACAATTTCAAACATCTTCAGAGACGCTGGAAGGACTGACATGGATCACATTGATGAGGTTGGGCTTCTGTGCTCGACGGTAGGCCACAGCGCCTTTGTCGCGTACAGAGGCGCTCACAGTCAGCGTACGCTCGGGAAGATTCCTGCCGTTTTCATGGCGAAATGTGTGGTCAATGCGCTCCTGACGAAAGATTGGGGATCGAGAGCTTCCACCGTCGAAAGTCAGCGCCGATGTTTCTTGCTCGAGCCGGGATGGTCCGTAGTGAGAAAGGGTCGCCGCTCCGCACCTGGGACAGTCAGCGAGACGAAGATAGCAGCTCCGCGCAGAGATAGGCCTTATCTCAGGACGTCGATACTCCTACTTGATACTCTCGCCTTAAGAAAGCTGTCACGAGAGCCGGGACGACCCGATCAGCGACAAGGGTGACGGCTCAATTGCTGAGTTACGACGCCGAACAGCACCTTCATCACGCCTTCATGTGCGGAGTGGGGGCCGTCGGGTGGCATCGGGAATACCACCATACGAAGAAGCAACTCAGAGGTTGCAAGGGACAAGAGCAAGTATTGGCATGCAGGGGCCATCGCAATTGGCGGAGTCGACGAGCAGGTAGAGGCGATTGAGCTTTTAGTGGTACCACCGCTACCCAGCGATACAGCAACAAGGCTCAAGCAGACAGTGTGGCAGACAGCAACCACGCTTCGATCTTCGCGATGATCGGCAACTCCACCTCACTTCTCTTCCGCACCGTGGGCGTGTGCACCACTGTACAGCCCCTACACCCACGTCAGAGAAGCTTGAGCATCACAGTTGTATGAGCTTTAGAGCAGTCACCAATTGTCCCACGCCCAGAACATATTCCCAAGATGTGCTCGCTTGAGGTAGATTTACCCTTGCTGCTTACAAGCATCAGAGCAGTCTGGTAGACTTTGCATTATCGGCAAGTGAGTCCTGCTGGGTGACGCCGGAGACTGTTGTGTAAGCGAATGGCTTGCTCTGTGTGTCGCCCAATTCGTGTGCCCAGGAAAACGGGCCGGCGAATGGACGCTGTGCTCTCTGCTGTCCGTCGAAGGCGTGTTGCCTGGGCCTGGCTTCAAGTGAGTCTGCGACAGAAGTAGGAATGGATTGCGGAGAGTAAGGGCTTGATTGTCATGGCGCTGCCGAAGCAGAGGCGATGGCGGGGCTCCACGGAGAAGCAGACAGGGCGGCTGGGCCCACAGCCTTCGGAGGATGGGCTACCAGGCACTAGACGAGAGTGTGATCGTGCGCCCGGCAAAACGCAGCCGCATACCTACGCGAGGCGCAGAGGCGGAGAAGCACTCTATCTCCGCTTCCCCACACTTTGCTTTGGGGGCTTACCCCAGATTTTTGACAAGGCAGGCGTAGCGTCAGAGAAGCAGAGGCAGTCCAGGGTGAAGCAGAGCTGCCTAAGACCGAAGCCGAGTTATTCCGGCCTCCTCTGCTACCATGCCTCTGCCTTCAATGAATGCACCACCTCTTTCTGTCTTGGGCGGCGCAGGTCTGCGGGGTACCAAAGGGCTCGTGTGCATAGCAATGGCAAGTGGCGGCAAGACGCAGGAAGCGCAAAGGGAGACAAAGAGGAATAGCACACTTCCGCGAGAAATGCGCGGCCTCATAGCCACTCTGGCCATCTCCTATTCCCACTAGTCGTCCGTCTCCTTGGCTGGCTTAGCATCACCTTTGCCCTGTCATACTCAAGTCCTCTCAGTCGCTCTCCCCTCACTCGATACCTTTCGCGGTGCTTCCTCGTCCTTGTACTTGGCATCGGATTTACAGCCGCTCGGCTACAATTGCCGTAGACGTGGGTACCTGACCTGAGCCTCCTTGCTCCCGGCCTGCAGCTCGGACCTCTTTCATCTATTGTCTTGATCACCTCAGGCTTGGCACGCTTTCTCTCCTTGACGAGAGCTGCCCATCTCCTCTCCACGAGGTTCCTTATCTCCTACCTCTCACACTCGCTCTGAGCCTGACTTGTCCCCTCGAACGCGGAAGTCTGGCACGCAAACAATACCTCAAGTGCGGGTCTTCCCATCATGGCATCTGCCTCAAGCGAGCCCAAGAAGCGGCAACAAGGCTTTGCTATCTCTTCCACCCTTGCTCCGAACCAGCAGCCAGCTGCAGTCGGTAGCGCTATCAGTCCTGCCTTTGCTTCTCCTGCCGCCAACTCATCGTACATTGACACATCCTACCTGCTGGATGACGAGATGTGGAGGACCATGACTGTGGACACAGATGTGAGTACCCAAAGGGACCACAGCTCGTACTTGAGCACAAAGTGGCGGCCAGCTGACCGGAATTGCTTCCCATGTCAGATATCCAAGAGACGTAGTCAGGAGCCAGCTCTGCCCACGCCGAGTGAGGAAAACAGCCAGGCCGACGCTGTCATGGAAGATCTGAGCAGCAGGGGTTCAGTAGCAAATGATCAGCCTCAGACTCAACCTCAAGGTCCTCGCTACCCATGGGACGACGGCCTTCAACATCTAGATGATTGGCTGGGCTTGCCGCCTTGGACAGGTGCTGGGGACGGCAGCAGCACTTCCGCCATTACGCCTGACAAGATCGGTCACACCGGAACCATCGACAGGGCCTCGGCCGTACTGGCAGTAACGCCTGACTCAAGTAGGGCAACTGCCCAGCGCGCTGCGCCGCGGCTCGATGGCTCGCCGTTCACCGAGAGTTCATTCTCTACGGGCGAGTCGATGAGCAGCAGTGAGCAGACGACTTCTGTGCAGAGCTCGAGTGTCATCTCATCTTCCAGCCCCATGCCCAGGCTATCGTCCACTGCTCCTGTTGAGAAGCCAGTTCAGCAATCATCGGCGACGACGACCTCTAAGCCCAAACGTCAACGCAGCGTCACCGTGAACACGTCTACCACGGCGCCGGAATCAGTCTCTACCATATTGGAGAACTCTCGAACTGGCAGGACCTCCACAAGCGGCGCATCCAGTAGTCGAAGGGCCGTCTCTGCCAATGGACGCAGCGACGGAGCAAATAAAGACACCAAAGCATCTGCCTCTGCCGATCGCAATGCACTTGCCAAAGAATCCACCAATGGTGGCGTCGGCAAGGCCACCCGGGTCAAGACAGGACGCACGCGAAGAACATCCATAGGCCCTGCTGCTCAGGTCGGCAGCAGCACTGGCAAGAAAGGCTCACCTAGTAGTGCTCCTTTGCACATTGACACTGCTTCAGCGGCGGCAACGATGTCTAGCGGCCCTCAGACATTCAGCGGCATCCCGACGATGGCATGGAACTCCTCGCCGTGGCCAGCAGGGATGTATCACCATCCACCACCACATTGGGGACATTTCGCTCCCGGAGGACTGCCGTACGGCACCTTTCCGCCAGGCTGGCCAGTCTGGGGTTCGCCTCAGTCCATGCCCATGCATCCTGCTTGGAGTCTTCCAATGAACGGCAGCTACATCGCCACTCCAACTCCAGGAGGCTCAAGCATGCACAATGGATGGCCTGCTGATGCCAACGCCGATGGCTCTCTTTCCCCGGCCGTTGCGCAATCACTCTCTCTTCCGATGACGAGTTCTATGCAAGGCATCTTCAGCAGTATGCGAGGTCTTCATGTCGGCACCGCAGGAGTCGGCCTCGAGGATGACAACACACAGCACCTGCAGGCATCCGACGCTGTCCGCCCGCCTTTCCAACCTACTGGCCCGACTAACTCTTGGAGTGAGGCGGAGACAACGCTGGCGAATCGGGGCCCTGCTGATAGCGGTCATCAGAAATCACCCTTGGTATCGTTCGGTTCAGATGGTCAACAGGACGGCGCTTTCCCCTGGAACCTGGCAAACCTCGGTCACACAGCGCCTTCCGAGGCCGCTATGAAGCCCTCATCTCAGAGCGACTGCGACGAGCGCCTGAACGAAGACTCAGCCATGCGCAAGGACGGATCCAGACGATCCACTTCTACCTCGCCACCCGCTGTGGGTGTGGCTACTTCTCGTGCGTCAAACTCATTGTCCACGACAACCGCTGAAACACCGGGTCATCAGCGAAAGTCGTCTCGTTCCCTTAATAGGACAGGCAGTATGCGCGGGAGCAAGCTGGAGGATGTACCCGAAGGTGAAACTGTTCATTCACATAGTCCGCCCGCGTCCTTCTCCAGGGGCAGAGTGGCCGCACCCAATGCCCCAACGCTGCAGAACAAAGCAGGCTCCTCGGCCGAGCCGGGCTTTGACAATGCTCGTCGCTTGTCAGACACTAGAAGGGTTCAAGCACCAGGCAAGATCGAGGACAGCAAGAAGAAGAAGGTAGCAGTGCAAGAAGACGACGACGACGATGGAGAGGACGACAATCTGCTTGACGGCGACGATGATGATGATGACGATGTCGATGAGGATGATGACGCCCACGAAGACAGCGCCATGCCTTCTCGCAAACCGACGCGAGGCCGTGGTAGCGGATCTAGTCGTCCGGTGCGCTCCGAGCAGGAGCGTCGCAAGCGTCGAAGAGAATCTCACAATCTCGTCGAACGACGACGTCGCGATACAATCAACGAGCGCATTGCGGAGCTGGCATCTCTTCTTCCGGAGGCCATGCTCCTCGACGCCATCGCTCATAGTCAAGGCGGCGGCAACAACTCCAAGGTGGTACAAGTAGCAGTTCCAGAGGAGATTCTCAGCCGACTCAACTCTGCAGGCAGACATGAGATGGGTGGAGGGTCTACTTTGGATATCCTGTCCCTTGCTTCAGCACCAGCCAATTCGGAAACACTTGCTTTGGCGCAAGCTCGCCCCAACAAGGGCATCATCCTTCGCAAGTCCGTCGACTACATCCGAGCCCTGCAAGAGTTCATCGAGCAGCAAGGCAAGCATGCAAGGATGTTGCGTGAAGAAGTGGAACGAGTCACTGGTCTCTTGGAAGAGAGCAAGTCGAATGGTGGAGACCTGCGTTCGGAAGATGCGGCTGATGAGCCGGGCGAGACGAAGCGACTATGGCCTACGGCGTATGGAGTTGAACACACTGCATACACTCGATCGGGAAGGGACGATGCTCATCATGACCAGCTCCCGCGCTTGGGTCTGTTTCGAGCCAACCATGACGGAGGGGACCAACACGAGGGGGAGCAGAGCACAGACGACTCGCCTGCCTCTGGTTATCCACAATTAGGACCCGGGCAGAGCCCACCGCCTACCTTGGCTGAGTGGCTCGCCGCTGCACACAGCCATCAGCAGCAGTCCGTAAAGGGAAAGATTGACGTTACAACGGCGAAGCGTGATTCGATGGACGAGGTTGAAGGAAGAAACGAAGCCATGACTTTCTGAGGTGAAATCCGGCGAGTGCCACTTGGCGCCAGCAAATGTCTATAACGCCTTTTGTGTTTTATGTGTACCTGTGTAATCTTTCACTCTTAGTACCCTAACGATAGGAACGATTTAGCTTTGCGTCTTGTCTTGTCTGTCATTTGCCATGAGCTTGAAGTGGCCTGTTCTCGAGGATGAGTCTGCGCTTTGGTGGAGGCACCAGCTGCACTTCTTCCTTCCGAAGCCTTTCCGGCTGCCTTTACCTTCATTCACCTCAGCACCTCGTCATCTCGTTCCCTCTCATAATGGGAAGCCTGGCCGTACGAGGCGCCCAAAGAGGGCTCCGAATTACGAGCCAGAGATCATCGAGCTATCGAGCGCCTCTCGTTGCGTGCCCTGCGTCGGCCAGAGCATACGCAGTCCAGACTCGGGGTACGCCTGCAGCAAAGGCCAAGGGTGGAAGGGCGTATCGGCCCATCGCCTTAACCTCATCTCCCCACAATACCTTCTCATCTTCATCATTATCTCATAAAGCTTCGTATGCCTCTTCCTCGAGCAGTACAGCTCCCAAAACGATCACTGTCCTAGGGCAGACCTACGAGACCGACGACTTCTTCAATGTCCCACCCTCCATCCTCTCCCGCCTTGGTCCCCGTCCCGTCTTACCTTACCAGTCCTCACACCCTCTTGAGCTCCTCCGAACACACATCGAGTCAACCCTATCTCGCTGCGAGTCCTTGGCTGCTCCCTCGCCTATAGTGTCGGCCGAGTCCAATTTCGACGACCTTGGGATCGCGCCTGACCACCCGGGGAGGAGCCCCACAGATACTTACTACATCAACCGACAGACCTGCCTACGCACTCACACCAGTGCCCACGAAGTCGAGACTTTCAAGGCGGGCAAGACAAGATGGCTGCTGACTGCTGATGTGTATCGGCGGGATGAGATCGATGCTTCCCACTACCCCATCTTTCACCAGATGGAAGGCGCATCAAACTGGTCTACTGCGCCCGGTAGCACGGACTTTGACGAAGGAGGGGTGGTGCAAAAGGAGTGTGAGGAGATGGAGGCACGATTGGAAGGGGCGCAAATCGAAATCGAGGACAATGTATCGCTCGAGGATGCTGGCGGGTGGCAGAAGGGGCACGAGGCTGATCCGGTGAGGCGCAAGGCGGCAGAACTCGCTCTGCGCCATCTCAAGGCTACTTTGAACGGGCTGGCCTACGACCTATTCGGTGATAGACATGCAGCAGAAGTGGCTGCCGCTGCTGCTGCCTCTCAAGGCTCAACAGCCGAATCAAGCAACGATGGAGCTGCGAGCGAGGTCTCTGAACCGCTGCGGGTGCGCTGGATCAGTGCCTTCTTCCCCTTCACCTCACCTTCCTTCGAAGTGGAAGTGTGGTTCCGAGGTCAATGGCTAGAGATTCTGGGATGTGGTATATCTCAGCAAAGTATCCTCGATCGGGCCTCTGTGCAAGATCGAGTAGGCTGGGCCTTTGGACTAGGCCTAGAAAGGATAGCTATGGTCCTCTACTCTATTCCCGACATTCGTCTCTTCTGGTCCAAAGATGAGCGTTTCCTCCGACAATTCCAGCAGGCAGATCAGCCTACTCGAATGCCCAAGATTGACTCCTCCGAGGCGGGTGTGTCGGATGCGGGGGGGAACATGGATCAGAGGAGGAAGAAGTTGGTGACCTTTCGACCTTACTCCAAGTTCCCTTCGTGCCATAAGGACGTCTCCTTTTGGCTACCCAAGCCAGACCTCGTAAAAGATGCAGGGTCGGACAGCTCTACAACTGAGCCAGTAGAGGTAGCATCTCCACCTTCTTTCCACGAGAACGACCTGATGGAGCTCATTAGGGAGACGGCCGCGGACCTTGCCGAGGACGTAAAGTTGATCGACTCGTTCAGTCATCCTAAGACGGGCAGGGTGAGCAAGTGCTACCGTATCAACTATCGAAGCATGGAGAGGAGCTTGGAGAATGAAGAGGTCAATGCCCTGCACGATGTCGTTGTGCAAAGGGTCAGGGACGAGCTGGGCGTGGAGATCCGCTAGGCAACTTCTCGTCTAGACGGACACTGAGCGAGGAGAAAGGATGGTACAATTTGAGAGGCCGGAGAACAGACAGAGTACATGTACAAGTAACCAAAATGACACCACTACCATCATCAACATCACCTCGATCAATACCACTTGCCAGTCCGGGCCGTCGTGGCGCTCTTACGTGTGGGTATCACAGAGTGCTTGATGTCGTAAGCTTTGATGAGATTCTGTGGTGTCGGAAAGAGAGCTGGACGTCAGAATGAGCAAGGCAAGGCGAAGCGAGGCAGATTTGGGGAGCGTCTGACATACCTTCCAAGTAGCCTGATCGAGCTCCATGACGACTTGTCGCTTCTTCAGTCCCGCGGCATAGTCTTCCTCTGTTGGGGCTTCGCTTCTCACTGTGTACGGTAGAAGAATGGGAGCGTCGTGTCAATCTTTGGATGGCTTTGAGTCTTATCCTATTGAAGCTGCGGTGCATCTACTCACGAATGATCGGCTCCCCGTCGTCCTCGTAGTCGATTGAGACCTTGCCATCCCTGACCAAGAAGCTGATGTAGAAGAGATTCTCTACCGTATTTGAGAAGCTCTCCGGGTTGATTGCAAACTCGAAGAGATTGCATCCATTACCTCCTCCCACATCGGCAAGCAGCTTAGCAATGTGCTGAACCAGCTTCGTTGTCTCATTTTCGCTCTTCTGGATATCGCCCTCATTGAGCGTTTCTGGTCGTACTTCCTCCTCATCTCGCTCTAGCCTATTGGTGCGACGATTGCTGGCTCGCTCCTTGGTCTGGACACTGAGTGCACCGACCAGATGGTCCATTGTCGGTGCTCGCTTGGTCAGACCAGCCGCAATAGTTCCAAGCCTCTGCCAATTCCACGAGTCTAGATCGTCATCGTCCAGATCCATCACGTCCTCATCCTCATCGTCATTTGCATGTCCGCCAGACCGCCGAGCCGCCCTGCCTGTCCTGCCGCCATGTCCTGTGGCCCTTGCAGACCCTCCAATGAAGCGGGCGACTCTTGTGATGTACTCATCGATGTCAAAGGCATTGGAGTTGAGCTTCATACTACGTGCCATTTGTGCGCCTACATCGGATACTCTGATGAGAAAGCGGGAGTCCAAGACACCTTCATTGGGCGCCTTGACTGTAGTCATACAGAGGAATCAAGATTGAGAATGTATATGAGCTTCCTTGCTGCGCTGAACGCTGCTGAAGATGGCTTGAAGTACTGCTATCTTGCCATGGACTGACCTTTTGACCTGAATTCGTCTGCCCGCTTCACCATTTCGGTCAAGTCTGCTGCCTTGATCTCTCCCAAATTGCCTCCAGCATCTATCAGAAACCGAAGGGGAGCGTGATCATTTTGCATCAGCGATCTTGCTCATCCAGATGCTCTTCCAATCCTACGACCCTCATGGCCTTGTACGTACCCTCCACCTCTGCTATCAGCCCTCGGTATCCTTTCCTAACCTCGCGCTTCTCGACTGCATCTTGCCTGGGATCGTAGGGCTTGGCGCTACTATGAGGTCGCTGTGAGGAAGAAGAAGCCCTCTCCGCAGCCGGCATGACGACAGAGTGCTCTCAGAACGGGATCCGATGCAGAGAATCAAGAAGAGGAGGAAGTTGCTTGCGCCCTTTTGACGGAAAGAGCGTCACGGTGTGCGTTGCCTTTCTGAAGTGCGTCGCGCACCGTGTTGCACTCGGCGAGAAGCCTTCCGAGGGAGCCAAGCGCTTCCCGCCTCTACTCACTTGCTCGCAGCAGCACATCAGCATCAGCCATACACATACGCATACGCATACACTCAAGGTTGTCACAGCATGTACTCATTCTCAGACGACGAAGACGACGCTCTTGACCGAGGGGAGGGCTCCTCTTCCTCGGCAGCGAGGATGAGGCAGCATGCAACTCCACCGCCTCTGCAGCCCGCCGCTCCTGCTGCTGCTGCTGCTGCTGCTGCTGCTGCCGGACGCAAGAGTAAATTCAACCAGCGAGAAGCCACCATGGTCTCACTCGATGATGACGATGAGGAGGATGCTCATACTCGAGCAGGGGGAGGAGCATACGGCAGCGAGTCTGGGAGGACACGCTCGCGCTCCCCCTCGCTTCTCCCACGGCAAAGATCCGCTCCGCACCGTAGTACCGGGCCAGGAGGGAGGGGAGGTGGTCCATCTTCCCCCACCCCGTCAACTTTTACAGATCAAATAGGCCATAACCCTTTTAGCCAAGCTCCTGCGATAGACAGGTTACAGCGGCTCTGGGTGGCAGAGAGGAGTTGTCCGGAGATACTAGCTTGGAGCAGTGCAGATGGTGGAGGAGGGGAGCGGTGGAGATGTGACGAGACAGTGGATGAGGTGTGTGCTCAAATTGAGGAGCAGATGGTGAGTGTACACAAAAGGGGAATCCCAGGAGAAGGAATTAGACAGGATCTGAAATGAAACCCCTCTGCCTTGCTCCGCTGGTCGTTTGGCCGATCAGTCCATTCTGAACCTGTTGTCGTCAGACGAGGGCACCTCAGAGGAGGAGCATCTCCGTCTAAGCATGGTGCAGCTAGACGTGGAGCGGTCAAAATGGCTCCTACGTGCCTTTCTCCGGACAAGACTACACAAGGTGAGTCCTTCTCCTCTCTCCGCTGCTACGTCCCAGGCGTGCGCTTCGTATGATCGCTCAACTCCCAGTCCTCTCTTTGGCTTCATCCGCCCGCCCAGCTGGAGTCCTACGCAATGCACTACTCCTCGCTCGCACCAACCCGTCGCTCGCAGCTCCTCTCACCACTAGAGCAAGCCTACCTGACAAAGTACACTTCGATTCAACATGCTCACTTTTCCAGCTCGGTACTCGACTACCTCCCCGAGCCACTGCGCTCGCTTACTGATGGTAGCGAAGACGCTGGGGTTGAGGGAGAGGGCGCTGCGAATCGCGGTAGTGGTGCTAAAGGAGGCATGGTCCCTCGACCGGATATGGGTGCACCGGTGTTCATTCGATGTGGAGAGGATTGTGGAGAGGTGCGAACGGAGGATGGGGAGAGTGCGAATCTGAGTAGGGGGAGCGTGCATATCCTGACTTATGGGAGTGTGAGGACATTGGTACTCCAGGGGAGAGTGGAGCTGCTCTGAGGAGGGAGGGAGACAGGGAGACAGCTGTACAGACAACGGGGGATGCGCAATTGCGGCACGGCTGCACGTCCTTCAACTCTACCACATCGTCGTCACAATTACACACGCACGGCGCTTGACTACTACAGCAACAAGATGACTTTGGGGGAAGAGCGATCAAAGGGGAGACATGAACAGATGGAGAGCATCGTTTGATAATGAACAGAACGAGGAAATGTCTGCTTTTCATTCGAATGCAATTCGCACTAGTACACTCCTGACTACTCCTGCTAATCCCCATACCAACAACCAATGGACCGACCCTCCTCTCACCTTTATCCTCTTCTCTTCTCTCACTTGGAGTTGTCAACGACGATCCTTCCAGCAATCTTTCCATGGTGCATATCATCATAGATGCTTGCCAATTCCGTAAGTCCTCGAGCCTTGTAAATGACCTTGACCTTTCCGTCGGCCGCAAACTGCAGCGACTCAATTGCGTCCTGTCGGTTACCAACGTAGGAAGGTAGGATTCGCTTGGTGAAGAAGACACCGAAGAAGATGTCGTACTTGCATGCTGCATTGGGTGGAAGACCGACGGGGACCAAGGCACCAGTGGGACGAATGTAGTCGAGGGCCTGCTCGTAGGCTTTGGCACCAGAGGCAGCAACGATGGCTGCGTGAGGTCCGAGACCGTCGGAAGTCTTTGCCTTTACGGCAGCAACGAGGTCCTTTTCGGTAGCAAAGTCGACAAAGTGGTCCGAACCGAGCTGTTGAGTCAAGAGTTGCTTGTCGTCACCAGTGTCAATGGAGATGACTCGTAGACCGGCAGCCTTGGCGTATTGAACAGCCAAGTGACCAAGTCCACCCCCAGCACCGACGATGGCGACGGTTTGGCCGGGAGTAAGGTTGGCAGTCTTGACGGCCTTCCAGACGGTGACACCGGCGCAGAGGAGGGGTGCGGCAGCCTCGAGGGAGAGTCCATCGGGGATGGGGGTGACGTGTCGGGCAAAGGAGACGGCGTACTGCTGGAAGGATCCGTGCTCGGTGAAGCCTGGTAGGTAGGATAGACGAAGATGAGGATGTCAGTCGTCTGGACAAGATTGTCAGGGCTGTTAGAAGCCCGTACTCACCGTGCATCTTGGCAGCTTGGCAGTTGGGCTCATTTCCATGTCGGCAGAAGTCGCAAGTGAGGCAAGAGTCTGCAAGCCACTTGATACCAACTCGGTCTCCCTTCTTTACGAATTGATCAGCTCCCTCACCGAGGGCTACGACGACACCAGCACCTTCATGTCCACCACAGAGGGGGAAGGTAGCATGGGCTGGCCAGTCACCAATCTGAGCGTGGAGGTCGGTGTGGCAGATACCAGAGAAGAGGACCTTGACTAGGACTTGACCACGCTCCAGCTTCTGGGGAGTGTCGACGTCGATGACTTTTACCTCTCCACCTTCCTTTTGAACAATGGCGGCCTTGTGCTGCTTGGGTACGGAGAGCTCAGTCTCTCGGGGGTCCTTGTGCGACATTGTGAATGTGTGGGGGGTTGTTTGGGGTGAGAAGTTGGAAAAGTGAGATGAGGTGTGATTTAGGCTATAAGTCGTAAGTAGCTGCTAGCGCGTCGCTGATTGACAAGAGAGTGGTATAGCTGACCATGACCAAGAAGGAGGGGCTACTTAAGTATCCTTTGGTTGAGGCTCACACCTTTGCCGAATCAGATGTTGCAAAGAGGTGAGCACGGACCTGTGTCTTGATGCACGGATTGTGCAGCTGGGCACAAGGACGCACACGACATCTACTCTGGCGGCCATTGTTGCCTGGCCTGAGTGCGTCTCCTGACCATCTTGGCTTCGCTTGTACGTGCGGAGGTTGCCCACGGGGGAAGAGGATGAGAGCAACACGCCCCTCTGCCTCTGCCGCTTCTCACCTCGGTGTCGTGTGCACAAAGGAAGCATTGCGGGGAAGGAAGAGGAGGCGGTGCATCTCGGCGGACGGGCCACCCTCATGCACCCCGCCATCCATGGTCACTTGACAACAGGGCCACGCTCAGCCTGCCAGGGTCACCCACCACTCCGCCCGGCGCTCGGCTGATCCTTGCGCCCGCCTACTGCCTCTGCTCGCTCCGAGGGAAGGACTGAGCCGGTTGCAAGTCATCAGCCAATGCCAATCAAGGTAAATTCTTCTCCCGCCCTCCCCCCCGGCCCGGCCTGGAGTACCCGACATTGCTTTGCTCTTTGCTCCTCTTGCAGCGTAAGCTCAGCTTCTTCCAATCTCCCCTGCGCCCCCCTCCGCCCTCCGCTATCCCCCGCTTCCTCTTCGCCTCTACAACTTCTCTGCCGCCGCCGCCACCACCACGAGTGACCCCCAACCCCCGTCCGTCACCTGATCACACTGTCAGACCAGACCACTCAGAGGATCAGTAGAGTAGGGGTGAGGGGCACAATGTATGGCGTGCTGGGCTGACAGTCGTCTGTGGGCCAGACAGCAGACTCCGCTCCGCTTCCTTTTCTTGCTTTTAGCTTTGCCCTTCTCGTTAGGACTCGCTCGCCTCCCCCGCCCACCATCCATTGACGAGACCAATTGCCGAAGTTGCGTTGCAGCTCTCCAGTCCTGTGGTCCCTCCCCCCGCCTCCCGGCCCCCCTCTCTCTTGTGTACTGTGCTGAACCGCTGCGTGACCATCGTATTTACATTAGCTAGGCGCGCCCCTTCCCTTTCTAGTCCAGACGAGACGAGTCTAGTCTAGTCTAGTCTAATCCACCCCGCAAAAGCTCGCATCCTGCATTCTTCCGGCCGGAAGTGCATCGCCCCTTGACCCTGTTGTCTCGGCTTTCGCTTGACTGACTTCTATCTCATTTCCCCACCCACCCACATCCACACCCACGCCTAGGGAGGGGGGAGGGGGGGATCTTGGCTCCTAGACTATCGCTTCGATTGCGCCACCCGGCATCCCACGCCACATTCTTTTCAGTTCAGTTCAGTTCAAAGGAGGGACCTGTGGGAAAGGAGGACGAGGAGGGGGGAGAAAGAAAGAGCCGTAGACCCTCCGACTTTCCGACATTGGAGACCGCTCCAACCAGACCAGTCCAATCCCGTCCAGTCCAGTCCAGTCCAGTCCAGACTGGTCGGCTTTTCTTCCCGAAGTCTCCCTAGCTCTGCAGCTCCACCCTTTTCCAAACCCACGGACCACCAAGCAAGCGAGCGAGCGAGCGAGCGAGCGAGTCCGCACTCCCCAATCCCAGTCCCAATCTCAATCCCGATCCCGAGTCTGCCCGAAGCCACTGACATTGGTGCAGCATTAAGGTCCTCAAAGAAGCCACTGCTGCCAAGCGAGCAGCGAGGAGCTAGCAGAGGGGCGAGGGGGGAAGGGAGAAGGGGTGGGATGGGACCGTCTTGATACTCTCCACTTCAATCAGATTCGTCTCCTCGCTCTGCCAGAACTTCACTCTCGAGTGAGCGGGGGGGGGGGGGGGGGGGGGGGGGGGGGGGGGGGGGGGGGGTAGGGGGGGGGATGCCAACCGCACGTGTTGCAATTGCAAAGCTTGTCCCGCTCCCAAGAAATTCTACAGAACCAGAGACAAGGAAAAGGCAAACACATTACCCCTCGAGGTTGAGCTCTTGTCCTTTCTCCGTACATTCAGATTAGATTGTGCACTCTCTCCCCACCATTCCTTCTTTACAATTTGAACTCGCTCCTCTCATACTTGGTCGTCTTCGATGCAGCATCGTCGGCTACAAGGGCAGAGAGTAAGATAGTAAGTGAAGGTCAGTGATACAACTCCCCGTCTTGCCAGCAGCCTTCAGTAGACCCTCTCAGACCACCAGCGACACTCACTGATGAAGTAGACGTCTCCGGGGGGCGCAGGCTTCACGCGCGAGGCGGGGAGGCCCAGCTCCGGCTGGTCGAGCACCTTTGACAGCATCTCCTGCTTGCCCTCTCCAGCGAGGACAAAGGCCACTCGATGGGCATGGTTGAGCTGTGCGTAGAAGAAGGATTCGGCGACATCAGCACTGCTTCGACAGCTCCTATCCTGCGCAGCATCCAATACTCACCACAGAGTAAGTGACAGTAATCCGCTTGGCAGGAGGCTTAGGGCTGTCCTCGATAGGTGCGACCCATCGGTCCTTTTCGTTGAGCAGCTCATGTCCAGGGAACAGACTGCATGTGTGTCCATCGGGGCCCATACCCAGCAGGATTAAATCAAAGACGGGATTCCTGACGCTCGCCTTGCCGGCAAAGGCGGTGACGAGCTCCTTCTCGTACGCATCTGACAGCTCCTCTGGGTCTTCGAGCAGAGACTCGTCAATTGTGTGGATCTGAGACCTCTTGAGCTCAGGGACCTTGGAGAAGAACTCCTTGTCGCAGAGGTAGTAGTTGGAGTCCTCGTGGTCCAGAGGCACCAACCGCTCGTCTGCAAAGAAGATTTCCCTACAGATGTGCAACAAAGGAAGTGTGTTCAGCTCTTCATGCTTGTGCTGAAATACAAGATGCCCCGCTGTCCATCTAGAGTGGGCGACTGACGACTTCTCCAGAACCCGTATCCCTGATATCTCAGAAGGGCAAATCATCTGCCAGGTTCCTTCTTTTCCCGCTCTGCGCTGAGAGACACTCACCACTTATCCCATCGCAAAGCGTTATCCGTCCTGTTCACAAGCTCTTTTGCAAGCATCTTGGGAAGAGAACCACCCGAGGTAGCGACAGTGAATTTGTTTCTGCGCTCGATGGCCTCATTTTGAGCCTGCGAGACGGAGGGAAGAAGATGTCAATGCTCAGCAGCCTTGGCCAGGTGGATCACCTTGCTACTATACGACGCGGCCACTCACCTTGATAACAAAGGCTGCGAGGCTGCTGGAGAGCTCGTCCGAGTCCTTGAAGGAGTACAAGGTAGGTGGAGAAGGCTGCTTGGTGGGCGCGTCTGGTGCGAAGGGCGCCATGTTGACTATAGAGGCGCGGCCGGAGTGATGATAGGGGGTGACGGTTCCAGGAGATGGAGGATACAAGAGGGGAACTTAGCTTGAGTGAGGACTGCTTCTTCCTGTGAGCGATTTGAGATCTGTGAAAGGTATTTGTAAAGGAAGAGATAAAGGGTGGATGTGTGCAGCTGCTGCTGCCTCGCCTGGCCGTCATAACTTCCTTGGCGTGTGGGAGATGTCCATGGATGCACCTCGAGGTCCCGCGGCGGCTCCGACTCCACATGCGCCCAAGGCTTGCGACGCTCGCCACGCCTGGCACACGTCGTCCGCCTGGACATCACCAGTCCTTCCTCACACGCAACGCAACAGCATCACTCGTACGCTCGCCGTCTCACCCACTCATCACCTCCTTGCGACGAGAGGCACAGCGAGACGAGGACAGCAAATTCTCACGCCTTCTTGCCACATACATAGACGAACACCCTCTTCCGTCATCCTAAACCTCTCTTCTTCTCCTGATCCGCACTCGTCCCCCTCTCTCACCCCACCACCATGCCGCGAGGCGACGAAGACGCGGCGGCTCAGAGGATCGTTGTCCCCTCCGAGGACCCTGTCAAGAAGTCAGATGATGCCGACAAGGGCAAGGGAAAGGACGCTCAGGTCAATGGAAAGTCTGACAAGGAAACCTCGTCCAAGCCAGTCAAGGAGGATGAGCTCAGTGAGGAGGACCTACAACTCAAGAATGAGCTTGAGATGCTCGTGGAGCGTCTCAACGAGGGTGACAAGAAGCTCTACAAGCCTGCTCTAGAGTCCCTTCGTACACTCATCAGGACCAGCACATCATCGATGACCTCTGTACCCAAGCCGCTGAAGTTCTTGCGCCCTCATTACAAGGGACTGAAGGAGACCCTTGCCTCTTGGCCGTCGCAATCAGTCTCTACGGTAGACCAATCTCTCTTTGCGGAGATTCTGTCAGTACTGGCCATGACATACGCAGACAACGGCAACCGCGAGACTCTCAAGTATCGCATGCAAGCAACAAAGGTCGGCGGAGCCCAAGCAGAGGACCCTGGTCTATGGGGCAACGAATACGTCCGTCATCTGGCTGCAGAGATCGGGGAGGAATACAACTTGAGGGTGGACAAGGACGAGGACACGGCGGAACTTCTCGAGCTCGGTCTGCTACTGGTTCCCTTCAGCTTGAAGCACAATGCAGAGGCTGATGCAGTGGATCTGCTACTCGAGCTCGAGGCGATCGACAAGTTGCCACCTTATGTAGAGCAAGATACTTTCGCGCGAGTCTGTCTCTACATCGTCAGGTGAGTCTGTTGCTCGGACCGCTGGGCCCTAGTAATGTCTGCTGATCCTTCCTCTTCTTGACCTTTTCCAGCTGTGTGAACCTGCTCGTGCCGCCCGATGACAAGATCTTCCTCAGGACTGCCCACGAGATCTACCGCAAGCACAACCGCTATTCGGAGGCCCTCGTTCTTGCCTTGCGGCTAGGCGATCGTGACATGATTCGAGCTGACTTTGAGGCCCCCAAAAACCCGGTGATGAGGAAGCAGCTTGCCTTCCTGCTTGGCCGACAGCAAGTTCCAATCGAATGGTTGCAGTCGGAGGACGAGCCGTTGACAGATCAGGATCTGCTTGACTGCATCTTCAATACACAACTTTCTCAGCAATTCATCAGCTTTGGCAAAGAGCTTTCTGTGCAAGAACCTCGAAGTCTGGAAGAAATTTACAAGAGTCACCTCGAAAACTCACGGACAACTCTCAGCTCCACTGTCGACTCTGCGAGGGGAAATTTGGCCAGCACATTTGTCAATGCCTTCGTCAATGCCGGGTTCGGTAATGACAAGCTGATGGTGGCAGCTGACGAAGGCAACAGCTGGATCTACAAGAATAAGGATCATGGTATGCTGAGCGCCACTGCTAGTCTGGGCATGAGTCTAATGTGGGACACGGAAGGCGGCTTGAGTCACATCGACAAATTCACCTACTCGACGGACGAGAACATCAAGGCGGGAGCTTTGCTCGCTTATGGAGTTTTGCACGCCAGCGTCAGGACAGAGATGGACGCGGCTCTTGCCTTGCTGTCGGAGCACGTCGAAAGCGATAGCCCGCGGTCGAAGATCTCAGCGATTGTGGGCCTCGGTATTGCCTACGCTGGGTCTCATCGCGAGGACATCATGGGCCTTCTCATCCAGAACATCGCAGACGAGACGGCTCCGATCGAGATTGCCGCTATGTCTGCCTTGTCCCTCGGCTTCATTTTCGTCGGTTCGGCGCATGGCGAGATCACTCCTACCATCCTGCAGTCTATGATGGAGCGCGAGCCAAGTACGCTCGACTCGAAGTGGACTCGCTTCATGATTCTGGGTCTAGCACTTCTCTTCCTCGGCCAACAAGACGAAAGCGATGCCACAATCGAGACCCTCAAGGCCATTGAGCACCCCGTCTCGAAGCAGGCTCAAGTTTTGGTGGATGTCTGCTCGTATGCTGGAACAGGAGATGTTCTCAAGATCCAGAGCATGCTGCATCACTGTACCGAGCACGTAGGCGTGGAAAGCGAGCAAGATAAGGAGAAAGAGGGAGAGGCTTCAGGCCCCAACGGAGCAGGCGCCGCGGGTGCATCGGGCGGAGACGCTGCGCAGGGAGACGCAGGCAACGATGAAGAGGCCGAGAAGGAGAACGACACCTTCCAGGGCTTCGCTGTGCTGGGCATTGCGCTCATCGCGATGGGCGAGGATGTGGGATCAGAGATGGTCACACGCCATATGTCACATCTGATGCACTATGGCGAGCCTGTTATTCGTCGAAGCGTGCCATTGGCATTGGCTCTGTTGAATCCTTCAAATCCCTCAATGATTCTACTGGACACCCTCTCCAAATACTCGCACGATTCAGATCTAGACGTGGCCATCAACGCCATCTTTGCCATGGGTCTTGTCGGTGCCGGTACCAACAATGCTCGGCTTGCTCAACTGTTGCGAAGTCTGGCCTCATACTACCACAAGGAGCCCGACTGCCTCTTCATTGTGAGGATCGCGCAGGGTCTCATCCACATGGGCAAAGGAACCATCGGCCTCAACCCCTTCCACACTGATCGTCAATTGATGAGCAGGACAGCCATGTGCGGTCTACTCTCGACCCTTGTAGCCTTCACGGACTCGCGAGGCTTCATTCTCGAGAAGGCTCACTGGATGCTCTACTTCCTCTCCTCGGGAATGTATCCGCGCTTCCTCATCACCCTTGACGAGGAGCTCAAGCCGCTGCGCACCTCGGCGCGCGTGGGTAAGGCAGTGGACATTGTGGGCCAGGCGGGCAAGCCGCGTACCATCTCGGGCTTCCAGACCTTTGAGACACCTCTAAGGCTGGGGACTTATGATCGTGCGGAGCTGGCCAACGAGGAGTACTTGTGCTATTCGCACGTGCTAGAGGGGAGGGTGATCTTGACCCCCAACCCGGGGTACAACAAGGAGGACTGATGAGCGGAAGGTAATAAGTCGGCGGATGGCGTAGAGATGAAGCAGCCGCAGAGGGGGCAAGAGGCTTAGATACGGACGGCTTCTCCTGTAGTCTCTAGACGAGAGTCACGACAGAAAGCTGAATCTGATAAAATGACATTGCCATCGGTGAGGCTGAGTCGAGTGCGTGTGTCTGGCGTTATTCCCCCTCGCTTGCCTCGGCGGAGCTTGATGACGCCGTCATGCAGGCCATCGTGCAGCCCGGATCGAACCAACACTGCCTCCAGATTCATGCGCCACATCCATCATCCCTGACAGCTGTCTAGATTTGTACATTCTTTCCAGTCATTCCCTTCTTGTCATCATCTCTCCCTTCCTTCCTTCTTTCTTTCACTTGTCCATCGTGCTTTATGCTATCTGGAGCAAGCCGGGCAGTCGCCCGAGCTGCTACGCGTGGACCATCGCGGGTAGACGTGCCTGTCTGGGCGCGGTCGAGCCCCTTCCCTTCCAGGTCTCCACAGTCACCTCTACGACCTGAACACCGGCCGATCCTGCTTGACTGTTCTAAGCGGAACCCTTCATGTAGTATCTCTGCCTTATTTTCGACTAGTCTTGTAAGGCGAAATCAAGATTCGGCGGAAGGCATTTCACAAGGCGGCGGGAGGAAGCACAGCCATCATCCGACAGATACTGGAACCAACCTAAAGAGCACACTGCCCTCTTCTGCTGAGCCGATCAGGCTGGATCATGCCTTTGACAAGCTGGAAAAGGAGCAGAAAGAGTCGATAGAGGATGGAGACAGTGGCTATCTGGCTTTCACCAAGGCCTCTCTCTTCAAGTTGACTCTACCTCTATTCCCTCCGGATAAGAAATCCGACCCGACCTCTTCCACCTCGAAGGCGTCTTCCCCGCTCTCCAAATCGCTCATGGCTAAAGCAGTGAAAGAGTCGGATCGGGAAGGAGAGCACAATGCCGAAAGTGAGAACGACAGCGGCCCGATGTCAGCCGAGCCCTGGGAGCATAGAGTAGATCGTGGGGAGCAAATCTCCCAGGTCATGTCTCCGGACAGCTCGTCTGACGTCAAACGCAAGGGAAAGTCTGGTCATCCGGTGGCAACCAAAAAAGGCGACCTGCATGGGCCAGAGAATGGAGAGCCCAGCGATGATCAGAGTCTGGAGTTCGACAGTCGGGCTCCGGCCAAGTCTGTTGTCTTCTTGCTGCATTCAGGACAGCCGCTGAGGTGAGCCGGCAGCAGAGACAGAGGATGAGGATGAGTACAAGTGAACATCTCTGACATTCCCACATACCACAACAGCTACATTGCATCGCTGATCAGAGCAGAGGAGCCAAGCTACCAGTCTGTCTCCTCGAGGGAGAAGGGCGCTAGCAAGGACGAAACAATAGCCAAGCACGACTTTGAGCCTACGATTACTTTTCACACCCGCCAAGGCGAATCGAAACGCTGGAGCCCAGCCACGGGTATCGGAGACTTCCTCCGTGACGCCGCTCGCATCGGTTCATTCGTAGTCAAGGTCGGAGATCGCAACATCGACGTGTCTGTCCCTTCATTTGAGGATCGGACCAGGTTTCTGCGCTCCTCTTTGAACAATAAGACGGCCCGAATTCAAAAGATGGCACAACTCAAGGCAGAGTGTGACCGTCTTGCTCATACCGGTACGAGAAAGTTCGCCTTTGCCGGCGCTGGTATTCTGGTCGCTTGGTGGTGCGCTGTCTCGTACTTGACCTTCTTCACATCTCTAGGTGAGCTCCACGCACTGGAGTGGCCGTAGAAGAGCGCATAGACTGACTCTGATTTGACCCGTTCCCCTTCCCTCTCAGGCTGGGACGTCATGGAGCCGGTGACTTATCTGATGGGACTAGCTTCCCTGATGGCAGGTTACAGCTTCTTCCTCTTCTCTCGCAAGGACGTTTCCGCACGAGTGGTCTTGAAAGAGACTACCTCACAAGCGCAGACACGGCTGTACACTGCGAAGAATTTCGACCCGGAGCGATATGTGGAGCTGATCGAGGAGGCAAAGGAGCTAAGAAGGGCCATCAAGCGAGTGGCCGAAGACTATGATCTCGAGTGGGACCAAGGAGAGACCATGGCTGGTAAGAAGCACAAGAAGGCCCTCGAGGTGGTTCGCAAGTCTGAGGAGCGAGAGTATTCTGGGAGCAGCAAGAAGAGGAAGGACGATGAGGATGACGAGGCCGAAGACGAGGATGAAGACGACGAAGACGTGGACGAAGACGCGGATGGTACGCCAGATAAGAAGCAAAGGAGCAAGAAGCGTCCAAAGGAAAAGGTCAGGACGTGAGCATGTCATGGGCGATGTCGAGGCGCGATACGCGAGGGAGGTATGGCTATCAGATACGCCAGATGCGTACGCCTCAAGACGCCCCGTCATGCCTGTTAATAGGCGTAACGCATGTCGCGTCGACGGAAAGAGCATCGAATTGGATCTCCGACGGACGATTAGACTCCCAACACTATAAGAACATCGTAGCAACCCTTCCTCTGTGTCCCTCCTTGTACAGCATCATCGTCATCATCACTTTTCCGTGCAACACCTGACTCGTTTCCTACATGATACCATGTCTGTGCATCGTCGTGCTCCCCGGTCACCGAAGAAGCCTGGCTCGCCCTACCGTCGTGACTCTCCTTCAAGGCTAGGTTCAGCTCCACCCAGATCTCCCACACCAAACAACCCAGGGGGACGAGACAGACTGGATGTGCGTAGTCCTACACCTCCCTTCGGATGGAACGCACCTAGAAGCCCTTACATGCCTCGACATCCATCGCCGCTGAGTCCTGGGGTGTGGAGGAATGAGCTGGCCGAATCTATCAAGGATGGGAAAGCAGCGGGAGGCGCCCCTAGTATCTGTGTCCTCGATACGTGAGTCCTGCCACAAAGGACGTCTGTGCTGAGTTTCGCTTGGATTATGGTTTTGTACTTTGAGTTACTGATGCTCTACTGCCTCTGATACTCTGCCACCATGACAGCAATACCCTCATCTCGGCATGGGAATTCCTCGCATCGCTCTACAACCGCCTACTGCACCTGACAACTCAGTCCTTCCTGCATCCTGCAGCACCGACCCCACCATTTGTCATTGTCATACCCTACTTTGTCATGAACGAGCTGGATGGCCTCAAAGTGCGCCCCGGAGTAGGGTTCAGGGCGCGGGGGGCTAACAAATGGCTGGAATGGGCCCTTCATGAGCAAAGGAAGAGTCGGCAGGACCCTTCCTCCAAGCGAGAAGTGGAGCTTCCCCCTGAGCGCTGGCCGATCCGAGCACAGACACGAAGCTCAGCTATGGAGATGGGAGGTCGGGGAGGTGGCAGCGTCGATGAGGCTCTAGTGGAGCTATGCAATCGGCTTCAAAGGGATACCGACATGCCGGTCATGTTCTGCTCAAACGACACCAACGCAAGGACTAGAGCAGCGATTGAGAGGATCAGAACTTTCGACCTGAAGACGGTGCTCGACTGCATCGACCGAGTGCAAAGGAATAGTATGTCTCCAAGCTTCATGCGCAACGAGGGTAGTGAGGCTTCGCAATATGCTGTCGATGGGCCAGGCATCCTTCTCGAGCAGTGGGCTGCTCAACTTGGACTGCCGGAGATGGACTACGGTCTACGTACGCTCATTGCGCCCATACGAGATGACTCAATGGGCAGTTCCTCTACTCCCACTCGTCAGTCATCGGTTGCAAGCACTGACGAGGACGAGGAAATGGGAATGGCCTCCGATGCCTCAGATAGTAGGAGCACTCTCCGCGTCAAAGCAATGACTCCCACATACAGCGCTTCCCCACCTACAGGGCCTCGCGCTCAAAGCAGCAATCAACCCCCCACCGGGCCCCGCGGTCATGGCAGCCAGTCACCACCGGCTGGTCCTCGAATTCAGAATGGCCTCCAACATCCTCCCTCGGTCCCTCTCAACTCCACGGGCAGCCCTTTGTCCCTTTCCTCGGCAAGAGGCCCCACATCGCTGCCGCCGCGTCCCTCGGCCTCACTTTCTCCGCCCCCCTCTGCGCTTCGTGCACCTGCCGCAAGGAGCCGGGTGCCACCCGCAGTGCCTTCAACGAAGATGCTTCCCGACCAACACAGAGAGGCTGCAAAGCTCGCTCCTTCCACAGGCCCAAAGAGGGGCTCGGCCGCTTCAATCCACGCGCCTCCTTCACCGAGCTCGTCGCGGGCAGCAGTCAGGTCCACTCCTTATTCTCGCCCAGGACGTACGAAAGGACAAGCCGACAATCAGAGGCTCAGTGTCCCTGCGTCTACCACGATGAGCAGAGCTGCGCAATTCCAAGCGGACAAGAAAGTCCCTGCCTCTGGCCCTGTGCGGGCAAGCGCAACAGCTGCGGCAGTCGCTGCCGCGTCCAGCTCCTCCTCGTCCTTCTCCTCTTCTGTCCCAACTACTCGAGCCACAAACCCCACGAACGCAGCAAAGGCCGCTGCTGCCGCTGCCGCAATGGCCGCGGTCCTTTCTGGCGAATCTTCTTCTGGGAGAGGTGCAAAGACGAGAGCTGGGCGCACTACGAGGGATAGTGTATGGGCGAATGGCACAAATGGTACGGGCGCGGGTGCGGGCGCTGGTGCGGGTGCGGGCGCTGGCAAGAAAAGGAAAGGGTAACTGGTCTTTGTAGGAACGGCGGGGCAGTGCATCAGTGAGTCAGACATCATGAACGAGTAGTCGTCAAAGCCCGTCATCGAGTAAAAGGTTTCATCCCATCATGTCATGTCATGTCATGTCATATAATGTCAAGAAGACAGAAGTCGAGTTCCTTTCAATCTATACCCATGATATCCCCTCCTTACTTGGATCTTCGTCTGCGCTTTTTGATGGTGTCGGCGGCAAACACGATGACCATGACGATGATTATGATTATGATAATGATATGCTGATGGTTGACACACCCGCTTGTATTGTATTGTAGTGCATTGCATTGGAGATTGGGTATGGGGGGGGGGGGGGGGGGGGGGGGGGGGGGGGGGGGGTGCTACTATATCTCAAAGTATCTATCGTCTTCTGATCTATGTAAAATCATCTAGGTAGGTAAAGCAAACAAAAGCAAGGAAAGGAGCTCCGCACACTCCTCCTTCTCTTTCCTGCTCCTCTTCTTCCTCTTCTTCCTCTGATCCTTCTGGGTCTATTTCTCCTCCGGTCTTCCCCACCCAAAGGACATCTGTGAAGGGGTACGTCGACGGATCTTCCTCTCTTCGACCTTTTCTCCCACTTCAACAGCAGGAGCAGGAGCAGGGGCAGGGGCTTTCGCGTTCGCATGACCCAACTGCAGAAGGTCAGCTCCAACCAGCGTCGGATCCAAGCTCCGTCGTCTCCTTCCCTCTCCCTCTCCCTCTCTCGCAGCACTGCGAACAAGCGTGGAAGGTGGGCTACGACTCTTGAACGGTCGGCGCTTAGGCCTGCGCATCCGATACGCTCCAGAAAGCAGAGCGTCTTCCCGTGACATGTTGGACGGCAAGCCGCTCTCCGATGCGATGCGGATTGGTCTTGGAGGAGGAGCAGGATGGGATTGCTGCCCGGACAAATCGGTGCGCCGGAGAGAGCGGTCGTGCTCGGTGCTGGGCGTGGTGAAGGTGACACTGGTGGAGGATCGACCGCGAGGGAGGACGTCTTGCTCGGGACGCATGTTTGCTGAAGCGCCGACTGAGGGAGGAAAAGGAGCACTGCGGAGACTTGCTGCCATTGGAGGCCGCGCATCGAGAATGCCGGTGCTGTAATGACGCTCCGGCAGAAGGCCTCCACCACCTCCTCCTTCTCCCAGGACTGAGTCTGCATTGGAATGCGAAGCCGAAGCGACATCGAGTAGGCTGAAGCTGGGAGCCCTAGATCGCGAGTTGTCTTGGCTGCCCGGCGTGCTGAACGCCGAGAGCCATGATCTCTGTGGCTGAACAGCAGCACGGCCGCCGAGACCCAATCCCTGAGCCGCTTGTCCCTCGCCCATGGCCGAGATCAGGCACGAGCGAAGAGCAGTCCAAGCGTCCGGCGACTGAGAGGGCGCTGGCGGTGAACTGGGCTGCGCAAGCGCCTGGTCTGTACTCTCCAGCAAAGACGGCGCACATCTCCGCACTGCTGCCGAATAAGATCGCGAGGTCGAAGGTGAGATGTCCCTCTGCAGTGAACGGGAGAGCGAGGCAGGAAGGGAGAGATCACTTCGTGGATCGACGGCGTCGAGACTCATGATGACGGCCGACGACTTGGATCGGATTGGACTGATGGATGGACGCTTGGGCCGATTTGACATGCTTGAAGAGATTGCCGAAATGGAGTGCGAGTGCGGATGCTGGCGACGTTGTGGCCAAGGAGTTTCAGCATCACTGACCGCCGTCGACGATACTCGACTGCGCGCAAATGGCAAGGGCGACGCTGCCGTGCTTGCAAATGGGCTCCGGTAGGGCGAACCGGTCTCGCTGCTTGGCCGGCTTCGCTCAACCTCCTCGCCTTCTTCCTCGAATTCGAAGTCTGGGACTGCTGCTGGGTCTGCAAGAGCCTGTTCGTCTGCAGGGAGATTGTCCCAGTGGAGTCTGGTCGCCGCGAGATTTGAACTGAGATGAGCTTGACCAATGAGAGCGGAGCGAGATGGTCCTGTCTGATCGTCCCGTCTACCATCCAGTGCCTCATTTTCTAGCACACTCCCAGCGCTGTCGTCACCATCGTCGCTGTCTAACTCATCAGACTCGGTGTCATCCGAATCGTCTTCGTCATCTTCATCGTAGTCCAGCTCATCAGGATCGACTTCTTCCGAGTCGTCTGAATCGACAGAGCGAGGCATAGCCACCTTGCCACGCGGTGCTGGTGACCGAGCCCTTCCGCTTCCTCGATGGTGGTCCGAACCACCGAGATGGCGAGGGGCGGGACTGAGACTCCTCTTGGGCTTTTTGGTCCCTTGGGCGCGAAATGTCCTCTGAGTATTGCAAGATGAGCTCGCAGCGATACTGTCAACATAAGGTTTTAGGTCGTCATCGGAGACTAGGCCCGACGTGCCAGACGGAGAACGATCTCCAGATGGACGGCCACGGACAGTCGAGGATCGGCGCAGGCCGACAAGCTCATGAGGGGACGGCGCGAATTTGAGTCTGCGTTCACGAGCCTGGACTTTGTGATCCTCTTCTTGAGGTGGCGAAGCTACAAATACCTTCCCGCTCGCAGGAGGGGAGAGTAGCACGGCCGAATGCACTGGTGCGTCCCCTGCCATGTCTGAATTTGTCGCCGGTGTCGATACTGGAGAAGAGTGTCCAGAGGTGAGAGGGCGACTGGCGACGCTCTCGTCCGCCGACGAGGGCATCTCGCTGCTCCTCTCAGACATCGCTCTTGCAGCGTCTGAGCGAGCCTTGATTCTCTGCTCGACCCCTTCTGCATCCTGAAAGGTCAGCCGCCGCCTCCCGGCTATTTGAGGTCTGGCATCTGCTGCTGGCAGTGGCGGCACTTCCTCTGGCACGGGCTGCTCAGGCAACGGCAAGGGTGGCGACAGGAATGACAAGGACCGCTTGGCCCGGGGAGAGGACGGGCTGCTTTCTGAACGTCTTGGAAGGGAAGCACGTGAGCTTGTAGGTGGCGGGCTGGGGCTCTTGTGTTGAGATCTAGAGCGAGTCGGCTTAGGCGGTTCCACGAAGCGTGGACGACTGCGACTGAAAGTGCGTACGAGAATGAGGAAGGCTGTGTAAGACTCAAAAAGTCATACTCTCCCTCTACTATCGTTGTCACTCACATTGCTTGTTTACTAGAAGCACCGGCCGCAGACTCGCTGTCGGTCTCAAACACGGGAGTGTCTTGCGCTTCGCGTCTCAATATGCCACAAGCCGTCTTCATCTGCTTGCGAGGCGAGACTTCTCCGGCTAGCATGGCCGCCGTGAGAAGGGACACTCCACCATGGGAAAGGGCATGATGACACTGTGGCTGACTGGCCGTACTCACACCACCTTCAGAGTACTCGGTTTCTGAGCGGCTGAGGGAGGGTGTTCTGTTACCACGAGTGCGAACGGCTTCGTCGCCACTCCCAGGTGAAAAGGTTGAGGAACAATTGCAGCTGGAGCAAGACACCGAGGAGCGAGCAGATGTAAATGTGGGTCGCTTGTTGAATTGCAGAGGCGATGTCTGAGCGCCTTCGGTCATTGAACGCTGGGTTCTCGTCGTCACGCCGGCGGGAAGGTCCAAGAAGGCCACGTTCTGGCCTGTGAGAGGATGCTGGGTGGTGGCTGCCGCAAAGGGATCACGGAGTATTCCCTTTTCAACGCATTTGAGACGAGCGAGGTATGGCGTTGTAGAATCACCAGGCAGATAGCTGGTATGCCCTGGCAGACTATCGCCGTTGAGCGTCCTCTGCTCATCGTCCTCTGGTGCCCAGGGAGACGCGGAGCGTGCAAAGGGCGAGGTTGGCGAGGAAAGTGGGGGCAGCGTCGAGGTGGAAGCCCCCTCGTTGCCCTGCACCTGCATTGCGCTTGTGGGCTGCATCATACGAAGCAGTGTTGAGTGGGGAGGAGCCAAGCCATATACTGAAAGGACGAGCAGATGAAAACGTCGAGGCGTTCGTTTGTGAGTGACAGCCACGAAAAGTGGGCGTCACGAGGCGGGCGTAGATTGAGTTTGCTCAGAGGTGCCGGATCATGTGATGAAGTGAAAGGGAGAAGTGACTTGGAGAGAGAGCAGCGTGGGGTCGATTTTGCTGCCTTCCTCTTCGAAGGTCGAGGTGGCTAGGGGAGAGAGAGAGGGATGTCCAGTATACTGGCCAATTCAGGGCAGCGAAGGAGCCTCTTTGCAATATCGGGCGCGGGGCACAGCAGAGGCGTCGCGGGGGCCGAGTGAACTTTTCAGAGGCGTCGGTCCTCCTTCCGTCCGAGTGTCGTCCGAATGTCACTCGACTCCGCCCGCCGCTGAAGTTCGTCCGCCGGCTGAGATGCACCAGGGACAAACAGACGGGGCGGGCGGCAGAGGGCCAGCAGCAGCACCAGGGCAGCAGGACCCTTGACCCACACACCAGCGGAATCATTCGGGCTAAGATCAACCCGCTAAACACTCCTAGCGAAACTGACAATAAAGGGGCAACTTCTATGCTGCAGAATGCATGCTAGTTTCCATCCCATGAGAGGGCGACGCATGGGGCAGTGAGGTACTATTTCCAGGCCATGTCTTCCCGTCCAAAATCCACACAAGCGATGTCTTGTCGCCGTCATCGGAGACCCGCCGAGATGTGCACAAGCGAGGTAGGACAGAGCGCAGCGGAGAGGGGGGGTCCCTGGATCACCTCTGTCGTAGATGGCTGGGTGTGCCCTTGCCCCACTTCTGACTCTCTCTCTCTCTCTCGCGACACACGTCACAGGTCACAGAACTAGCTTCAGTCGCCTCGGAGATTGCACGTGGAAGCACTTTCGATGCAGGGCGAATAGGTATGGCGGGACATTTGCTATTGTACGCGGAACGAGGTCGCACATCCCCCCTCACATCCGATCAACCTCGTGCGCACTTGCACCTCTCCTCCTCGGGAATCTTCTCCATCACCTGGCCACGTCGAAGAAGGGCAGAACGACGAATTGCAGGTGTCAGTGGACCTTGCCGTCCGGCATCTACAGATAAGAGGGCTTGTGGCTGTGCAGCAGGCCGGCTAGCCAGCCTTTTCCCCTCCTCTATGCCGAATGGCACACTCACCTTAGCTTGGTGCAGACCACATCCGGCCCATGTGCGCTTAGAGCATTGGGAGCCTGGCATTGCAGGAGTGAGGAGTGAGGGGGTGGCGAGAGCATTAGTACAATTGCTATTGGCCCCGCTCACGCGCCCCGGTTACAGCGGTAGACATTGAGAGAGACTCACACTTGACTTCATAGCATCCGTTGACGGGCGTCGTCTTCGATACAGCTGCCATTGTGACTCGTGAATTGTCAAGAAAGTGAGGTCAACGAAGATGGTAGCAGTGGGAAGGGTGGAGTGAGCTTCATCTGTCGTGTGCCACTGCGAGCGAGATCACTGGCTCAGCTCTCGCCCTTTCCGTGCCGCGGATGATCCTCCCTTTGGGCGAGGCTCACGTATTCCGGCTCAAGACGATCGCATCCTCAGCCATCAGGCGCACCAGAGTCAGGGAAAAGATCTTTTGTATTAGCAGGCTGACATCTGCATTCGCAGTGAAGCGATATACCCTCAAGAGCATAATTGTATAAGGACAGTCTGAGCCACTGAAGAAGACGAGACTGTGAGTAGGCGGGGTGGATATGAGTCTTATTCTATCCCTCATCCGTAGGTCCAAGCTCTGTGGGTGTGTGCAGAGACGAGAACAAAGTGATTAAGAGGGAACGTCGTGGGAGATTCGGGGAAGGGGAAAGGGAGCGCAAAGGGGGGTAGAGTTGAGGGAGGAGAGTGGACAGGTACGAAGTGAAGGGGTCGCAGCTACCGAGAAGAGTGCGAGCTCGGCAAAAGGCCCAAAGTCAGACCATCTCTTCCATCACTTCGGAGGGCCAGCCTCAGCGGCTGCTAGTTGGCTTCAATCCGACCTCCAGGTACCAACAGATCAAGAAACATCGGGATTGACAAAGACTTGTGTGAGATGTATGAGGGTCGAATGGCAAGGTTGAAAGAAGCCAGACAATCTCCCTGGCTGCCCTTGCGAAGAAAGAGCCTGGTCCGGTGAATGGCTGGAGCGCGCGCGCAAGAGACGAGACGAGGCCCAAGCAACTCGAAGTCGCGCCTTGTCCAACACCTCACCGGACTGCACTCGGAGCGTACGACTTCCCCCCTACCCAGTGTTCGCCTACGTGCTGCTCCTGCTCTCACTTCCCTCAAACCCAGTTTCCACTACGGTCTAACAATGGGAGCATCCGAATCCCGACAGCTCAGCGATGACTCTGCCCCTAAATCAGGCTACCATGTCGTGCGCGTCGCGGCCAACTCTCCTGCTCACCTAGCCGGCATTGAGCCCTTCTTTGACTTCTGCGTCGGGTTAGACGGTGTCGCTCTCAATGTCTCCGCCCCGGGAGACGACACAGCAGGCGGAGGAGCGGCTGCGGGGATGGGAGCTTGGAAGAAGTTGGAGGAGAGGGAGGGAACTGAGGTCACTTTGAATATCTGGTCATCGAAGAGGCAGCAGCTTAGAGGTGAGACGAAGGCTGCATGCAACACGGGGCAGGAGGGCAGCTAGTCCAAGACTCCTCTTACTGACTTTGTCGAACTGTTCTACTCTCTCAATCGCACCCCTCCAACAGACGTCTCCCTGGTTCCATCGCGCACATGGTCCGCCTCCACCTCGAATAGCACCTCGCAGCCCTCCCTCCTAGGTCTCACCCTCCGGCCCTGCTCTCCCCACCTAGCCCTAAGCAGCGTCTGGCACATCCTCGACATCTTAGAATCATCCCCTGCCGAGTCTGCCGGCTTGGTACCCTTTGGCGACTATATCATTGGCTGGTCTTCAGGAATTCTACGCAACGAGGGAGACTTCTACGACTTGGTAGAAGCTCACGAGGGGAGACCCCTGAGGCTCTATGTGTACAATGCCGACTATGATCATACGAGGGAGGTGATCATTGTGCCCAATAGGGAGTGGGGAGGAGAGGGACTCCTCGGCTGTGGAGTTGGATTCGGACTGCTGCATAGGATTCCAAGACCGCAAGATCGACCACCGGTGCAGGAGACGGAAGATGACCAGCCAAGTCGTGCTGCTGTGGGATTACTACCTCAGACTTCAAGCGCAGGCGCAAGAGGTCCACCGACAGCCAAGTCTGCACCAATGTCGAACCTGGGCAGTCAGAGGAATGGGAGTGGTGGAGCTGGGAATAGTCAACCTAGGATAGAGGAAGAAGAAGAGGAGGATGGTGAGGAAGGCGATGACAGTCACACGAGTGGTGTTACAATCAGCATGCGAAGGGACGACGATGAGGAGGACGAGTAGCCGAAGGTATCCGAACAGGCAAGCGGACCTGCCTTGGCGTACTTTCCCCTCCAACTACAATCTGTTTACGCATCTATCGCGCTCCGTCTCCGACGTCTCTTGAGCTGCTTCTGCCGCAATGCCAACAACATACCCCTGCCAAGACACGACTAAAACCAAAGAGTGATTGTATTTCGTTAAATGTGACAAGGGGAGCTTAATCAGCGGTAGAAGTCCGGCTTGTCAGTGTCTGGCTTCTTGACTGTCTGCTTCCAAGCTTCCTCGACTGTAAAGGGGGAAATGAGGCAGATTGCGGTAGCGGTATATCAGCACGTCGTTCTTCCTTGGCAAATCAGTTCCACCAGCGAATCGCTCTCTGTACTCACAGTCCTCGGGCAGAATGACGTATCTGTTCTTCCTCACAGCCTGCAGTCCAGCGGCTTGGCAGATGCTAGCAATGTCGGCACTGCTCAACTTCTCCGGCCTGCTAACATAGTCCTCTAGATCCACCTCGGGCGAAAGAGCCATCTTGCCTGCAATTGTCTGGAAGATGAGTCGCTTCTCTCTACGCGAAGGATTGGGGAATTCAATCTTTCGGTCGAGACGACCAGGACGCAGGAGGGCTGGGTCTAGTGTGTCTGCTCTGTTTGTTGCCATGATAACCTGACCGGAGAAGAGATGGCTACGTGTAAGATCAATGCTCTCCCTGTCTAGTCATGACTCGCCTCAACTCACTTTGACGTTGCTGTCCTGATCGAAACCATCCATCTGGTTCAACAGCTCCAACAAGATACGCTGCACTTCCCTATCTGCTCCTGTCTGTGCATCGAAACGCTTCGTGGCAATGGCGTCGATCTCATCAATGAAGATGATTGCTGGAGCATTCTCTCTAGCTAACCTGAAGACGTCCCGGACCATCCTTGGCCCTTCACCCAAGTACTTCTGAACAAATTCTGAGCCGACGACGCGAATGAAGGAAGCAGTAGTGGCGTTGGCGACTGCCTTGACCAGCATCGTCTTTCCTGTTCCGGGAGGGCCATAGAGGAGCACTCCTCGAGGTGGATCGATACCAATCTGTCTATAGAGGTCGAACTGCACAAGGGGCAGCTCCACGGCTTCTCTAATCTCCTGCTTCTGAATATCCAGCCCTCCGACATCTGCGTATGTCTCCGTGGGCTTCTCGTCCTGACCAAGTAGAGAGATAGAGGAGTCAGCCTCGGGTGGGAGGATGTCGACCAAAGCATTAGAGTGGCGATGGAGAGCAACGGAGCTGCTTGGCTTGAGCAATTCCCGATCCAAAGTCGACAGGATCCTGACGACTGAATTGCTTCCAGTGGTGGACCCCACAATACCGGTGTGCTCATCTATGGGCTCCAAGAATTGGCCAATGACCAAGGGGACAGACTGGATCCTCTTGACCTCCTCTGAAGCTCTGAGTAGCTCCCTCTTGAGATTCCTTTGCTCTTCCTTGACATATTCTGTCATGGTATCGAGAAACTCGAGGTGTTGCTGGAGCTTCTTGAAGCGGAGAAAGGTATCCTCCTCTTGTTGAGCCTCCTTGTGTACCTTTGTTTGCTCATTGACTGCTTGGAGCAAGGTGGGGTCGGTGGCTGTAATGCCGAGCTCTTCCATGATGGGCGATGATCAGCCAAGAGCGTGGCGGCTGTAGTTGCACGGAAGACCGAGGAGCGTTCTAGGGCAGGGTATCAGGACGCCGTGGCAAGTACGATGCGGCGATGTGGTGGTGTGATGGTGGTGATGGTATCATCCGTCTGTCTGCCTGAGTGTCCGATGCTTCCCCTCCCGCCTCGTCACTCCACTCGAGATTCCTCGGGGCCGCGTCGTCGCCTTCGGAAAGCGGGCGGGCGAGGCGCGGCTGAGGCGAGGCGAGGCGTGCAGCGTCTGTCGCGTGGGAAAAGCGGCTCAAGCGCCTCAAGCGACAAGGACACAGACAGACGAGGAGAAGGTCCGACGAAGTGTTGCTTGTGTTGCTTCAGCCTCACCCCTCTCGTATCCATACCTCACATCCGCCGCGATCAACATGGACGGCTACCGTAGAGGCAGAGAAGGGCCCATGGACTGGGAGGTCACCCAAGATGCCACCGCCGCACCCTCTTCCTCTCGCCTCGCCTCCACCCACAACGACGACGCCATGGACATTACATTTCAGGACGAATCTATCAGAGACGTCAGCATGGCCGACGAGGATGCTGATGATACGCAGACTGGGGAGATTATTCAAGACGGCGCCAATGAACATTTGTCCAGCGATGCGGCTGCGATTGAAGAGATTCCTCGTCCGCGAGACGAAGCAAGCAAAGCATCTTCTTCAAAAAATGCCTCATCATCATCCGCCCTCGTATCCCTCTTCGGATCCAAGTCGACCAGGCAGAGGTCAAAGAAATCAAGGAGGAGGAGAGGCAGCCACAGTAGCGTCGGAAGCAGTGTGGGAGATAAGGATGAGGGGCATGGAGCAGCAGGGCAATGGCCACTGGCCCCCGTGGTAGGCACTGTCATCAACTACCTCGTACCCCCGGTGCCAGCTCCATCAGCCGCCTCGGCTGCCTCATCGCATCAATACACCGAGCAACAGCTACGGAGAGTCAGTGCAGCTCAAAAAGCACACAATACCCTTCATCCCAGAGAGAAGCCCCTCCTACTGCTGAGCTATGCTCAGCTGGCTTTCAATTCGTCGCTGCTACTTCTGGCCGGCTACGTCGTCTTTGCACTGGTCTGGACCATCAGACTAGACGTTGTTGAAAGGCTGAGGGAAATTGAAGATGGTGAGTCTCAGTCGACCTTAAGAATGCAAAGAACAAAGCAGCTCAAGCTCACATGAGCTACCATTGCCTCCTGATGCCCTGCGCTAGCCTATCACCACTCTATTGCTACTTGCCAACGATCCCACTCCCTCAATTGCCTCATCGTACCCCTTCCGCCGGCCCTAATCGCAGCATGTGACGAGTGGGAGAGATGCTCGCACAGGAAGCTGACAGAAGTCCTAGGCGGATCCAGACTACGCGTAGTCATTGAAGTGCTCTCGGAAGCCTGGGAGGTCGGAGTGGGAGGGCTCGGCTGGAGGACATTGGGCTTTTCGCTGCTGCTGCTCAGCGTCATCTTAGGTGGAGCCAATAGCACTCTCAATGGATTGCGCATGGGCGTGTTGCGCAAATCTCGTCGTAGCAAGGGACGTCAACAGCAGGAGGAAGAGGAAGAAGAAGCAGAAGAGGCAGAAAGGCGGCGTCTGCGGAGAGAGAGGGCAGAGAGGGAGACGATGGCTCTCTCGTCGGGTGCGTCTTACTCTTCGGCACAAGCTCTACCTCCTCCTCCGTCGGCCTACGCAGCCTTTTCGCCTCACCACATCGATCCTTACGGCTTTCAACGCAACCCGCCCTTCTACGTCATGGATCAGTCTGCCAGTCCCTCCACTATGCACAGTCCTCCAGTCAGGGCGAGGGGCCGGAATCCTCTGTATGCAGTGCCGAGGGCGCGTCCGCAGAACGATGACGCCAGTGAAGGTTGGGTCGATGAAGATTAACACCTAGCTTGATCATTAATGTAATCTGTGTAGTACAATCAGACGAGCCGATTGCATCTGGTGAACCGTGGCTGATCGAAGCCAAGCACTACAGACCACACTCTTCCAGTCTTGTCCACCACTCCTTTCTCGCCCCTTTACTACCAACACCTTGCCGCTCGAAATCCGCACCGTGCTGTGCTTCATTCCCTGCTCCAAGCACAAGGGTCCTGAGCTCCTCCTTGAGCACATTGCACCGCATGGTCACCTGCGTCACTGCCTCCAGCCTGCTCGGGACGGGCGGAAGACCTGTCCCGCCACCGCCGCCGCCGCCGTGATCACTCCCAAGAAGTAGTGCGTCGCTCCCTGCAGGTAGAGAGGCTGCCGAGGCTAGTGATCCCGAGGTAGGTGGACCAACGTAGAGTAGGTAGCTCGCCTGTACGAGGGATAGCAGAGCGTGCTGCACCGGCAGAGAGGTAATGTCCACCTTGGAACCAGTGCGCTCGTCTTCCTCTCCTTGCGAAGAGAAAAGCCTCCGACTTCTCACTGCACCTTCTTCGTCTTCCTCTTCTTCTCGTCGCTTGCGTTTGCGTTTGGCGAGCATCTCCCCTTGAAAAGAAGGGAGAGCAACGTCTAGCTCTGTGCACAAATTCTCAAAGATGTATAGCATCCTTTGTAATCCAAATGGTTTGGGTCCTAAAAGGAGTGGGTCTGAATTGCTACTCGAACCTCCACCGCTTGCATCCCAGTCGTCATCCAGACCAGCAGCTGCGCCTCCGCGTTGTTTCTTTCTTGAGCGACGGACCTTTTTAGAGGAGCGGGCGAGAGAGGAAAGAAGAGACGAGTCGCGCAGGAAGAAGCGGGTGTCGGTTCGAGGGGGTAGGTGCGAGGCGAGGAAGGCTGAGATGAGGAGAAGGGAGGCGAGGGGCGCTAGAGGTGAAGTGGCCTCAGTAGCGGTAGTAGACTTCTTCTTCGCCTTCGTGAGACCGTCCTGACCGACGCTTTGGACAGCGTGACGCTCGACGATTCTGTCGATCCATTGGGAGAGACCGACTCGTCTGGGCGACAAGTCTCTCAGAGCTCCCCTGACGAGAGGACCCAACAAGGATAGCAGCGCATGTCGATCCTTGTATCTTATCTCGACGTCAGCCTGGTTCTCATCAGCTTCTGCTTGGAGAATTCTATATTGGGCAAGCCAAATTGCTCCCGACAAGAAGCGTAGCTCTTCAATGTCCTGTGGTCCGACCTCCGACGATAGAGAGGAGAAGGTATACTCGACAAACAGAGGCTTGAAGCGTTCCACCGCTGCTGAGGCTTCTGCTCCCTTCAGCAGCGGCAGCGAGACGAGCAGGGCGTCTGTGATCAAAGCTTTCTGAGTGTCCCGCGAGTCTGAATCGACTAGATCCACACCCCGGAAAGTGAGCTTGACAATGGGACGAGTACCACTGACTTCTTCGAGTGCATCGGCTGTACGCCATCTCTCCAAGGGGAGACTGGAGAGCAAAAGGACAGTGTAGCCCTCCGGCGGGTGGAGGAATTGAGACCATAGCAGAGGTGCGTGGGTAGAGCGTAGCAGGTGTGCAGAGGGAATGACCAGCAGGCGACGGACGGACTCTATCTCGCTGTGGTACCTTTCTGGAAAGATCGAAATACTCGAAGAGGTCGAAGCCTTCTTCGACACTGTTGTGGAACCTGTCGCTTGAGCCGCTGTCTGTTCCTGAAGTGGTCTCGCAGCCTCAAAGGCGGCTTCGATGTCTCGCCGCAGATCGACGACCCTTGAGCCGAGCAAATTCGGATGACATTCCACTACCACATAGCTCTCCCTCGATGCCGACGTCAGAGACCTGACCTGGTCTAGTGCGGTGACTTGATCTGATGCTGAGGTGGCTTGCACGAAGATGCAGCCCGGGTAGGGGTTGCGGAGGAGCTGCTGGAGGATCTTGGTGAACCGAGTGTCGATGTTGACACTTGACGCAGATGCTGAAGAAGAGGCAGCGGCATTGTCTATGGAGGTAGCAGCGACCATGACAAAGATCACAGCGACCAATTAATGATCAGACGGAGAGAGTTGCGACGGCAGCATGGGAGGGCCGGTACGGACTTGTGGAGAGGACGTGCAGGCAGTCCTTCCTTCCGACGGAAAGGAGGCCAACCAACGCCAGTCGCGCTTCACCGCTCGTGTTGTTCTCCTCTTCTCCACGATACAACACTTCCTCTTCTCTTTACGGGTAGGGCTCGTCTTGACGCATACTCTTCATGCCTTCACCGCCGCCTGCTCCCAGACGAGCCAGGCCAGTTCGACCCGGGGACTGGCCCTCGCGTGCCCAGGAGCCAGCGACCCAGCGTGCGCAGGGTCAAGCTGCCGTCGCGGGAAGAGCCTCGGTTTCTGGATTCGACTCGTCCGACGATATCCTTCTCGGCGGAGATCGGGCTGGCGCACAACATCCTTTCGTCGCAGGAAACATCAGAAGAGATGGTGGGGACAACAACTCCAGCTTTACATTTGCTGATGCTCGTCCGGCTGGGATGCTGCCTTCAGCGGCAGCAGGACCCTCCAGATTGTTTGCCAATTCTGATGAGCTGATTTCAAAGCTCACTGGCGGCTATCGTGGCGGTATGACCGGCCTCATGCCCTCATCTGACTTCAGTGTTGACCTCAAATCATCTTCCAGATTCGCCGGTGCAAGTCTGGAGACACCTGGACTGCTGCCTATGGCTGGACCTTCGAAAGGGCGTGTTCCCCAACCTGCGAGAAATCGACTATCTGATGAGACGTCTTCCTTTCGGGCTTCTCCTAGACCGCTGAGAGGAGGCGCGAGGCATACACATGCAATGCCATCGACACCTCTGGGGGCTGCTGGCCATCAGCCTTCGGGACTCAATGCAGATGGCTCCTTTTCTGTAGTACGAGATGAGGACGAGGCCAACAACTCAGGTCTACTCGAGCTCGGCCCTCTCAGCTCCTTCGGCAGACAAGCGGATCTCTTTGGCCTCCGTAAGTTCAGAGGCCTTCAAGCGAAAAGCAGAGAGGGGTCACAAGAGAATGCAGCTGCCGGAAGTGTCGGTAGTGGCCGGAGCAGCAGAGGGACAGCGGCGGCAAAGACGAGCTCAAGCGATGCGGCTAATGGGAGCGTGGTCGAGCATTCGATCTTGTCCGAAGTTCCGGAGTCTGATGAACTTGAGATGGATGCAATTGGAGCGGAAGGTAGCGAAGGAAACCAGCAATTACTGCAGAGGCTAAGATTATGGCGTCAGGATGCCATGGAGCATCACCTCTACGACACAGCAATATTCTGGGGCGAGAAGGTGTTGTGCATGGAAAGTGAGTAAGAGATCCGTTGCGGCCACCTCAATGCATTACCTAAAGTGACTCACCACACTCTGGACCAACGTCTTTGTCAACCTACAGCGCAAGAGACACAGCGGCCGAACGATGCCTATTTCCTCGCCAAGGCGTACTTTTTGACCCACCAATACAGTCGAGCAGAACACCTGCTTGTCAACCCTCTCCCACCTGCAGCTGCCCCACAGCTACCTCCGCCTCCTCCTCCGCCTGGAGATTTACAACGACCGATGCAAGCGGAGGATATCCCAGACGAAGACGCACTCGCGGCCGCCTTGGAAGGAGCCAGAAGGAACACCGTCTTGCCTGCCAGCCTAATCCAGCGCTCGGCAGGGAAGTCAGGCTTCAATGCAGGTGTGTTGCATTCTGACAATGAGAGAGCCGATGCGCCATTGCTGTCAGACGACGACTTTGACGGCGACGCTGGTACTGAGAAGAAGCGGAAAGACCGGGAATTCACCGTCAGCGGGACCGGGACGGGAAGTGAGAGTAATGGGGGCGAGATCGATAGCGATGGTGCCGCGGATGGTCTTCGCCGAGGGTACGCGGGCAGAAGAAGAGACAATGCTGCCTCTGCCACTACACCACCCTTGCACGAACCGCGAGACTTCCGAAAGGGCATCAATCGTTCTGATCCGCTTCGTCCGAGTCCAGTCGACCTTTCCATGCCCCTGGCTGTCTACGAAGCATGGACTGCAGAGCAAGACACAGCGCTGCAACACATTCGGGCACAGTCGCAGCCGTTGGGCTCTCAAAGAAGCGTCTTGGGTCAAGGAGGAGCAGAGGAGCAGGATGCTTCAAATCAGCCCCTGGTGAATATATCTTCTGCTTGTCGGTACCTCGCTGCCAAGTGTAGGGTATGTCTGGGAAGATTCGGGGAGGCTCTGGACCTGATAGGAGAAGAGAGTGGTCGCTGGATCAAAGGTGGTGCCCACGGCCGATATGGTGCAAAGGCACCTTCTTCGGATGGCCTTCTCAAGGTCGCTTCTTCAGTGACCCATCTTAGAGGATTGATTCAGCTCAGACTGGACAATCTCAATGCGGCTCGTGAAGCCTTCATCGAGGCTCTGCGCATCGACGTCAAGAATTACGACGCCTTCGCTGCGCTGGTCGACGGGAAGTTGCTCAGCGGAGGCCAGGTGTGGAACCTGGTCGAAGGTCTGGAATGGGAGGCTCAGAGCAACGGAGACAAACAAAGCTTCGACTTTATACGGTTGTGCTATATGTCAAAGCTTGACAAGGAGGAGCAAGGCAATGCGGTTCGAGCTGCGACTGCGCGACGAGAGCTGTGGTCCACCTACGGGGGCGCAGGGCACCAAGGCGGCTTGTACAACTCTACAGACCTCCTTCACGCTCTTGCCGAAGACCTGTACGCCCGCAGGCGCTTCACGGATGCGCTCATCGTGACCCGGAGGATACTGTCGCTGGACGCAGAGCACGAGCAGACGATCGATTTACATATCGGCTGCATAGCTTCCCTTCCTCCAGGGCAGGCCAAGACGTACCGCCCACAGCTTTACCTCTTAGCCAATCGCCTAGTGGAAGAGCATCCCGATCGAGCTTCGAGCTGGTTCGCGGCTGGCACTTGGTATGCCACGTCGCAACGGTGGGCTGAAGCACGCAAATACTTCTCGAAGGCGACACTTCTCAACCCGCGCCATCTGCCCTGCTGGCTGTCTTTTGCTCATTCCTTTTCCCTCGAGGGCGAGTCGGAGCAGGCCGTCCTGGCATACTCAAGCGTCGTCAAGACCTTTCCCAACGTCAGATATGCCAAGGTTTGCCTCGGCTCTGAGCATCTCCGAATGGGCAACCTGAAGCTGGCACGCACCTTCTTGGAAGGCGCTAGAGATCCTCTGGGCGGGGGAAACCTTGAGATGGGAGGCGAAGAAGAGATGGGCGTCTTGCGCTATTACGAAGGGCGCTTCGCCGAAGCGATTACCATCCTCAGCCGCGTCCTGCAGGCCTCTTCGGCAGCTGGCGAACCTTCGAGCTCACACCTCACTACGCGACTCAATCTTGCTTGGGCTCTCTGCAAGGGCGAGCAAGCTGATGAGGCTCGAAGGATGTTCCGATCGGTCATTGAGATCGATTCGACAAATGTCGCTGCCCACCTCGGACTAGCCATGGTGGACCATCGTGCGGGTCGCTTAGCAGACGCTGTTGGTTGGTACCATGATGCGCTCGCCATCGATCCTCGCCATCCTCAGGCGACTGAATTGCTGCAGGTCGCAATGGAAGAGTATGCAAGCCTGCCCATCGAAGATGAAGGAATTGCGCCGCCTTCAAAGAGCGGTGCTGCAGGCAGAAAGGCGCGACTTTTCGAGCATCTGGAACTTCCTCCGGAATACCAGCTTTCCAACGCCCCAGCTCCTGGACTAGAGATGCAGGAGGGTGTTTCACTGGAAGCTGGAGAAAGTAGCGTCATGGACGTAGAGGGTGATGAGGAGGAGCAAGAGGTCAGTGAAGAGACAAGACCGGTCGTGAGCGGGACATCCTTCTCTACAGGTCAGCTTGACGGAGAGGAGAGCGTCGAAATGGATGAGACAGGGTGAGGGAAGATGAACACTACAGCATTTGTTCACGTATCCGTTGTGCCGTAGCCTAGCCCGCGCCCACGTCCTCTTTGTTCTTCACAGCAGATACCCCGAAATCGGAAGTGTTACCGTTACTGTTATACAATGTTCCAATTGTATTGACAAGACAAGATGAAGAGTGCCGTGCAAATGATGCGAAGGAGGAAGAAGAGGAGGTAGCGCAAGACTATTGAGGCGGTGTAGAGTCCCGGGCCTTCTGCGCCGCCTGTGTTGCCCATACGGGTGCGTCTGCATCAGCTGATTGCTTTGCTTTCTGTGATGCAGAAGGCAAGAATGGATAGAGTCAGTCAAAGTCGATACCTTGGTGGGGAGGAATGGGATCCATGAGAAGCTACTCGCCTCGAGCTGCTCTGCGAAAGCTGCTTTCCTCGCTGCCGCCTGTCGATGCGAGTCCACCTGCTTCTTCAATTCTGGCGAGAGTTTCTGTGACAGACAATGTGAAAGGAGGGCCAGATGTGTGAGAAAGCAATTCCCAAAGGATCAGTGAACGTTAGGCTCTCGCTCACATTGTAGAACTCCTCGTCCGTCGGCGTCGTCCCTGTAAAGTAGCAAGCGGGTGGCACGGGTCAGCTCTGCAGAAGCGCCATGCAAAGGGGTGAGCAACCCCAACTACCCACACTTCATGATGCCGTAGCCTGCTCCCATGACGCCGACGAAGCCGATGAGACCTCGTACATAGTTGCCCCCGCTCATTGTAGGTTGTGTGGGAGAGAAACGTTGATGATGAGACCTGTAGTAGTGAGCTCTATTGCTACGACTGGTCACTCGTTTCTTGTGCGTCTCTGTTCCGGGTGGAGCATCACCTCCCAACTTTTGCTGACTAACCGCCTGCGTCCGCCTTTGAGAGCGACGGTTCCCCTTTCCGCGGCTAAACTCGCTGCGAGCCGTGGCCGTGACTCCATCCGTTGCACTTTCACCTCACCTCGCTCGGCCTTTCCCTCCGTCCGATCTGTACACCTCACCATCCTCCTTCATCCACAATGCTGACGCTTAGCTCGCCTCTGCTGCCAAGGCTGGACAGCAGCGATGCCCTCGACGCTCGAATCCTGTCCGTCATCAGCCGCACATCTTCGCCTCTGCTCATCTCTTCCTCGGCGCTCGCAAAAGTGCAGTCCAGTCTTCCGGATTCCCTCGCATACATCGTTGTAGCCGACTCGCAACTTTCGGCCAGCGAAGCCGCCGATATCCTCGATGGAGGAGCAGAGGCCATTGTCCTGTCGGCAAATGATGCTCCTGCTTTCCTCGATGGGGACAAGCCTATTCTACCCCTGGAAAGGGTCGTCCTCTCAGTGGATGCAACCACAGCAGCTTCCTTACCTGCATACGCCGATAAGGGTCTCGCCGCCGTCCTCGTGACGCTTCCCGATGGCGTGGAACTGGAGAGCTCGCCAGCAGGCGATATCATTGGCTCTTTCACCAAGGTCATGAAGACAAAGGAGACCGGACGACCAGTATACGTTGCAGCTTCTTCAGTCTCTACATCACAGGTCCCAACAAAGGATCACACTGCACGGGCTTTTGCCCTTGGCGCTGCCCTTGTAGTACCGACCTCTCATCTCGGACTAGACATGTCTTCAGGCAAGCTGGATCTCATCGAGGCATTTACCTCCCCTCTCGTCTCGGATCGCAAAGACGGTCTTTTCCCCACTAATGTCGTTGCTGCCTCTCTGCTCACATCACTTGGGCTCGTTTACTCCTCTCTAGAGTCGGTCCGTGAGTCGCTTCTTACTGGATCGGCGGTCTACCAATCACGAACAAGAGGTCTGTGGAGGAAGGGTGAGAGCAGCGGAGCGACGCAAGAAGTGGTACGAATTAGGATGGACTGCGATTCCGATGCCCTGGAGTTCAAGGTCAGGCAGAGGAAGGGGACCACGCAAGCCGCCCATGCAGGGTTTTGTCACCAGAGCACAAAGGAGAGCTGTTTCGGCCCTTTTGAAGGTCTTGCCAAGCTGGAAGCGACTCTCAAGTCTCGCAAGGAGTCGGCACCCCCTGGCAGCTACTCTGCTCGCATCTTCTCTGATGAGGCCTTGCTCGCAGCCAAGATCAAGGAAGAGGCAGTCGAGCTGATCGAGGCAAAGGACGGCGACAAGGAGCATATCGCTTTTGAGGCAGCAGATCTCCTCTACTTTGCTCTCGCTCGGTGCATTCGCGCCGGAGTGGGATTGGAGGATGTGGAACGGTCATTGGACAAGAAGAGCATGAAAGTGACGAGGCGGAAGGGCGATGCTAAGCCCGCTTACATTGGCGGCTCTTCCGGTAATCCCGGTGCCAACCAAAAGGCACAGGCTGAGGGCGCAAAGCCGCTTCCTGTCTCTGCTACCAATGGCACCAGTAGCAGTGACCCCTCGGCCCCCATCAAGATGCAGTCCTACAGGCTCGAGAATCTGTCAGCATCACAAAAGGCTGCTCTATTGAAGAGGCCGGCAATCAAGTCCGAGGCGACGATGGAAATTGTCCGCCCTATTCTCAAGGCTGTCAAGGAGCAAGGCGACGCTGCTGTTCTCGACCTGACCGCGAGGTTCGACAAGGTCAAGCTTACCTCGACTGTCCGCACTGGTCCCTTTGCAGGGCCAGATGTGATGGCCCAGATCAAGCCAGAAGTCAAGACTGCCATCGATCAGGCGTACGCAAACATCTACAAGTTCCACTACGCCCAGAAGGTGACTGGTGGTAACAAGAGCGCTGCAGCCGTGGGCGCAGGTGGTGTTGCTCCCGGCACGGGAGAGGGTGAAGAGGACGCAGTCCTCGAAGTGGAGACGATGCCCGGTGTGGTGTGTCGTCGCTTCGCTCGCCCAATCCAGCGGGTCGGTCTCTACGTGCCCGGAGGCAGTGCCGTTCTTCCCAGTACGGCTCTGATGCTGGGTATCCCTGCTCAGATTGCTCAATGTCCCACCATCGTCCTGGCTACCCCACCACGCTCCGACGGCAGCATCGCCCCCGAGGTCTTGTACGTCGCAGACAAAGTTGGCGCTTCCGCTCTGCTATGTGCGGGTGGTGCGCAAGCCGTGGGTGCAATGGCCTATGGTACGGAGACGTGTCCCAAGGTAGACAAGATCTTTGGTCCTGGCAACCAATTCGTCACTGCCGCTAAGATGCTCGTGCAGAACGACCTCGACGCACTCGTCTCCATCGACATGCCCGCTGGTCCCTCGGAGGTGCTGGTGATTGCAGACAAGAGTTCTCACCCGGACTTTGTTGCCTCTGATCTCCTCTCGCAAGCGGAGCACGGCCCCGACTCTCAAGTCGTCCTCGTCGGTGTGCAACTCAGCGATGTGGAGCTTCTAGCCATCGAGGAGAGTCTAGATCGTCAAGCTAAAGCTCTTCCCCGGTGCGAAATTGTACGCAAGGCAATCGAGAAGTCTGTCACGGTCGTTGTGCCCACACGGGAAGAGGCAATGGCATGGAGCAACGCCTATGCCCCCGAGCACCTCATTCTGCAACTCGACGATGCCGAAGAATTGGCAAAGGGCGTAGTCAATGCAGGTTCCGTCTTCATTGGACCCTGGACTCCCGAGTCAGTAGGAGACTATGCCTCTGGATCTAACCACTCGCTGCCTACCTTTGGCTTTGCAAGACAATACAGTGGTGTTTCTACCTCGGCCTTTCAGAAACATCTCACGGCGCAGAGCCTCACCAAAGAGGGACTGAGCGCACTTGGACCTCATGTCGTTGCACTGGCAGAGTGTGAGGGACTCGAGGCGCACGCCGAGGCGGTGAGGATTAGGCTGAGGAAGTTGCAGGAGGCTGTTGCATCGGCCTAAGCGCCGAACAGGATATTGTACTTGCGAGCAAGACGAAAATGGATGGGAGGGGGATGGGATGAGATGGACGATGCCATGTGACAAGGAGGAATGGATGGGAGCCTTTTCTTCGTTGGTAGAGAAATGTAGAGGATCAGTTGTTTCGCAGGCTGTAGAAATTGCAATTGCACATCTTCATCTTCGACCTTCGACCCTAGTCTGCAGTCACCTCCATCCGGCATAACCCCCCGCCCTCACCGGCTCTGTCCGTCCGTCCTTCCCTGAATGTTCGACAGTCCGATTCAACTGCAATACAGGCCGGTCAGGTCTGGTCTGGTCGAACAGTCCGGCCTCTCGAGAGAGGAAACCGGAAGGGAAGAGGGAAGAGTACGAGCAGGCAGGCTGTAGACTAGTCTAGCGCTGACGAGTTTTTATTGCATCCCCGTCCCCCCTCCTACCCTACCCAATAGAAGAAGGAGACGAGACGAGACGAGACGAGACGAGACTGGACGACAGGTTTTGGTATGAGACGAATACGAGACAAGACTGAAGAAGAGAAGAGACGAGACGAGAGGAGACGAGAGTGGTGGAGTTGCTACAGACAGAGGAGCACAAGAAGGAAATGGAAAGTTTGAAGGAAGAGGAAAAGGTGACTGGTGAAAGGAGACTTGGGGATCGAGACGAACGAGACAGGTGTACGGGATATGGCAAGGGAAGGGGATGGACATGGACATGGACAGGGAAATTAGAGGTGACTGGTAGGGCGCCGAAGAAGGAGGAAGACTCTTCTTCTAGAAAAAGAAAAAAAAAAAAAAGGCGATGGTGACTGGCCATCTACGCGAACCCCGCTGGTCCCATCATGACTCTCTCTTTCCTAGCATCTGCTGGTTCTTATCTTCTTCTGCTCTGCTCTGCTCTGCTCTGCTCTGCTCTGCTCTGCTCTGCTCTGCTCTGCTCTGCTCTGCTCTGCTCTGCTCTGCTCTGCTCTGCTCTACTCTAGTTGCGACAATCAAAAGTGCAAGTTGGGACCACTTGTCGCCCCGGCCCCAGCTTCGGTAAAGTAGTCCTGAGCAGCCCAGAGGTCCCGGAAAACGTAGCCAAAGGGGTCGTCCTCCCCTCCTACGGCCATGGGCTGGTGCTGCTGCTGCTGCTGCTGCTGCTGGTCCATCTGTGATTGAGTGCCATCTTGACCTGTGTATGTGCCGTGCTGCTGCTGCTGCTGCTGCTGCTGCTGTTGCTGTTGTTGCTGCTGGTGATCCATGCCTCCCACCCCGCTGGCTCCGTAGTCAACAAATGGCGTCAGGCCTGTGCTTCCGAAGAAGCTACTGAAGCCCGGTGTGAGGCTAGGATTGCCGTCGCCTACCCCTGCACCAGCATTGCCAAAGCCTGTCGCAACACCAGAAGATTGACCTCCGGTCACGTTACCACTTCCACCGCCGCCAATACTACCACCGCCCCCTCCTTGGGCAAAGAGCGCCGAAGAGAAGGTTGGCAGGTCAAGAGGGCTCGGGAAGGTGGCATCGAAGAAGTTCGGGTTGACACTCGCGCCGCCCTCGTTGGACCCGTGCAGACTAGCCAGTGATTCAATGAAACGCTGTTGACGCCGGTCGTAGGGCTGCTGATTCGTCTCATGAAGAGAAGAGGAAGACTGATTGGCCTGTCCATCAGACCACTGAGCTCCAGCGCCAGCGGAAGACGACGACGGGTGAGATTGACCGGGGATCTGTCTGCCACCTCGGACGCCTGCGTCTTGAGCACCAGCAGAATAAGCTGCGACACTCGCAGGCGAAGCATCTTCGGACGACACCTCGGGCGTCGAGGTCATAGGAGTCACACCCAAATCTTGAGTCGAGAGGGGCAGCGCATAGGCAGCATTGCCTGGAAGGCCCTTTTGGAGATCCGCCGAGCTGCTAGGAACGTGTCTACTTCGGTGCAAACCGACCACCGGACGACTAGTCATGTTGATGTCTTCAGTAGAGGTATCAGCTGCTGCCGCTGCTTCCTTGCCCTCCTTACCGGCCTTTCTCTTCGATTGAAGCTGGTCTACGTCACCCTCGCTATCGCCAGTATCGCTCGCCTTGAGCAAGATCCGCAACAGATCGTAGAGCTTGCCACCCAATGGCCAACGATCTTCCAGATCCTTCAGCACCTCAAGGCACTTGTTGATGTCATCCATCGCTCCCGAAGATGTTCGCAATCCACTGCGTTTCGAGCCCCATCGGACAAGCTGCAAGACACAGCCACACTCAAAGGCTAGTGCAGTTGCCAACATACCCGCAGATCGCACAACGCCCCGCTTCGAAAGATTGTGCAGCATCTGTGCGGCCAAGCGAGCCGCATTGGTGACGATGGCCAGCGAAGGGAAGTTGAGGGAAGAATTGACCCGAGGCCCTACGATGAAGGGCCGATGCACAAGAATCTGCGCATAGTAGTACTTGGCGTGGAGCTGAGTGCTTTGGATCAGATGCTCCTCATTGGGCTCGTCAGGGTCGTAGCGCAAGTGGGCAGGTACAGTGTCCAGCCATTGGTTGAGCATAGAGTCAAGATCAGCTACGATCAATTGATCCCATCCCTTGCCAGCAATGCCTCGACTGGCTTTGGCCTTACCAATGGCATAAATGGTTCGCAATGTCTTACCGACAATCTCGTCGAGCTTGAGACGACAAGCGAATCCGTCAATGCGAGGTGGCGCACCGACAGGCTGCTTGGGTAGCGTACCATCTGCATTCTTGCCCTGCATCAGCAGGTAGTCGTCGAGGGCCAAGGGCGGATCGACGTCAAAGTCCTCATCCTGTACTGCCACTGGCCGACCGAACATAGTAGCCATTTCACGATCGAGCGAGTACGCAGTCCACCAGACACGGCGCCAGGCTTCCTCAATGTGAAGGGGATACTGTAGACGAGCCGCTGTGATCTTGCGATGAGCGCCGGCAAATTGAAGAAGTCTGAAGACGGCACCCAGGAAGCTCCAGGCGACGCTTTGAGCCAAGTGTGTACTGAGGAGGTACACGATGATCAGCAGCATGAACTGCGTGTGACTCAAAGAAGGGCTTGGCCAGGTTAGACGGAATCCAATCCGCCGACAGGTGTTGTACCATCGCGCTCCTCGAGTTCCATGCAGAGCATCTTCCTTGTATCCCTTTTCGAGAACTCGATCGTCGTCACAATACAGACTGGCGACAGCGAATACAGACGTGGCGAGCAAGACCCATTCGCGGTTTTGCCTCTTGCTGGGGTCCTTCAAATCTGCCCTGAACTGTGGTTCACACAACACCGGATAGTCATTGTGAGGGCGCATAAAATATGCGTCTACCAGCTTCTGCTCCAGGTCAGGTTCGGGCCAGGCTTGTCGAATGATGTCGAATTCTTTCGTCTCTTCATCATCCCATAAAGAAATCGTTAGGCAGCGGGGAATGGCCCAGAACTCTGGTCGCATCCCGGGAAACTGAGGCATGCGATCGACGACGTTGCAGGCAAGGTGTTGGGATAATTCCGACTCTGTCTTCTTGTTCATTCGCTCCAGGGCGGGTATCAGATGGAAGGCGCTGGAATTGCCAATGAAAGATGCGGCTTGACCTCGTTGTTCGTCAGAGAGACCTTCGGCGCCTTTTGATCCGGAAACAGCTGAAGGTGTAGACAGTAGGCGAGGGGGTGAAAGCCTGTCGAGCGTGCCTGCTGGTGCCCTCGAGCTGACATAGGCGACGTCTTCTACATGACTGTAGGAGTCCGCACTCTCATCATCGTCTTCGCGTTCCCGATCATCTTCGTCAGAATCTTCTGACTTGATGCGAAGCTTGCCTCCCAGTCGAGCGATCATCGAATCGCGCTCGCTCACATCAAGTGGTAGCACTGAACGTGCAGATTCAGTAGGCTCGGGAACGGGAGGAGGCTTGACGAATTGAGGCCTCGAGGGTGAACCGGCCTTGCTTTGGTCTTTTGGAAGGTCATCGGGTAATCGTACGGGGAGGCCAATGCGGTCGGAGAAGTCTACGCCTGGAGCCAATTCGCTGAGAAGCTGTTCAACCTTGTCCATGCGAGTCTCCAAGGCTTCCGTATAACTCCTCGGCGGGGCTCTCCTCTTTGTCGCTTCTTCAAACCTGCAGACTTGGCCGTACGTGATGCAATTCGTGCAGGCTCCTTTGCCCGGTTGAGGTCCATCGCAGCGTACCTTTTTGCGCCTGCAGACCTGTGAAAGGAGAGTGGTGACAAAGACAGGTCAGGTTACGATCGAAGGATGGCTTCGTCTCCGGGCCGCGTTCCTGCATTACTTACATCACAAGCCCGCTGGACTCTGCGTCGCTTGCCTGCGGCATCACCATCGTCATCCCCGTCGTCGGCGAGCAGCTGCTGCTGAGCTTTGGTTGAGGAGGAGGCCATCGGCGGGCTGTTGTTCGAAGTACGGCGAGAGTGGGTCATCAGTGCTGGATCTGAGGCCTGAGACCTGTGCGCATACTGAGGCTGCGATTGTTGAGCAAAGGCAATCTGGTTGCCAGAGTTGCCGTAGAGAGACTGCATAGTGTGAGGACTGGCGGCTGAAGTGTACAAGGACGCTCCGTCTGCAAAGGATACTCCTTGTGCCGAGAAGGCAGGACAGACGTAGCCGTTGCCCGCGCCGATGCTACTGCCGCTGAAGCTGGGCCGCTCGTTGCCTTGATGACCAGGTCTAGACATGTATGGGTAACGTGGAGGGCAAGAGGATGTATTGAGGAGAGGACGTATGCTGTTGGGCACTCTTGGAGGGTGGATGTGGGTAGGATGTCTGGCGGGAAGGAAAGGGAGATGTGACTGAGAGTGTGAGTGGGCTTGGTAGGATGGTTGGGGAAGGGTAATGGGAGTTGCGTAGGGACCTAATCGATCGCGGCTTTGAGCGTTGCGATGAGGTCGAGGCATAGCGTGGATGGATGGCTTTAGAGGCGGTCGGCAAAGGGGTGGAAGGCGGTGTATGCGAATGCCAGGGCGCTGCCTACGTCGAATCTGGGCGGCAGGCACGAGAGTCCGACGAGCGAGGTAGCTCGGTGATGGCCAGTAGAAGCATGCAGAGGGCCACGCTGACGACGGACGACGGATGTGGGCCGCGTGGGCAAAGGGTCGTGGACAGCAATCGTCTACGTCCTTTCGATGGCTGCCCTGGCTCATATGCCTCGCCGCTTTTGCCGCGGGCTGCTAGTGACCAGAGGACACCACCATCGGGCCGGGTGTCGTAGCATTAGCTGCCGTTGAACTTGGCGCTCCTTGGCGACCACGGCGGTGTTTCCATTACGGAGCTGAGCGATGACTCGTCGGCCCTGAGCGGTACTCTCGTTCACTTTGTGCTGCGCCTGAGGTCTCTAGGTCCGGTTCCTGGGCGGCCGCACAGTGGTCTGCCTCGCAAGCCTTGGCACAGCATACAGACAGCATCATTGGACTCATCCACTGAGCAAAGGTTTACTCACAGGTACAGTGACGAAGGTTCTTCCGATGGCTACAGAGTCTATAGGGGGGGCCTCCACAAATGTGATGGCTGTCTAGGTATGCTTAGGCCAAGCGGGAGACTAGTCCGCTGTAATGCAAAGTGGTATGTGGTGATATGAGGAGGATGAAGAGGAAGGGATAATCGAGTCTATGGGAGAAGATGCTCAGAGGTGGGCCCCCGCAAGAGGCAGCGGATGATTGAAAGGAGATGCTGGGCCAGGCTACTCAGCCTTCGCTCGCGGCCTTCGCTCCATCGGTCCATCGGCCCCTGGCACGTCGGACATTTTGACCAAGATGCCGCCGTCCCGCGAGCGGCGTTAAGCTTCCGCGTTCAGAGTCAGCCAAGACCAAATCTCGGCCGGGCGCTGGAGGGGAAACGCCACCCAGGCCAAGGGTAGTAGTGGCGGCGTGACACAGGGCCAAGAGGATAAGCTTACTTGCATATACACTCTTGCCAGCTTCACTCGGACCAAAGTGCGCGATGTCGAGCGGATCAAGGAGCTGACACCAGGCGACGACACTCATGGGCTGACAGAGGGCGTAGCGGTGTGTGCATGTCATTTTGGCAGAGGGGTGGGCCTACTTCCTGGCTGCCCAGCCACACCACGCCACGCCTGGCTCCCTCCGCCTTTGGGTGTTGCCTCGCCTCCACCGCGCGCACAAGGAGGGGAAAAAAATTGGCAGAGGCAACTGTCGCACGGCGCACCAACATCTTCCTTTTCAGAGGGACGTGACACTTCTTCCTTCTTTCTTCTCTTCACCCATACCATCCATTATGAGTGAACCCATCGCCCTCTTTGGTCTGACCGTAAAGCCCGGAGACGTCCACCGCATGGACGTCCTCCGCGACTTCCGCATCACCAACGTCTCTCTGGGAGAGCACGTAAAGGGCAATGCCCGTGTGGTCGTCAAGGTGCACCTCATCCCTCAATCTGGTCACCCCATCACAGAAGAGGAAGAGCTCCTAGAGGGTCTCATGGACGAAGACGACGACGATGAGGACGATGAAGAAGAGGACGAGGAGAAGGAGGCCGCAAGAGCCATGAAGCAATACCCCGAGCGGACCTTCGTACTCTGCACCCTCACACCCGGCAAGATCGAGCAAGTGTCGGTCAACATCGGCTTCTCCGAGGCCGAGGAGATCGGCTTCTCCGTCACCGGTGACAACGAGGTCGACCTCTTGGGCAACTACCTCGCACCTGCTGGCGACTTCGACCAAGAGCCTTACGACTCGGACGATGACAGCGAAATCGACTCCGACGAAGCTGGCAGCTTTGACTCGGATGACGAAGACGACGACGAGTACGACTCTGAGGACATGGCTGCTGACGGACTCGACGGCATCCTTGCCGAGGGTGACAGTGAAGACGAGGATGACGAGGATGACTCCGACCGCTTCGAGAACCTCGGTGACGTGCCCTCTGTCGCTGCCGCCGAGAAGGCCGCTGCTGCTGTGCCCTCCAAGAAGCGCAAGGCCCTCGCCGAGCCTGCCGAAGCTGATGTGTCGATGGCCTCCTCGGTCGGAGCCGTCAGCGACGCCGAGCTCGCCAAGGCAGCCGCAGCTGAGGGTCTCGACGTCTCCAAGCTCAGCAAGGCTCAACGCAAGAGGCTCAACAAGAAGCTGAAGCTCGCCAGTGGTGATGCCGACGTTTCTGTCGCATCTACCTCGTCAAAGCCCGAAGCCGCCTCTACCGTCAAGGCCGAGACTGTCAAGGCTGCTGTAGCTCAGAACGGCAAGGCCGCCAAGACTGCTGAGAAGCAAACCGTCACCAAGGATGGTCAGCAGGTGAGTGTCTATTCGCAGATAGTGATGTAGCGGCGACAACACGCACGAGAGTATGGCGTCGACGTCGAAGCCGATGCGCCATGCGACATTGACGCACGACGTGACGAAGACACAAAGGTAAAAAAGGATTATAAACAAACAACACAGACCTGATCCGAATGCATTCGTGCTCACCTCTATCTCGAGGTTGTGGAACACCAAAAGTATTGCCTACTCGTTATGATTTACCTCTTGTCTTCGTCATTGTCGTCACCGCTGTTGCGTCTGCTTCGACAGTCGTCGTCGTCGTCGTCGTCATCGTCGCTCTTGTGCGCTCGTCGTTGTGGGGATCAAGAGAGCTTGAGTCACTGACGCTCTGTTTTCTTCTCCCTTTGCGCCACCTCGACAACGCTAGACCTCCAAGACCAAGACTGCCTCCGGCCTTCTCATCGAAGTGAAGAAGCAGGGCGACGGCCCAGTAGCCAAGAAGGGTCAAAAGGCCGGCATGCGCTACATCGGCAAGCTTACCAATGGCAAAGTTTTCGACTCGAACACAAAGGGCAAGCCATTCGCCTTTAAGCTCGGAAAGGGTGAAGTGATCAAGGCTTGGGACGAGGGAGTTGTGGGCATGAAGGTCGGAGAGGAGAGGAGACTCACCTGCCCACCCAACTTGGCCTACGGCGCTAGCGGCGCTCCTCCCGATATCCCTCGCAACGCAACGCTCGTGTTCGACATCAAGCTCGTCGACCTCAAGTAGAGCAAGTGGCGAAGCGGCTGAGTGCAGCCAATGCTACCTTGCCCTTGCTCCATCCATCACTGCCTTGCTTTTCGTTTACGGATCGTCACTTGCCTGTCAGTCACTCCCGGTTTCTCCCCCACCCCAACTGCTATAATTGCTCCGCATCACCATCGTCGTTCCTTGTCTTGTTTTGGTCTGATCTCCATCCATTCATTCCTCATTCCCCACTTGTACTCTTCACATACCAAAATAACTCATCCATCGTTTTGTCCTTGCTAACTGCTCCTTTGTCTGATTGTCTGTTTGTCAGTCCGTCTCTGAGGAGGTCCACTCCGTACTGCACCGCACCGCAACATATCACCACCCTGCATGCTGGCTACTTGTCTACATTTGCACTTGTCATACATTAGATCCACTGACTGCCCACAGGCTACAGGCTAGAGGTCCACAAGCTACAAGCGATAGGGTCGTACTTCTCCTTCTCCTGCTCCTGCTCCTGCTCCTGCTCCTGCTCCTGTTGCATCGTCTTGGTCCTCCTGGTAGTCAGCGGCAGTCACCGCTTTCCCACCTACCCTACCGCGCGGGAGAGCCTCCTGCTCTTCCTTGGGACGCCGCCCGCCCTCTTGCTGCTGCTGCTGCTGCCCCTCGGACCGCTCCTCGCCAGCCTCCTCGCCACCTTGGGAAGTATCCTCACCTGCGCTCGCACCCTCCATCACTCCGTCGGAGAAGGTAAGGGAGGGCTTTCCGTGGCCACTCTCGTTGCCATTCTCCCTCTGCGAGGTGCGTGGCCAGGTGTTGCTGGGCATTGTCGAATTGTCATTCGAGTACTTGCCGTTGCTCGTACGACGAGACTTGTAGGAGTGAATGGCGCGAATACGATCGTACTCGTGCTCGTACTCTTCTTGGTCCTCATGCTGGTGGTGTTGTAGGTAGTGATGCTGATTGTAGAGTTGATGATGCTGATTCTGATGCTGTTGCTGATGTTGTGAATTCGCCGAGGCATGTCTTGAGTGAGAATGAGAGCGCCCTCCTGTGTGAGAGTGGGATCTCGCCCTCTTGTGCGTATCCGGCAATACAAGGTCCGGAATGAGTAGCGCAAGAGGGATCGTCGGGAGTAGTAGCAGCGTCGCGGTGACACAAAGGCGATGCATCGTCTCGGTCCAAGCGGCAATGATTGCCAAGCGCTGAGGAGAGCCCATAGGGAAGCTCACTGCTTCCGACAGGCTACCAAAGATGTGCTGTACCTCCTCTTCTGTGACTGACGATCCCAGATGAAGACGCAGACGATCCGGGAGGATGGTCACAAAGATGAGTCCCGCAGTGGCGGAACCAACCGCCGCGCCGATCTCGGTGGTGAGCAGCTCCAGAGCAGTCACAATGGCCACGTCTGCGTGGGGCACACAGATCTGCGCTGCAATCTGCATGGTGATAGCTACGGAACCTCCACCGATGCCCTGTAGGAGCTGGCAGAGGACGAGCATGATTGTCGGGTCGTGCGAGTTGCGATACCGGATCATCATACCCGTCCCGATGATCCGCACTATGGCGCCTCCTACCAGAAATGGCTTGAATCTCCTCGTCCAGGCCATCAGGGAGCCGATGCAGATGCCAAAGATCGTTGAAGTGACATTTTGCGTAGTGGCAAAATACCCCGTCTGCGTCTGTCCCCAGCCCTTGACTACCTGGACGAATGCACTGATGTACGTCCAACTGAGGTAGAATGAGGCAAAGTCCAAGATGCCAATCATGCAGACGCAGACTACTGCGCGATTCCGGAGGAAGCGCAGCGGCATGATCGGGTTGGTAGCTTTGGACTCGCAGAAGACAAAGAGGAGCAGTAGGAGCAGGCCGCTGACCATGACGGCTGGAGCTACACCTGGTGGGACTTTAGAGCCATGTCCCGCGACCGTCAGGGGACCGAGGATGAGCGTCCAAGAAAGCGTGAAGAGCAACAGGCCGAGTGCATCAATCTCCGTTGAGAGCTGTGAGAAAGCTGAGCCACAACCTCTAGAGAAGAGGGGAGGACGGGCAAGCAAACCGGCTTTACGAGCTTGACTTTGTCCGATGAGGAGAATGATGACCAGGGGTGCCGCAGCCAAGGGGACAATGATAACCCACATACCGTATCCTGCTCGCCAGCCGCCTCCTGAATTGATGACAGCGTCGACCAAAGGCCCAGCAGCAGCCCAATTGATCAGGTAGGGTATATTGACGAGGGAGATGACAAGTCCGCGCCACTTTGCCGTCGTCAAATCGGCAATGATGATTGACTGTAGCACTTGCACTCCAGTATTGCCTGCAGCCTGCAGCATGATGCCTCCGATGACTGCGTTCAGAGATTGCGCTGTGGCTACGATTGCATAGCCAGAGGCGTACAGCGTCAGTGAGAACACCAAAGCCTCGGCTCGCCCAAAGACGTCCGACAGCTTGGCAATGGGCGGCTTGGCAATGGCATAGATCATCTGCTGACAGATGGCAACAGTGCTGAAGGAGGCTAGAGCTCCAAACTCCGAGCAGGCAAAGTTGAGGTAGAGGAATCCGGTATTGCTGTCGAGTGAGGTGACGTAGGCGATTGCGAATATGGCAGAGAAGATCATCAAGTAGCGAGCTCTCCGCGCCTTGTTGCTCGTGGTACTCATGACCGTCTCAGAGGATATATGACGGGAGCGTCGTATGAGCGATCTCCCTTCCCTATCGTCGTCTTCCTCGCCTCCTCCCGCGATGTCTGCGTGCCAGGAGACGCCCCGTGGTCGACGCCGCGAGCGACTGACGCTCCGAGGTCGACCTTCGAGCCGTGGCCCTACGGGTGAGCTCGCCGCATTATGAATCAATGCATCGAAGACGAGCTGCTCATCGGCCAGCCCTTCGTCGCGTTCGCCGCCCTCGTCTTCATCGTCTTCGGCCGAGCTACCTGCGGACTCAGATTCGAATTCCAGAGGACTCGGCAGCGAATCCGCGAATGAAGCTCGACGGTCTGGTTCCAAAAGCCTCGCACGCTCTTCTCCAGTACCTTCGCTTCGACCTTCGCTGCTCATAAATTCGGCAGGCAGCGAGAGTGGGACGGCCGGCAGATCACAGACTTCCGCCTTGGGTACTACTGGTCGTCTTGACGCAGTAGTGGTAGTGCCCGAAGCGGAGAAGTCTTCGACCCTGCCTTCATAGCCAGTCGCCCCTTTACAAAAATCCTGCCTACTGTATGAGTAGCCTGGCGCAACTTCGGGAGGGTCGTCCTCAGGATTGGAAGCCCGATTGGACTGGAAGGTATGGGGCGGTGGCTTTGCAGCCCCGGCTCTTTGGCTCGCTGCCGGCTGCCGTGCCGGCTTCGCTTTGCGATGCTTCCCCGAGGGCATGTACTTCCCAGAAGGAGGCATCACAATCTGGAGTTCGCCTGCGCCACACTTGCCCTTCTTTTGGGTAAGTTGATGTTCGAAGAGTGCGAGAATGTAGAGGTTAGACTGTAGGAGTGGGAGCAAGGGGATTTGTGTGAGCTCGGTCTGTATCTTTGAGTCAGGCATCTTCAGCATCTTACCTTGAACGCTACATCGATGGCATCACCGATGATCGGCACGAGACCAACAGTGGTGTCCACGATGACGAGAGCCACCATGATGCCTATTGTCTGCAGCGGCAAGCCAAACAGGGCCGCAAGGCAGACCAGGTAGACACCTATGATGAGACCGAAGAAGTCGCCCACGTAGGGAATCAATCCTAGCAGTCCCTCGATACCGATGTTGAAGGGTAGCCAACTCGAGAGCAAAGGCAGGGCGTCAGAATACCAGGCGATGGTTCGCATATGGTTGTACAAGTTCTGAGCTTCTGCGTTAGTCTGCAGGGGGAGACCAGGCAATGTCTTGAGTCAGCTAATGCCCATGGAATAGGGCTAGCTTCACAGCTGACTCTTCGTCCGCTTACCTTCGGTCTCTTCAACACGCTATAGAAGGTGGGCTTGAAGCCCCTATCAGGGTCGAACGCCAATTCCTCGGGCTGCAAATTGACCCTCGTCGCCACATCGTCGTCCACTGTCTGCCCCGTCACCCTTGCCCCGCTCTCGGGAGTCTTCAGCACAGCATTGATCGTGCGCTGGATAGCGTAATTGATGGGGTGGAGGATGAAAGACATCGGAAGGTAGAGGGAGGAGGAGGGAGGGAAGGAGGGGATGCGAGAACAGGGAGAAGGAGGAGGAGGAGGAGGAGGAGGAGGAGAGCCCAGTCAGGGCGGTTAGCTCCGGTGAAGCGTCTTCACCAGGGCGCCGACAAGCTCAGGGCGGGTAGCGATGTAGGGACTTCCGCCTCGTGCAAGAGCAATGGGCTGCTCGTTGTCGTGGTGTTGCGATCCGATACAGACAGAATATCCGAAGCCAGACGCGGGACGCAGGTGCAGGGCGGAAAAGCTTCTGGCTGGAGGGACGTGCTCCACTCCCGAGTTGCGATGCCTCACGTCAGCTGGCTGGATCTTTGGCAGATGGCGGCTAGCGGCGGCTGAACAAGTCTCTTTTCGCAAGGCGAGTAAGGTCAAGTAAGTCGTAGAGGTGAGACAAGGAGCCGAGGGCTCCGGATAGATGAAGAGGTACAGGTGTGAGGAAAGGGTAATCATTGGGGGGCAACCGATGAGGCCACACACGCTCGGCCGCGGGGTTCGGCAGGGTGGAGCTGGACTGAGAGCAGAGCGGACAGCACACAGGCAAAGAGCAGCAGGCGCTGGAGCTGTGTCCAATTTTCTCGTAGCCGAGATCTGAAATCTAATCTCACTTTATCGCATGGGGCCAAAGAGGCTGACAGTGGCTCTCCTCGCCTCTTTGTCTCAGCACCTTTCGAAGATCCTGTAGAGATCATTCAAACTCGCCACCTGTATCAACTTGTCTTCCTTGACCAGTGCCCTCGATGGTATAAAGCCACCCGCTCTGGACGCCATGTGCGGGAACCAGACATGCTGTATCTTCCACCTTGAACGTGCCTCGCTCCCTGCAGATCCCGCCCCCACTCCTTGGGCTTCCATGCGTCCATCGGCAGCCCGATCGTTCTCTTCCACTGTCAAATTTTGAGAGAATACGTGAGCGTATGCTAGCTCTCGAGCGAAGGACTCGAAACATTTCTTCTCCTCTGTCCAATCTACTTGGGTCGCCAAACGCAAGAAGAAGGTGGGGAGGTTCTCAACCGGCAGAACGTCTTGATCTGCCAGAAGCGACGGCAGCGCCGTTACTTCGCCATTATCTCGATCCAGATCAAGAGAGAAGTATTCAGACAGCATCGCTGAGTTGTCCAAAAGACGACAGGTCGCTTGCTCTACAAGCTCAGCTCTGCTGAGACCTGTCACCACTTCTAGGCCGACATCATCAGTCGCCTCAATGTGGATGCCAAGCTCGATCAGTTCTCTCAGATATGGTTTGGAGCATATCATCTTCCTTTTGGGCATCGCGCCGAATTGTCGAAGGCAGAGCTGGTAGGCACACTCCTCGATCAGAGCGTCGTGATCCGCAAGATAGAGCTTGGTGCCATGCTGTAGGAGAGAGAGACCGCGGACGACATCGATCACCCCCACAAAGGTGTGGTTCTGCAGTATATCGCTCAGACCACTGTGCCGCTGTTGCGCTACACTGGCCCGTAGTTCTACGATACTCGTCAGTGAGCAATCGCTCAGCGGTATTTGCATGCGGCTACGACGGGCAGGAGGGGCTGGAGGCCGAGCAGGAGGGGCAACTGGTAGGTCCTGGTCGGGTCTCATCATTGAAGAATCGAGCAACTCAGGCTCGTGAGGGGGCTTCTGGCTTGCCTGGGTGAACATGCCATCCAAGGTTCTGGCTCTGTTGTCGACGCGCACAAGGTGCTGGGGGTATTGCGTCGCCGAAGCTGCCTGAGTGCTTTGACTGTCTACTGTCGCATCCTCGCTGCCATCGTTGCCGGTAGCAGGGGTGCGAGCCTTCTGAATCATCGCTCCGGGCAGGATGGCTTGCGTGAATTGGAAAGTTCGGCTGGTATTTGCTCCTGCCAAGACCGTCTGCGCTTCGCTACATATCCGTTCAATGATGTCTTCCTCATCGAGGAAATGCACTTCCCGCTTCGTAGGGTGAACATTGACGTCGACCTTGTCTGGGTCAATCTTGAGGCTAACATAGATCCATGGATGTCCACCTTTGGGAAGCAGTGCTGAGTACAATGATTCGAAGGAGCGCTTAAGCGCCGGGCAATCGACAAGCCTGTCGTTGATGAAGCAGAGGAATGTTGTACGCTTTGTACTCCAATTGGCTCCGCTGATCCACCCTTCGACAGAGAAGCTCAAGGAGACAGTCTGTGAGATTTTCAGATGCACAAGCTCCCTTGCTACCGCATTGCCATGAAGCAAGCGTATCGTGTCAAGAGTCTTGGTGTTGGGACTGGCCGGCGTACTAAGATCAGCAGCATTGGAACCAGACTTTAGTGCGAAGAGTCATTAGGGTGTCAGCCAATGAACTTAATTTTATCCGAACGGGCGATCCGACCAACCTTCTTGCACACGAATCCCACTCCTCTGGCTCCATAGTGCAGTGCATACTTGGCGGCAACGTCGAGAGCTCTATTGTACTCCTCAGCAGCGCTTTTGAGAGCTCTCCTGCGCTGCGGTACGTTGAAGAAGAGATCTTGTGCGGCTATGGTGGTACCATCGGTTCCCGCGCAGGCCTTTGGATCGCTGGACTGCCCAGGTTTGGCTGGTACCATTTCGCCCGCAGAGTAGAAGGCTTTGTAGGCCAGAGCCTCGTTCCTCGTCTTTGTGAGTATGCTCATGGATGCCGATACGAAGCTGATGCTGGCTAGTGCCTCGCCGCGAAAGCCAAAGGTTGTCATCTTTGACAGGTCTGAGAAGTCACGTAGCTTGGATGTTGCGAAGCGTTCGCATAGCAGCGGCAGATCAGATGGCTGGAGGCGAAGGTGATTCAAAGCAAGGGAAGGCGAGTCAGCACGATGTTCGAAAGCCAGGTCGGAGCCGATGGGCGTGACTAACCCGTACTCCACAGCCATTGTCCTGAATCTGCAGCAACTTGAGACCACCTTCCTTGAGGGTGATTTTGATGAGGTCTGCGCCTGCGTCCAGACTATTCTCGATGAGCTCTTTGAGGGCATTTGCTGGTCGGTGTATGATCTCGCCTGCTGCGATGCGATTGACCACGGCCTCGTCTAGACGCTGGATGGGCCTGGCTGGCTGTAAGGGCCGTACGACGTCTGCATCTTCTCCGTCCTGGCTGCCGTCGCTGTATGGTGCGGGGGAGTGGTGGGGAGAGATGCTCATGTGTGCGTCGTGGCTGACGGCGTCTGCGTCATCCACTGTTTTCCTTCGCTTTGTGTTCGAAAATTGCATTGCTCATGGTGAGTATGTGCAGCGCAATTGTGCGAGGTGGCTATATGCTCTGGCGTGAATCAGTCTACGAGGTGCCCCCTCATCACGCGTCCATGCTTCCGTCGTCTGCTTTCCGATGGCCTGAGCGAGGGCGGGCTGTCTTTTGCCTGGTTGGTGCTTCGCGCCAGCCGCGAGGCGGACACCGCACGGCAGCAGCCAGGCGGGCAGCGGGCACGGCGGAGCAGCAGCAGCCTGACGAGGCCAGACACACACACACACACTCGGTCCACTCACGTCTTGGCCAGAGTCATATCCATCCTTCACCTCGTCGTCAAGGATAGCAAACCACACGCAGGGTCATCATCGTCTTCACGAATACCAGCAGCGGGCATACTTCGCCAGACCTGCCCCGACTGGCGGCACTAGCCTCCTCTGTGTTCCCTCCAGCGCATTGCCAAGGAGCACACTCCTCTCCACTCCAGCGCGAGGACCAGGGGATCACGCTTTCATCCCGCTATCCCCTCAGCGACCAAAGGTGACGCTTGGAGACCCGTTGCCTCGTCTTTCCTGATCCATCGAGATAGGTAGAGGGGGTGCAGAAGAGTCACGGCGACGATAAACGGGTGCACAAAGGCCAGCCTCCTGACCAAGCAGAGCTGCACAGGATGGCAGGAGGGCCTACAGAGAATCAACATATCATCAATATGATGGGCGATCCTCACTTTAGCGAAGCTCACAACCACCATCGCCATCACCAGCAAGCTCACCAGCAACACCTACAGCACACCAATGCAGCTGCCCACCCTGGGGGTTCACCCTACGCCAGTGTCTCTTCGCCGGGACACCGCTCTCCTCTACCTCACGGCGCTTCAACCAATGGGCCTGGGTTCGATCAGCTGGACAGCACGGCGGCATCTGCCTATGCTACCCCGCGCCTGTCTCTGTCAGCCGCACCATCCAGTAGCAAGGATAGTCTTTCCAGGTCACTTAGCTTAGGTGGTGCTGGATTCGGTCAGCATCAGTCGTCTGCTCAGCATCTCCAGCAGCGCTCCTCGCCTGGCCGCTCTTCCTACGCTTCACCCGCCTCGAGTTCGATTCCCCTCTACTCGTCTGCAATGCCTCCTGCCTCGTCTCAGATGGTATCTTCCTCTTCCAGGTCAGGAGCAAGCCATAAACAGAGTCTCCTACCCACCATCGCTACGCCTTACAGCACCGATTACCAACCACGGTCACCTGTGCCTCTGGACAACGGCCTTCTGATACATCCTCGGCCCCCGAGCCAGGGCTTCGCTCCACAACAATCATCGTACGCATCCGGATACCCCGTAACTTCCGCCGAGCGGCCGCCGAGTGGTTTTGATGGCGGGGGAGGATCTACTTACCAAAGACTCGAGGCGGGATATGGAGGTATGGGCTCCGGCGTCAGCGGCAGCTCAGCAGGCAAGGCAAGGAACGTGGAATACGCGCCTTTGAATTCACACTCGCGGCAAGCATCGCCGGCGGGAGCTTCTGGTGACCAGGCGTACGCTCGCTACTATGCCTCTCAAGCCGGCCTATCGCATCAGAACGATGCTGGGAAGGATTCTCTGCCGTATGCATACACAGCGCGCCGCTCCTCGGGTCAGCAGGGAATCAATGTTCCTTCCTGGTCAAGCCCGTCACAACCTACTACAGCACTGCCGCATATTGCACCTCCCCCAGCGAGAGGCTATTCGCAGCAGCAATGGGATGACCCTCAAGGGATGGCGTTGACCCGGAGCACCTCGGGTAAAGTGAGAGCAACAGAGGAGAAGAGACTGCTGAGGATACCGCCGCCGCCTAAAGAGGAAGGCCTGAGGAGGATAAGGGACCTCAATGATCTGCGGCCTAAGCTGGATCAAGTGGCAGCAGCCACGACGAGAAGAGCTGATCCGGCGGGAGGATTTGTCAGTGTGAGTTTGGCGTATCCGTAATGGCGGGCTTCGAGGCAAGGACGATTGACTGACGACTGCTTCATCGCATCTCTCGACTACTTCCTCCATCAGCCTCTGAAAGCTATGACCTCGTACCTGCATCACACATATCATCTCGTCAATCCGTCCTTCATCTATGAGCTCTCATTCAATCCGCGGCGAGTCCTTACGAAGCCAAGCAAACCCATGCACAACAATGGACATGACAATGAGGACAGCGACTACATCCTCTACGTCAATGACTGGCTAGGCAACGAAGAGGGCAACCGGTACCTCATCTTGGACATTCTTGGTCAGGGAACATTTGGTCAAGTAGTGAAGTGTCAAAATATGCGTACACATGAGATTGTTGCTGTCAAAGTGATCAAGAACAAGCCAGCGTATTACAAGCAGAGTATGATGGAAGTGACCATCCTGGAAATGGTGAGTACGAGCAGTGCTGTCTGAAGTCTAGATGTCTGCTGACCCAGGCAGTGATCTTCCACTCGGCTCCTCACAGCTCAATGTGAATTGGGACCCAGAGGACAAGCATCACATCTTGAGGCTACGGGATACTTTCATCCATGCTGAGCATCTCTGTCTCGTCTTTGAGCTGCTGTCTTCAAATCTCTACGAGCTCATCAAGCAGAACTCTTTCCGCGGTCTCAGCACGAGTCTAGTCAGAGTGTTCACCACACAACTGCTGGACGCTCTGACAGTTCTGAATGAGGCAAATTTGATCCACTGCGATCTGAAGCCCGAGAACATTCTTCTCCGGACGTAAGTTTCATAAGACAGTGTGAGAGCTCGGCAACTTGATGCATTGCTGACCTCTGCCTCTGCTCCATCCTCCTCGTAGGCTGCAAACGCCATCGATCAAGCTAGTGGACTTTGGCTCAGCTTGTCACGAAAAGCAGACAGTGTATACGTACATCCAGTCTCGATTCTACAGGTCTCCAGAAGTCCTCCTTGGTCTGCCGTACAATTCCGCCATCGACATGTGGTCGCTCGGCTGCATTGCTGTGGAGCTCTTCCTTGGTCTACCTCTCTTCCCAGGGACTTCAGAGTACAATCAGATGTGTCGTATTGTCGAAATGCTCGGACTACCCCCTGCATTCATGCTAGAACAGGGCAAGCAGACCGGCGAATTCTTCAACGTCTTCTCTGACGATTATGGGAGGAAGAGCTATCGTTTGAAGTCTCGGGAGCAATACACGAAGGAGCATCCTCAGTTGGAGCCTGAACAGCCTAGCAAGGTGTACTTCTCTGCCACAACGCTGCCGGAGATCATCAAGACGTACCCTCTGTCCAGGAAGAGCGGCAGACCTGCTGACGCCCAGAAGGAGATGGCGAATCGGGCGTCATTCGTCGACTTCGTTACCGGTCTGTTGGACATGGATCCGCATGAGCGCTGGACGCCTCAAGAGGCAGTGCTACATCCTTTCATCACTGGCGAGAAGTTTGTCAAAGCTTTCAAGCCTCCGAGGACTACTATCGAAGAGACGAGGCCGTCATCGAGTCGCATGGATCCCAACAAGCATCAGTTCGGAGGCTTGCCGCAAACAAATACAAGAGCTTCCGGGAGGGCCTATCACGACGCTGCTGCTTACAATCAGCATCTTGCCCAGCAGCAGGCCTACAACACGGCTCACAAGGTGCGGCAGTCGGTCCCTGTGATAAACAATCCTTACGCTCAAGACCAAGCCGTTGCTGCCTCTGCCCAGGCGAAGGCACAGCAGCAGCAGGCTCACGCCCATGCTCAGGCCCAAGCGCAAGCTCATGCTCACGCTCAATTGCAGGCAGCTCAAGCTCACGCCGCCATGATCGGCTACGGAGGGACATTGCCTGGTCTCAATGCTGTTCCTGCTACTGGCGTGCCAGCTGCGAGTAATGGCAAGAATGGCACAGCGAGAAGTCGATCCGACACCTACAGCGGCCCCATGACGGGTAGTGGCGCCTACAAGGGTGGTAGTCTTGGCATCAATACCTCCGGCATGGACGCCTCGACGACGCCTAGCAGAGAGGAATGGGAGAGGCGGCAACAGCAGCAGCAGCAACGGCAACAGAATGGAGGAGCTCAGTCAATGGGTCCTTCCCAGTATGTTCAGCTAGATCTTCTGCAGCCAAGCGGCGATGGAGGGGCAGGATGGCAGCAACAGGCTCACGGACAGGGAGCCGGGGGTAACTGGTTGCCTCAGACGACAAGCCCTTCGTACACTTCACCAAGACAGGGCTCTTCGCAGACTCCCTCTCGGCAGTACCAAGGTGGCCAGCCAAACTTCTCCGTGATCGTCGAAGGCGCGCATGATCGTCAGTCGCTGCAGCACACACACGACGCCGCTGCTGCTCTAGCCGCTGCACGCAACTCGCCTTCTGCCATGTCTCCGCAAGCCGCTGCCGAAGCGGCCGCCAGGGCAGGCAGTGTCGGTGCTCCCTCATCTGCCGCGTACGCCTCGAGCAACCGGAACCCCTCTACCTCCGCTCGCTACGGTACTTCGAGTGCCACTGCTGTAAGGGGAGGCGGCGGAGGCGGCGCAGCTGGAGTGAGCAGTGCAGGGAGAGGAGGTCAATTCTCTCCAAATTCCTCTGCGCCCTTCCCTTTCGACGCCTTCGATTCGGCTCAACCCTCTATTGCTCAGCTCATGCCGGCATTGAAGCCTCAGCAGTACCATGCTGGCAGTGCAGGTAGTGCAGGAAGCTCGTCGACGAATCTTCAGCAGCTCCAGCCCCAGCGGCACTCCATGATCCTCCCTCCGAGCGGCATGAGCGGGTACCGACAAACAGGCGGGGGCGCCGGTGCTGGAAGTGGGGGAGGGGCAGGCTTGCGACTCTCCTCGCCCCTCTCGGGCGGCTTGTCACCCACCTCGGCAGGCTTCGACGATCACTTTGTCGGCGGCCCTCAGGGCAGCAATACTGCTGGTGGTGGTAGGTCGCAGGGCCAAGCTCTGCATCCTCAACAGCGGCAGCAACAACAGCAGCAGAATGATCGGAGGTACTCCTCGCATTACACCCAGCAGCAGCCGGATTTGACGCGCTTCTAGCGGTTGCTGAGATGAGCTGAAACGAACTCTGCGGAGCTAGGCTGCAGGAAGCGGGCAAGGCTATGAGAGGGTGGGTCGCCGGAGGTGAAGCGGTACAGGCTGTATTCTCTAGTAGTGGGCATTGTCATCGTCATCGTCATCGTCGAACAGCCAAAGAAGGGTACGGCTGACCGGGGCATTTGGGACGATGGTCAATGGAAAGGAACGCAGAGAAAGCAATGGCGGACAATTGACGGCCAGTCAGAGGAACATTTGGGGGAATTGTACCTACTCTTTTCTCCCTCGTCACACCCCTCCCTTTACCTCTACCATCTCGTCACGAGATTGTGCTCCTCCTCTCCTCCCTCGAACCATCCATCTACGATGAAATCATATTCGCGATGGATACACACACATGCACGCACGCAGGCACACCTGCAACCACATTTGCCGGGATTCAGGTTATACATTTACACAGATCCATACTCGCATACACACAGTTGCCTGGCTGTCAGGGAAAGAGTTGCAGATGTGTCCATCTACCACTCCTCCCTTCTTGCCTCGCTCTGAGAGAATCAAATGAGGCAGAGACCAACGGTGGCAAGTGCTGTGGCGGCAAAGACTGCGTAGCCGGACTGGTAGCATCCCTTTACGGAGATGACTAGCGAGGCAAGGGGAGAGGAGGAGCGAAAGGAGGAGTAGGAACATCGTCAGCCATCGACCCGCAGATTCTGGACCAAAGCTTGGCACCCTTTTCTAGGTTCTGCTCCACTGGTACTCACAGTATCCCCTATCCCAACCCAGATGCCTCAGACCGTTGAAAGTGTGGTAGTTGAAGGCGGCTGCGATGGGTGCTTTGATGGAGAGCTTGAGCCAGAAGGGAGCAGAGGCGGCGAGAGAGGTGAGGTAGGCAGAGGAGACTAGGTCACCGTATCCCATCAGTGGGAGGGAGATGTAGGCGAGACCGTAGGCGTAGAGACCTGAGGAGGAGAGGGGGAAGGAGGAGGAGCGGGGGTTAGTGGTGTGTGATGAGAAGAATCTTCCCTGAGATCTCATGTCGAAATGTATCTTCCCTCCCTTGAGCTCTATATGCGTCTTCATCTGTCGAAGTTATGCTACTTCAAGTCCACCGCTTCCTGTGTGATGTTCCATGCATCACATTCCTTTCTCGGCTTTACAACTCGTGGTGAATCCTTCAACTCACCAACACTCAGTCCAACGCCAGTAATCCTATTAGCAATCGATCCCAACCAAGTGAGCTGCGGCTGGTAAATGGTGAAGTGTGGAGAATTGGGCCTAACGCTCCTCTGCTTGTTGAGCATCTCGAGGTTCTCATCGGCGGTCATCTTGACCGTAGAGGCCTTTGCCGTCGTGGCTGCTCCTCGGGCATTCTGCTGACGGGAGAGGGCGAGGACAGCCGGAGCGGGAGCGAGACGAGGGGCGAGGGGAGCACTGGCAAAGGTGCGGGCCAGGAGACGGGTGGTGGGGGTGATGCGGTGGAGCGACATGGTGACGGCGATAGGTTGGGAGGGTGTGAGTGCGTGAGGAGGGACGGGTGAGATGGTCGGTTGGTACTGGCTGCTGTGAGGATTACCAATGGCACGCGGGGACGGCACTCGTCTCACTGGGCGCGCGCCCGCCCTCTGCCCGCCCCTCTCACCCGGTCCACCCGAGACGCAGGCTGGAGGAGGGACCCCACCTACGCGGCAACGTTCCACTTCCGTCTGCCTTTCCGCTCTGCATACTTTCACGCCGATAGACTCGACCTGGGAGGATCTTGGATAGAGGGGCATATATCCAACTCGACTGATCGTGGGCGTATTGATAAGATGGCAGATACAGTGGCCTCGAGCGCGTCGGTAAATAGGCTCAAGTCACCAGTGACGCTGCCTTGTGGCCGCGTGGTGCCCAACAGGTTCGCCAAGGTGAGCCTTGGCAGAGCAGCACCGAGCACAGCGACCAGCTTCTAATGCTTGCCTACTCCGCATATAGGCTCCCATGGAAGAGCTGCAAGCGCCCTTTGGAGGTGGTCTGCCACCCACCAGGCTACTGAATCTTTACAAGGAGTGGGCAGAAGGAGGTTGGGGTATGATCATCACAGGCAACATAGCCATCGACCAGACGCACCTCGGCACGCCCTTCGACGTCACCTTCAGCAAATCTGTCTCTTCGGCCGACATGGATCGATACAAGGAGTATGCCAAGAGCTGCCAAGCAGGAAAGGCGCCTTCCACCTCTAACCAACATACCAGACCACTGGCCATCGTACAGCTTGTGCATGCGGGCAGACAGTCCGGCCGAGGATTTGGCCGGTATCCATGGAAGGCCAGTATGGCTCCTTCAGCTGTGCCAATGGCCACTGCTGCTGGTTCGCTACCCTGGCCACTATCCTCTGCCTTTGATTGGCTGATGTGGGGTTCATGTAGAGCTATGACCACGGCGGAGGTGGAGGACCTCGTCAAGCGCTTCGCTGATGCTGCAGAGGTGGTGCATGATGCTGGGTTCGATGGAGTTGAACTACATGGGTCGCACGTGCGTAGCTTTGTCCAAGGCGTAAGTCCTGCCGCTGGTACTCATTCTTACCCCTTCTTGCCCTCGCCCTTTCGTGTCTCCACTGGTAGGGCTATATGCTAGCGGCCTTCTTGAGCCCAAGGACGAACCTGCGGACCGACAAGTACGGAGGCTCAGCGAGGAACCGTTTCCGTATCGTAGAAGAGATAATCGTAGAGATCCGGAGGCGCTTACCAAAGGCCTTCGTTGTCGGAATCAAGCTCAACTCCGCAGATTATGTCCATGGAGGATTGACAGAGGAAGATGCGCTTCTCAATGTTCAATGGCTGGCCGAAATGGGAGGTGTCGACTTTGTCGAGATCAGCGGCGGCAACTACGAGAATCCATGTAAGCGTCTTGGCAGGCTCTGCCATCAGGCTGCCCGAGACACATCGTGCTGACTACTCCGCACCCTTCGGTCCATGCAGCATTCCTCACAAGCGACTTCAACGCAGATGACGAGATGGCCAAGCTTAGTGAAACAACGTCGCACCAATCTGTCAAGCCCACACCTCCAGTCAAGGCATCGACCAAGAAGCGGGAAGCCTTCTTCAGCAACTTTGCTCGACGAGCAGCCGCCGCCTTGCCTGCTCCCACCGCAGACTCCCCCCATCGCATGGCACTGATCCTCACTGGGGGGTTGCGTTCCCGTACGGGTTGCTTGCGAGCTCTCGAGGACGCTGAAGTGGACATGTGTGGCATTGGGCGCGCTTCGGCTCTCTTGCCAGATCTACCTCGAAGTTTCACAGACGAATCTGTTAGCGAAGAAGAAGCGATAGTGCCTGCGCCCGATATGGCACTGCACCCTCCCGGTCTGCTGAAGTTGGTGCCGCTGAAGCTCGTGGGAGCGGGGTGGACGACGCTGTACCATGCTGCGCAGATGGGCCGGATCGTGAAAGGACTGAAGGCTGATCCCAATATTGGAGGATGGAGCCTGTTAAAGGGACTGGTCTAGGGTGAATCATTCCCTGTAGATGTAGCAATGATGAATCCTGTACATGTCTGACAATAGAATACAGATGATTTGCACACATGAGCCATAAGACTTGCAAGAAGTACTTTACCTTGGAGCCACTGTCTCATTCGAGCCCTCCCGACCTTCCTCAGCAGCATTGCCCTCCTTGCCGGCTGTCCTCCCCCTGCTCTCCCTCTGTTTCACATTCCAGCGTTCCCGAATTTGCCCGGGGCTCGGTGCAGTAGGCCAGAAAGGCAGACCCCAACTGCTAGGGTAAGTTTTGCCTCCGATGTTGTTGAATACTAGACCCATGGCAATGAAGAGTAGGGAGATGAGGCAGATGTGCCCCGGTAGCTCCCAGCCCTCGCCTACTACATTTGAAGTAGTAGTGGCGAGGACCGCAATGGCTGCTCCTGGTGGATGAACAATTCCTACTAATTGCATGACCTATGGAAGAAGAATCGAGGCAATAGAGAAGATCAGTACATGGGCTTCATCAGGTAGGGCTTAAGTCCGTGCCTTTGCACCACCCGTCCCCTCCACTCCACTTCACTCCACTCACCGCAGAAGACGTGATCGTCGCCACGACTGGGGCTGCCCAATTGACACCATCCACGCTCCCGGGCTTGTAAGAAGGGTAATGCTCAAAGGCCTTTTGTATAGCGACGGAGATGATAGCAGAAATGGTGTTTCCCAAGAAGATAGCTAGAGGCTGTGCGGCTGGCAGATGAGGTAGGCAGAAGAGGATGACCGTCTCGGTTCCAAAGGCGCCAAGGATGATAGGGGAGCCATATTCGCGCCAAAAGGCTGAGCGAGCAATCAGGGCAATGAAGCTCAGAACTGCAAAAGTCGGTATGGTAGAGAGGACCACGCCTTTTAGACGAGACCAGAGGAGCCAGCCGAGCGAGACGCGCCACGGCTCTCGAGCGTAACTCTCCCCGTTGTCCTTGCCTGCCTCCTTATCGTCCTCTTGCCGTTGCGCTGCTGCTTGTCGCTCCTCGCGAGCTTTCAGACGGGATCGCAAAGGGTCACACCAGCCAAAATCTACGAATGCATGGAAATTTGCATGGAACTTGCGGTACCCTGCATCTCCCGGTTGCAGCTCCGAAGAGACGGTAGGGGGACGATGACCGATGAAGTGGGTGAGCGGGTAGAGCGTGTCTAACACTTTTGTTCCTGCAGGTCCTTCCTGCTCCTCAGAAGACATGACTACTCGAAGATGGGTGAGGATATGGACAGGAATGAGGAAAGTGAGAATGAATGAGGAACACGGGGCGGCAAGCGTAGGGTAATCGGCCAGACGGCATTACGTCAATGGCGGCGGGGAAGAATATATTTCACAGCCGGCGAATTCCCCGCAAAGCCCGGCATCAGGGTCTTCACCTCTGCACCGCATCAGGGTCCTCGCAACGGAACGGGTCGCCTACGCTACTCTTCACCTTTCCCCTCCTGGATTCACTCAGTCCAGCTCCATACCAGCCAGTCGACCAGATCTCCTCTTCGTCACCCCACCCTTTGCGCCCACGCTTGCATCGCGAATCTCGTGCTCCTCCACCTCGTCTTCTTCGTCGTCCGAGTGCCGTGCTAGAGGCGTAGCAGGAGGGGGAGAGTCCGTCCCATCGCGAGCCGCATCATTGCGAAGCAAAGAGGAGGAGAAGCCTCGAGCGGCTTCTGTACCACTCTTGCCGGCAGTGACATCTGAACGAGACTTCTCGCCAGAGCTGGTCTCCTGGGCCTGAGAAGCTCTCCAGGGCGAAGAGACTGGCATGGACGATGGTCTGCGGGTGTTGAAGACCCCACAGTGAGGGCAGATGTATTCTAGGAGAGGGGCAGGCAGATGATCAATCAGCTTCAAATCACAGTGTCCTCATCCTTTGGGCATCTCGTACTCACGGACTTCCTCGAATTCCTCTTTCCGCGCCAGGCCATTGTGTCTCTTGCAGCTCACGCAGATGAGCGCGTACTTCTGCTCTGGTCCCAAGGCTGTACTCGAAGGGTCTGCCCCTAGGACGCTATCGGCCATTCGATCCAGCCATGTTCTTTGCGCTGGGGCTGCGGGCGCCCGCGATTGTGCCTGTGGCTGCCCAAAGCCAGCTGGGGTAGGAGCACCTGTCCCTTGACTTCCCCGCATGGCCGAAGGCAGTGGTTGTTGACCAGGTACTGGTGGCCTAGCTACTGCTGAGCCGGGAGCTTGACCCTGCTGTTGTGGCTTGCCTCCCTTCATGGGCGTCTGAGGTCCAGCTGCAACGCGACCTTGTTGCGATGTGACCGGTTTCTTTTCATCGTCATACTTTTCCAGCAGAAGTCTCAAGTGGTCGTACTTGGTAGCTCTCTTGATCTCTTCAATCTTGGCTCGACGTTGACGCTGAAGATCCTTGAGATGCTCCTCTGCGAGTTGGCGAATGCAGTAGCTTAGACCTCAGCATGTGTCTAATCACTATGCTTCCGCTGATCTCGTACTCACCCTCTGCCGCCTGTACTCGCTTGTACCACCACCTTACAATCCTACGCGTGAAGAAGATGCTGAGAGATTGCAAGATGGTAAGAGGCAGATTAGCTCCTTTACCTTGAAAGCAACGATCCCTGAGCCTGACTCTTAGCGACTCACAGGAACGGCACCAGCAAGACCGGCCCCCAGATGATCCAAGCATTGGAACTGCTGAATGTGCTCATTTGCAGCTCTCCCAGGAAGTACATCACCACCGTCCATACCAGCCATAGGATCGATGCCCAAAAGGGCAGAATGAGCGTCGCCCTGCGTTTCCGAGCCTGGACCTGCACCAGGTTGGACTGCACATGGTCGATCTCTGCTGTGAGATCGGCCAGGACTTCCTCGTACTCTGTCTTTGGCGCCTTGCGGAACCATCTGAATGGACGAGCGAGAAGAGTAAAGGCCGACATGAGCGGCGAAGAGGACGTCTACGGTATTCAAGCAGTCGGTGAGGCAAGTGTTGGATGAGGAGGACAAAGACCATCAGACGCGGATCGCGTGCGGCCCAGTGACGCCTTGATCCTCTCCGCCTGCAGCCGAGTGGAGCCGTGGCATGAAATTTTGTCGCTTCCGTTCCTCTCACCACCCAAGCTGGTCACCATCATTACTCCCACCCACCACTTCCACACTCTCCTTCGTGAACGACATGTCAGCAGCCTTCCGCGCCCTCTCTCTGGGCGTAGGATCCTTCGACAAGTCCCGCTTCGGGCCACAGGTCGACGTCTTCGATCGACAAGAGAGGCAGGATCAGGGTAGCCAGCAGCCTTCATCGGTGGCTGGACCTTCTACTCTCCCCGCCGAGCTTGACTTCTTTGGCAGCAGCAGCGGCAGCAATGCCAAAGGGCTTCCATCTGCCCACAGCGTTCGGTCCGGAGCCGACGGTGATATCGGAGAAGAGCTGAAAAAGTCAAACAAGAAGCGCAAGAGGGAACTTGCTGCGAAGCAGGTGCCATCTCTCGATTCCACGACACTCAAGGCCTATCTGCGGAAGCATCGGCTGAACATCTCTGGTACAGATTTCCCCCGTCCACTCGTATCTTGGGCAGAAGCGGGTCAGAGGTATGGCATTCCAGACTGGATGATTAGTGAGCTGGAAAGCAGGGGCTGGGATCTCACGGGTGTACAGAGAGCAGCTTTGTCCATTGCATTCGAGGTGAGTTGAGGTGCCACGCTGAGCTCTGCAGAGATCGACACCTGACTTCGTGACCTCTTCCCCGCTTCAGCGTCGAGATCTCCTTGCAATGGCGCCGACTGGATCAGGAAAGACTCTTGCCTACTTGCTGCCCCTTGTTCATCAGATCTACAAGGATCGCGCAGCTCGCGCTGGAAGTAAGAAGGCCCCTTCGCCAGGTCCGAGAGCTCTTATTCTATCACCCACGCGAGAGCTGGCAACGCAGATTTACGACGAGACTCGCCGCCTTTTGCAAGCCAGTCCAGAAGGGCAGGAAGAGGCTGCCAGGAGCCGTCCTGGTGCTATTGTAGGGAAGAAGGCAAGCAAAGGAGTCCGGATCGCGCTCTTGACAGGAGGAGAGCGCATCAGAGCTGTGGAAGAGGCGGAGAAGGAGGCGAGCACAGGTGGGCAGGGAGCCAAGTTCGATGTCCTGATCTCCACGCCTCTGAGACTGGTACAAGCCGTAGAGGTAGAGGGCTGGAGTCTAGCCAAGTGAGTCAGGTAAAGCGCAACGCTGATGACGATGGCTTTTCAAGCTGACTGGACGCGTCATCTCCTTTTCCACTCTGCAGTGTGACTCAGGTGATTCTAGATGAAGCCGATACGCTCCTCTCAGCGGCCTTCCTCAAACAGACGGATCTTCTGCTATCCCTCTGCACCTCTCCCTCGTTGCAGAAGTCTCTCTTCTCCGCCACTCTCCCATCATCCGTGGAGACCTTGAGCAAGTCATTTCTCGCTCCAGACTACATCCGAGTCATTGTGGGAGCCAAGGACTCTTCCTCTGAGGATGTATCGCAGAAGCTCAAATACGTGGGAACGGAGGAAGGCAAGCTTCTCGAGCTGAGAACAATGCTGAAGATGGGAGAGGTGAAGCCGCCCACGCTACTCTTTGTGCAGTCCATCGAGCGTGCCAAGGACTTGTACAATGAGTTAGTCTATGACGGCTTGCGCATCGACACAGTTCATTCGGACCTCTCGCGCACGCAGAGAGAAGGTGTCATCTCCTCTTTCAAGCGAGGCGAGATCTGGCTACTGATCTGCACCGAGGTCCTCTCCCGTGGACTGGACTTCAAGGGTGTAGAGCTAGTTCTCAACTACGATTTCCCGCTCAGTACGGAATCTTACATTCACCGCATCGGACGTACTGGACGTGCTGGTCGAAAAGGTCGAGCGGTCACCTTTTTCACAAAGGAGGACGCGCCCAACCTTCGCTCGATTCTGAACATCATCAAGCAGAGCAACCCAGAAGCCGCGACGGAGGGGAACATCCCGCAGTACTTGCTCAATTTGCCAAAGGTGGGGAGGAAGGAGAAGAGGAGATTGAAGAGAAAGGTAGTGGAGAGACAGAGCGTCGGAGAAGCTTCTGGTAGTCGGGTCAAGGAGCTGGATGAGAAGGAGAGGAGAGAGGGGCGGAGATTGATGGAGAAGAAGGGCAGGACAGAGGCGAAAGCTGGGCAGCAAAAGAAGAAGAACAAGAGTCAGCAGAGTGAGGCTGTCTCGAGCGATGAGGACGAGAGCGACTAGTCTGTTCTTGATCGCAGTCACTTGTTCTCCTACAATCAGAAATGACAATTTCCTTTCGCTGTTACTCTGGTATATAGGTGACATGATTTTTTGGTGACTGACTCTATGCAAGATTCGCGCCTTGCTCTGCTTCAAGGATGGTAGAGCTGTTGTTGCTTGAGTCTCTCCCTCTCCAATTTGTCCATTAGTTCTTCATCGTCCTCTTCGTCCCACCCATCACTCTCCTCCCCAAGCACACTGTCTCCACTCTCTCCCTCTCCGCTCATTTCGTTGCCATCCTCCCCTTCCAGCGTCATCCTTTGGAAGTCGATACTAATTCTGTCCGGAGTGGGTGCAACGGAGCGAGAGCGTGGAGTACGAGGCGTCATGCTTCGACTTCTAGAAGCAGCGCGACTGCCTTGCCGTGAGCTAGAAGGGGGTCCAAGCCTGCCCATACGTTCTTGAGAGTTGCGACGCGATATGGAAGGCGAGTTGGCGCGAGAGTGTTCCTCTGTACCGGAGCCGTCCAGCAGTCGAGAACGAGCTTGGCTCCTCGCATGACGGCGATTCTGTGCATTTGGACCTCGAGACCTCGACCGCGAGTCGGCATGGTAGCGCACAGGACGCTGTTCCAGGAGCTGCTCTCGCATGAGATTCGAGGTATGTGTGCCAGACGCCTCGGCTTCGTCTTCGTATTGAAGGACGGCCTCCAGGGTGTCGCCACAATTGCAATGATCTTGCGCCTCGTGCTCCGTCCGGGCATGCCAGACGTTCCTGTCCATCACGGGCACTGGATTTGAGTCCTGAGCAGAATACTATCATTGAGTGGAGAGAGAGTGGTATGTCAGATACTGTCAGCACCTAGTGCTGCGATTGCCACGTTCCTGCTCACCTCTGGCAACACCAAGCTTCTCCACCTCAAGGAGCAGCTAAGGATCTTGACCGGCCATGTGATTCGGTACCGTTTCCTCATGAGGTCACCTCGCTCGTCTCTTGTTGGGTTGTCTTTGTCGACGTCGTACAAGATCGAGAATTCGATCTGGTGCGAAATCTTAATGGCCGCGTGGCTGCCGTCCAATGTGGTAGGTCTAGCCGAGGGAAATACCAAGGCATGTCACGTTGTCAGTTCAACGAGGAAGAGTGCTGATTTTCTGCGGGCCCACTCACCGAGCTAGATCATCCGAGGGAAGTCGAGCAATCCATTCGAGTTCGATCTCATCACCAGTGGCAGCCTTGGGTCGACAGAGGGCGCCGGTATGCGTCACAGCATTCTCCAGCTCTTCGCCGCTGATCTTGACAAATTCGAATCGCTGAGGCTGGCAGGTCTCGAAGTATCCATCCGGCTTCTTCCGAGAGATCAGACTGGTCGTCTGTACAAGTGTCATTACGATAGCTTGCAGCTTCATGACGGGGGATGGAGACGGCAAAAGGAGAGCTCCGCGCAGGTAGCCTCCAACAGAGGCTGAGCGAGAAATGAAGGCCAGTTGAATGGGCTATTGGGCAGGTGGGCATGAACAGTTCCAGACGAGTCAGAGAAAGGGTCTTGAAGCAAAGTCCAGAGAGGAAAACGGGCAACTCACCCCTGGGCCTTCGGCGAATCCGCTGTGCGTATGCTCGTATGATAGCGCAGATTGCTCAGTCGGAACCTGCACCACAAAGAGGTTCTGCGAGGGGCGAAGAAATGGAGAGGGCGCAGGAGATTCAGCAAGGGAGCCTCATCTGTCCGGCAGTGTAGATTATGCTCACCTTTTCCGCTTTGTACGTCTTGTTCACCAGCCGACCATGAATGTTCAGCTTCGCCGAGGCCTTCCAAAAGTTCTTGGCATGATGGCATCTTTCATAAGGAGCAGCGTTGCAAGGGATGAGGAGCGGCAAGTCCCATGAGTACGTCGCTCCGCTCTGCAACGTCAGACCTGCAGCCTCTTGTATGACATGTCTGGAGCTGAATGGCTCATTGGTCTCGAGGAAGCCGCTTGGGAACTGGAATCGCAGAGCAACGTGGGAATGAGTAACGAGCACTAGCTTCAGGCCGCTCTGCAAAAGATACTTACTGCCAGCGTCTCTGCAGCCTCAACGACAATAGTCAGATCTTTGATCTTCTCGCTGCTCTTGTGCTTCTCGGAGACTCGCAAGGAGATATTGAGAATCACTAGGGAGGAGATAGTCGAGGACACAGAAATGCATTGAGCCACGACTCTAGTTGGGTCAGGTGCCGAGGCAGGATCTACGTGAGCCGTTGTAGGATAGACGAAGACGTCGTTGGAAGAGGATGTGAGCTTTAGCTCCATCGCGTTGCGGGTTGATGTTGTGGATACGATAGGAGCAGGCTTCCGACAACACTCGGTCGTGAGTAATAAATCAGATGGTTGTTGGGGCAGAGGGACACGGCCCTTCTTAGGGGCAGGCCCAGATGTGCAGGCAGATGGACTTTGCGACGAGGTAGGAGGCAGAAGAGGGGATAGCACAATCAGGAGGAAGGTTACATTAGGAATACGACGACAGTGCAGCAACGCCCGGAATCCCAATCTCCAGCTTTCCGGCGGAAATGGTAAAACACGGCGGGGTAATCTTCTCGGCCACGGTATTACGTAATCGACGCCTTGGAATAGCTACAATCATCCTGCCACAGAGCCTCAGGCTACGCTGTCCACCCTGCCATCACTGCCAGACCTTGCCATAGAGCTTACTGACCATCAAATCATGGCCTGGGAAGACTTGTGCAGCAGTGGTTTTCTGCAATTTCTTGATACGCTGATTGCTTTCAAACCAGGCCTGGTAGTCACGCACCAGCCAGCCTGGAGGACTGCCATCGTAATTCTCCTGGATGTGAGCATGATCGTTTAGGAAGATCAGCGTACCGGTGTCCTGCAAGTTAACCTGAAGGCCACAGAGGCCAAGGCAGTGACCTGGGAGATGGTGAATTGTGAGACCTGGAGCAAAATCGTACGTCTGGCCAGTGAAGCACTTCCAATTCAGGCTCAATTGGAGGTAGTGAGCCATGTAGACTGCGCTATCTGCTTTCGTGGCTGCAGAATAGAAGGCGTTCTCAAGCTCAATCTTGTGCACCCAGATCTCCGTGTCTGTGCCGGTAAAGTAGGTGAGACCACCGGCGTCTGTAGGAAGGGAGGGAAGTCAAAGGCAAAGGAGGGCATTGCGTGAGCTTGAGTATGACCTTTCCGAAGGTGCGCCCGAGCTCAGGCCGGCATATGTCCTTCAAGAGCTAGCACCCGTATACCCACGATCGAGATGCAGATGACCCATGATGACCTTCTTGACATCCTTGATGTCGTAGCCAAGATTCTTGATGGCTGTGTCCAATTCATACTCTTCTCCCCCTTGCTCGGGTGCGAAGACATCAGCGACAGGACCCCAGGTCTCGACGATGTTGCGCCCACAGCCAGTATCCATCAGTATGAGGCCCTCGGAGGGATGGTCGATCAAAAGTGCGTACACTGCCAGCTCCCTTCTATCGGGCTGCGAAGGGCCCGAAGGATTCGACTTCAGCGAGCCATTGGCACCACGGATCAGCCAGCCGGTATCACACATCAGGGATCCCAGGTTGAGAGCCATGAGCTTGGTACCTGGAGGGCAGACATTGAGAACCTGGGACAGAATCACACCCGGCTTGACCTGGTGCTGATTGAGCTGCAGCGCGTGCGAGGAAGACATGTTCGTTCAGTGGTCGATGTTGGCGCCGACAGAGAGGATGGTAACACAGTCAAAGGGAGGAAGACATGCTTCCGTTGTCCACTAGGACCCTTTAGCCCTCCTCAGTGTGGCTCGGCATTGCGTTGGATCGGCAATGGAGGCTCTTGTGACCCAAAGAGCGAGGAGAGCGTCAGGCGACCTCGCTAAAGCTACTCCACAGTACTCCACGGTGATCCACATTGCCGCTCCTTCCGTTCCGACCCCACAAGTGTTAGTCCGGCAGGCGGGGCGGACCGAGCGCAACACTCCAGCCGGGTTTCACGGTTGCGTTATCGCGGCAGTGAGGCTCTTACCATAGCGCACAGTGGCACATCAGAGTAACGTCGTCCATCCCATCCCATCCCATCTCCCGCGTACCAGTAATAATCTTCACCTCAGCATCTCAACAACATCGGGGAGCACGTCTCCGTACCTTCGCTTTCATCATCCGGTCATATAGTCATACCTTTTCCTAGCTTGACGCACAATGTCGTCTGACGCAATCCCACACATTCCCAACCGCCTCCCCGTTCTGCCCCTGCCGTATCCCCTAATCCTTCATCCTTCCCTGCTCTTGTCCATTCCACTGTCCTATGCCCACTCTCTTTCACTCCTCAAGGCTGCTTTGCAGGCGACGGGCGCCAATCAGGCCACCTCTGAGAACCCGCCACCGATAGATGCAAGCAAGCCTATTCTGATCGCATGTGTCCCAACCCTCAAGGCGCCTTCGCCACCGTCTAAAGCGAACGCCGTCTCTGCCAGGGAAGGTCACAACAGCATCTCTGTCAATCAGCTGCATGAATGGGCTGTAGTAGTGAGTTCAGTTTGTGGGAGTGGCGATTAGCGTCCGGCAGTGAGCTCACCACATTCCCCCTCGATTCTTCCCTCCTCACAGGCTCGTCTCATGCGGCTGACCCGTCAGCCCTCGACCGAGACTTGCATCCTCACAATCAGTGGTCTCACAAGAGTGAGACTGGATCGCTGGCTCTCCATGAGAGCTCCTCTCACCTCGTCAGCTCTGGACTCGGACCGAAGTATCACGGTACCTGATGTCGCTGTTCCGCTAGCTAGTATCACCGCCTTTACAGATGGTCCTTGGCCTCCTACGCCAAGCAGCAAGGCAGATCGAGAGGCCGTACAGGCTCTCAAGGTGACAGCCATGGACTTGCTCGATGCTCTGTCTACGCTAGGGGCGAGTAGTTTACAAAAGGATTCACCTTCGGTCACAATGCCTGTCATGCCGCCGATGCTCATCCGCCGCATCCGCTCCTTTGTCAAGGATGCTCGTGACAACCAAGCGGCGCAATTGGCGGACGTCCTTGTGGGATCTCTCGGCGGAGCTTGCGAGTGGCAAGACCGCCTCAATCTGCTCTCCGAGTTCGATCCCAAGGAGCGAGTGAGGAGTGCTGCGAAGATGCTCTCGCTGGGAGCTGCGAGAGTTCGTCTTGCACGGGATCTCCTGACGTCCTTGGCCGCACCTCTCAACGATGCGTCTAAGGAGACTCTGATCCGTGGTCAGCTCGAGTCTCTGCTTACGCAACTCGCTGCATTGAATCCCAACATCACCGCCAAGATCACTACCAATTCGGGCACATTCTCAGTCAATGGCAGCAACAGTGATGGCAAGGGCAGCGGAGCCCCGAGTGGCATTGTTCGCATTCGCGCTCCTAGCTCCAAAGGCAGCACCCCTTCAGAGGGAGGTCCCAGGCCCCTTGCCAAGAGCGGTGGCAACCCATTCAAAGGTGGCGGCCCTCTCGGCGGCGGAGGCGGCAGGTCCGGCGGCGGTGGTGGGGGCAACGATGGTAGCGATGGTCAGGAGGAGGAAGAGGATGAGATTGCCGAGTTGACACGTAAGCTCGATGCAGCCCAGCTTACTCCAGAGGCTCGCAAGGTTTGCGATAGGGAGCTGAAGCGGCTGGGGAGGATCCCTCAACAAAGCGTCGAGCGTGGTGTGGTCATCTCTTATCTTGAGGTAATGGCTGAACTCCCATGGGACAAGGTCTCCTCTGACCTCGGAGAGGTGAAGGTCCCCGCAAGGAATACTCCTGCCGATTCTCGCCCTCAAGGCTCTGGCCATGAGACCCTCATTGAGTCTGCCCAACGAGATGGCGATAGCGCAGACGAGGGCATCGTCTCCCGAGCCCGTCGAATTCTAGACGAAGACCATTACGGCATGGAGAAAGTCAAGAAGCGACTGATCGAGTACTTGGCAGTGCTGGAGCTCAAGCAGATGCAGGCAATGGAGAAGGCAGAGGCCGAAGAGGCGACCACATCGTCGTCGTCTAACAGCATGCCTGAGCGCAAAGTCGACGACATGGCCAAGCTAGACATCGAGGGGTCTGCTGAGAGTGCGGAATCCACGCCCGGCCCCTCAGACTCTTCGGAGGCTGAGGCAGCATTGGAGAAGAAGCGCAGGATTCGTAAAGCCACGCCAAGGGACAAAGGTCCTATCCTGCTGCTGGTAGGCCCACCTGGTACAGGTAAGACGTCGATCGCAAGATCGCTCGCTACAGCACTTCGCCGACCATTCACCCGGCTCAGTCTGGGTGGTGTTCGAGACGAGGCCTCGCTTCGAGGTCATCGAAGGACCTACGTCGGTGCACTTCCCGGCGAGATCGTCTCGTCCCTACGCAAGGTGGGCGTCTCGGATCCCGTCTTGCTCCTCGATGAAGTTGACAAGCTAGGAAGCGGCAACGGTCTCCACGGAGATCCCAGTGCTGCTATGCTCGAGGTTCTGGACCCAGAGCAGAACCATTCGTTCCAGGACCATTACATCGGCTGCCCCATCGACCTCAGTCGTGTTCTCTTCATTGCCACCGCAAACACACTAGACACGATCAGTGCTCCTCTCCTCGACCGTACCGAGGTGATCCACATCTCTGGATACACGCACGATGAGAAGGTACACATCGCTCGCAACTATCTGATGCCGAAGCAGATCAAGGCACAAGGTCTGCAGCCCCAAGAGATCGACATCTCTGATGAGGTTCTCCTGAAGATCGCCACCTCGTACACGCGCGAAGCTGGAGTGAGAACTCTCGAAAGGTGCATATCTACTGTCATTCGAGGCAAAGCTGTCGAGTATGCCGAGCATCGCAAAGGTGGAAGGGATAGCTACGATCCAGTCATCAAGCTCGAAGATTTGCGTAGCTACCTCGGCATCGAGACGTACGAGCCAGAAGTTGCACAGCGCGAGGCAAGACCTGGAAATGCTACCGGCTTAGCCTACCAGGGCTCTGGATCGGGAGGCATCCTCTTCATTGAGACCCTCCTGCTGCCTCCTGGAACTGCGTCGCTGAAGCTTACAGGCTCTCTTGGTGATGTGATCCGCGAGTCAGCCACTCTGGCCTTCTCCTGGCTTCAGGCTCACGGATATCAGTTGGGCATCCTGCCCTCTCGCGATGCACCGTTCCCAAAGAACGATGTCCACCTGCACTTCCCAGCCGGCGCCATTCCAAAGGACGGTCCATCAGCGGGCGTGGCTATTCTTTGTGCTCTGGCCAGTCTCTTTACCCGCACCAGCATCGATCCCAAGATTGCCATGACGGGCGAGATTTCTCTACGAGGTCTTGTGCTACCCGTCGGCGGAATTCGCGAAAAGGTCATTGGAGCACACAGGGCTGGTATCAAGAAGATTCTGCTTCCCATACGCAACCGAGCCGACGTAGAGCAGGACATTCCGGCCAATGTCAAGGAAGAGGTGGAAATTCGCTTCATCTCCAATGTCTGGCAGGCGCTGGATCTGGCTCTCGGCAATGGCATCTTTGAGCATGTCAGTGGGTATCACGAGGGCATTGAGGAGGGGCGCAAGAGGATGGAGGAAGGAGGGGAGGGAGCTAGATTGTAGAGTATAGAAGAAAGGGAAGTTGACCAAGAAGTTTGTGATTGTACATCTGCCGTTGTAGAACTTGTCTCGTTGTTCCTTTTTTCTCTCGTCGATCTTGGTTGTCGACTGTATCGAATTCATAGCACCATTCAACCTCGTACTGCCCTCAGCCACTCGGCGCGTGGCGTGGCTCCGCTTCCAAGACAAACACGGAAAGAGGGACGGAAAGGGCGACGGACCAGCTTTGGTGATCATCCACGAACATTGACCATGCCCACACCCCTACCACAACACAACACATTAGAGATGGATCACTTTTAGTCTGAAGTAGATATGGCAGATCCGCAGAGATCATTGGGCCTGTCACGCTCAAAGAGCAGCACTGCCTCCTCCTCTTCCTCTTCTGCGAATGCTTCTTCCTCCTCCTCTTCGTCTTCCTCATCAAGCCGCGCCTATGCTCCTCCAGGTCCACCCAAGGCGGGCGAGAGGCGAGCAAAGACGCCTCTGAGGGCGAGGAAGATCATCAATGCCATGGAAAGAGGTTTCGAAAGGTGTAGGGAGAGGCAAGAGGAGGAGAAGAGGGAGAAGGCGAAGTTGTTGAGCGGCAGTGATGACAATGAAGAGGCAACGCCTTGCAAGGCGGATCAGTCAGAAAAAGCAACTGTGGACATCATGGAGAGCAGAGTGCCTCCGGGGAAGGATCAAACAAGACAGGCAGACACAGTAGATGATCAAAGACCTGCTAAAATGTTGAAGCGCTGCGATAGTCGGCGCAGCTACTCGAGCTCAAAGCCAAGGCAGGCGTACCTTACTTCAGCCTCTCCTGAAGCGCCTCTCACCTCCGACGAAGACGCAGAAATTGTGAAGGACAACGATGCTGCGTCTACATCCTCATCTTCATCATCCTCCTCGGAGACAAAGAGGAAAATATCATCCATTCCTCGAGTGCCTCTCTTCTCATCCGCCTCCAAACGTGAGATTCAGTCCCTCACGAGTCGTAAAGCCCTTCAAGACGAGAAGAACCCCATCACCCACTCAACCGTCGGTGCCGGCACGCTGCACTACAATTCCTCCAGCACCGGCCACCAAGTCGCGAATCGTGTGGGAGTAGCAAATACCAGTTCTCCAGAGGGATGGTGGCATACCCGTATGAGGAAATTGCGCGACCAGGCAGCAAGTGAGGAGAAGCAATCTGATATCTTCAAGGGCTTGAGCATCTACATTAACGGCTATGCTGGTACAAAGATTGGGAACAAGGAGCTCCAGCGTCTCCTCAGCCTCAATGGTGCCACTGTTCACTACCTCCCCTGTGGAAGCACCACGCACATCGTAAGCGAAATGACCCTCTCGGCCAAGAAGACGCAGGAGATGCTACAGCTCAAAGCCGGAAGGGTAAAGAAGTTCGTAAAGGTCGATTGGATACTAGACTCACTCCTGGCGGGGAAGAGAAGACCAGAACATCCTTATGCCCATGCAATTCCTGTACAGAGGGGAATTGCACAGATGCTGGGGAGTCACTCGAGTGGGAAGGCCACCACTCCAGGTGTGGCGGGGACGTCATCTTCATTGTCATCGTCAGCATCGTCGAGTGGTGATGGGGTCAAGGTGAGCAAGACTAGTATACATTTGCAAGACTGGAGAGAAGCAGCCAGGAGCGCTGCAGCGCTGGCTGCTGCTTCGAGTACCGAGAGGCAGAAGAGGTGCTCTTGACCGTCCGTGTCCGTACCAATATATACCACATCACATCTATAAGCTTCCTCGTTCTCTGGTGTGACCTGTGTACAATCGATCACATACGCTGTCAGAGCAAAGGAAAAGGTGACTGATTGTTTCATTGTCGAGAGAGCAAGGGCTCTTCGACGTAAGAGAGAGGCGAGTGACATGAAAGAAAGGGAATGAGAAAATTCTTACAGGGAATCGTGTGGGGCGATGTTGAACCCATTACACCTCTGCCTATCCGCTTCGGGTGGCCATCTAGTGCTTCTCCTCTAGGCGGCATGCGTACGCTGCCTCTTTGCCGCGCACTTTTTGCTCTCCCAAAGAGCCGTCCTCTTTCCCTTCCACTTGTAAGCCAATGCCAACCTTCCCTCGACCCAGAAGGAGTAGATCATATACCCAATAACCACAAACCAGTACGCAATGTACGCAAAGATGCTTCCGAATGTACCCGTGTTGTTCCATCCCACTAGTGAATTGAGGATTCCCCAACCGTTACCACCACTGCTCTCATTTGGATTGCAGCAGTCGATGTGCCAAATGTAGTTTGTGGCATCGTAGGATCCTGGACCGGAACCGCCCTCGGCTGCTGCATCCCCGACTTTGCGACCGTAGATGAAGTATTGGATACCCCAGACGGAGCGGGAGGCCATGCCTGCTGCGATGAGGAGCAAGAGGCAGGTGGAGAGGAGGAGGAAGCTGAAGGGCGGACAGAAGGGTGGGGATGAGAGGGTGGATGTCAGGAAGCTGCCATGAGAAGACTTCGCAGGGGGTCTCTGACTACTCACTACCTGATCTTGGAGAAGCCTCCAGCCTTGAAGATGATGAAGCCCATCGACAATCCTAGTGCGAGACCCACGATGGCGGCAAGGGGAATACTCGTAGCTGGGAGACCTAGGGAAACACCGCCGATGAAGACGACACCTTCGAGACCTTCACGTAGAGTAGTGATGAGCGGGATGGTGAAGAGGGTCGTTCGTCCTCGGTTGGCCTTGAGAAAGGGTGCCTTGACAGAAGCGACCATGCGTTGACGGAGCGATGGCTTGGGAGTGTTGACAGAATGGGAGAGACCACTGCCAACGCTACCCGACTGGGCGAGCTCGGCAACGTGCTGCTCATTGGGCGAAGAAGGGTCGCTGCTCTTCTTGTCCGTGCCGGTCTTGTCATCAGCCGAAGACGAATTGTGGCCAGTGGGGTCGACGCCGACGGCGTGGGCTGCAGCGCTAGAAGGGTCATCCTTTTCTTCCTGTTCGGTAAGCTTGCCGGCGAAGGCCTTTGCTAGCTTAGCGCGCCATTTGCCCCTGGAACGATCAGCACGTAGAAGAGCCAGGGCCATGGGTGTGATGAGGATCATGGCGACGAGGTTGAAGGCAGACTCCCATGCTTCGTCGGCCTTGGCGTACAAGTCGTTGGCCTGTGTATAGAAGATAGCGAGGAAAACGGCACCGATGGCCATTGCGATACCGAGACCGGTGGCTGCACCGAAGAGAATCATCTTGCGAAGCTTCTTGATCAGAACTTTACGCTCCTTGATACGTTCCTGGTCTTGCTCTAGATCCGCAGCGGCATGCTCAGAGACGTTGGCACCTTCTACTGTCGTCGAAGTTGCAGAGGAAGCACGGTCTGGGAGAAGGTCACGAGCTAGAGACTCCATCTGGGCCGGGCAGGGATCAAGAAAGGACTTCATCGTCAATCACCGCACGCGATTGGCGCCCTATCCTGTCTTTCTGTGTACTTTTGCGATGCTTACCATTCCCAGCAACGTTCCAATGATGAGAGAAGCCTCCATTGCTTCCCTGAAGGCGATGAAGAAGATGACCACCGAGAAGACATCGGTAGCTGAAGTCATGACGGGCGGGTGAGAGGGGGAGGGGGAGGATGAGGGAGAGGTGAGGATGGAAGGAGGGGCGCAAGGTGAGCAAGGAAGAAAGCGCGGGAGCAGTTTCTGGCGATATAAAGAGCATCGAGGACGGGTAGGAAGCGGGTGGCCCTACCAGTCGCTGTGGCTTGCACCTAGCGATGGAGTGGATCTTCGCCCTTCCCGCTCAAGGGGGGAAAAAGGGAAGCACCTCGGCTACTCCCGTCTACCCCTGCCTGCATCTCGCCTGTGCTTCTGCTTGTCCTCCCACTCACTATTGATGCCTGACATGGCTCCCCGTTTTCACCCTTGGGCGCTGCAACTCCGTCCTCTTCTTGCTTTCCTCGGGTCTTGTGCTGGTGTGCCTCGGCTGACTGGCTCCTTGCCTGATAAGATCTGATTAAACTGGCCGCCAGTCGGCTGCGTGCCCGCCTAGCCGATGGGAAGTTTGCAGCAGCTGGGCTTCAAGAGGCAAAAGGACGTGGCTGCTTCGTGGCTGCTTCGTGGCTGGTGTACTGGCGCGCTGCACAAAGACGGGGGGCGAGCAAGGGTCAGCCCAGCCCACCGGCTGACGGGAGAAACGCCGAGTGTCTAAGTTACCAAAGGGGGCAAGGAGTTGCAAGCGAAGGCTCAGAGTCTAGGCACACTCAAGGAAGAGGGGGAAAGATGGGAGGTGGTAGGTAGGAGCAGGCAGGATGAGATAAGAGAGGGAGAGAAAGCTCACAATGGCTACTGAGGCGGGCCATTGAGAAGGTCCCCCGCGTGCCTCGTATCAGATACACGACTTGAGCACTTTTTCGGTCTTGCGCGCCAGGAACAGAGGGGCGATTGCGGGAGTAGATACGAGTGGTAGTCCTCAGCATTGCGGTACACTGGCCTGGGCTGCCTGCCTGTCGTGTGTACCTGAGGTGCCACGCTCAATGCCCGCCCTTTCCTCCCTGCTTCTTCCGATCAGCGCCTGAGGCTGGCAGGCGGCGGCTGCCTCTGCTTCGCGCGTGGCTCCGTTCCGTTGCTCCCCCTGCCCTCGCTTGCGCGGCACGGACCCCCTCTCCCGCTTTCCGTCGGTGCTGTGCATGATGGCTGACGTCCTCCCAATGTCTCGAACGATGACCGATACTGAGACCTAGCACAGCGCGACGCGTACCGCGATCTACATCAATGCCTCTGCCTCTCCTCGAAACTCCTCCCCACCTTTCCTTCTTCCCCACAACTGCTACTGCTACCTACGACTCCCATAATGAATTATTCTACGGAAAGATCAATGTGGGCATCGTCCCGAGTCGCAGCTGCAAAGCAGGGGGCTGGCACCCTTAGCTCTCACGCAAACAGCCCTTCCTCCTCACTCAACTCTCATCCTGCTCGCGGCACTGCTGCCAGCAATTCCCGTACTCATCTCTCCGGCTCATCCACCTCAGCCTGGGCCTCGCCTGCATCGCAACCATCGTCTGCATTGCCTAACTTATCAATGCCTGCTGCGAATGGACAAGGTGCTGCATCTCGATCTTCTCCGTATTCCGCAAATGCCTCCAATGCCTCGCGATATGCCCCTGGTAACCGCCAGACCTCGAGCGCACATGGCACCTCTCTCCTAGAGGCACCAGCGCCAAGGCAAAGGGACCTCACCCGACAGCTGGGAGGCTCCCTGGACCCAATGTCCCTGATTGCCAGCCCCAGCCGAGGCATCCAGTCCGCCCACTCTACATCCCTCGGAGCATCCAGTGAACAGGACCTCACCAACCACCAGACCCAGGAGAACTTTAGAGGCTACGTCTCCCGCAGGATCGCAGCTCACTGCCAGAGATTCCCAACCCTGACTTTGGCCGAGATCGCTCGGAAGATCGCAGTGCCCGGAGATGCGGCCGAAGAAGCGGATGCCAAGAGGAGAGAAGAGATTGACATGGCCAGAGTGAGCCTAGAGGAGATCTTGCTGCTTGTGAGGAAGCTACGTGAGGGAGTCATGGCCAGCCATCGCATGGATGCTGCCACTATTGAGGGTGAGTACCTAGCAAGAGAAGTGGATGTGCTGCAGATGGCACGCAGCACTATACTGACGCAGACTTCCTTGCTCTTTTCCCCACAGTCTACCAGCTATCGCTGTTCCTTTCTGTGCACACACTTAATTCCGGACAACTCTCGTCCACCATCAATCGTCTCGTACTAGACTTATTCCCCAACATCCCCTGCAAATCATCTACCACATCCACCTGGCCCGGAAACGTATTCGCAGACTTCACCAGCACACCCGAGGGCAGCAAGGAAGACGCTTTTGTTGCTCAGCTGCGCCATTTTGCAGAGGACACCCCGGCCACACGAGCACACCACGCATCTCTGCTCCTCCTCTCACACACCTGCCTGGGCTCCGGTGGCAAGAGTGGCATGGGTGGCTTTGGCTCCGCCGGTGGACTGCAAGACAACTTCTTCACTCTAAAGCACAAGGTTCTCGCCGCTCTTGGTTTGTCCCTCGAGGATACGCCCAATGCAGACATTGTGTTTGCAGAGCAGGCAGATCGAGCACTCCGGACGGGAGATGTACTTCTCTTCCGCAAACTTCTTAGTCACAGACGTGCATCGGTCTGGCAGAAGTTGCTCCTGGAGCAGGCTGTACCCAAGATGAGGGCACAGGCTTGGACGCAGCTGAAGAAGGCGTACATGAGCGTGCCACTGCCGCTCTCCCTCTCGTCGCAGCAGCAAGATGGAGAACCCCAGGGAGAACAGTGGCTCGAGGAAGTCCTCTTGATCGACACACACCTGGTGCCCGTATCAAACGCTACCGCCAGCTCTTCAAAGACAGCTCCGCAGGCAGCTCCCACCAAAAAGAGCCAGACCAAAATCCTAGACTCCTGGGACGAAGCAGACCTCAGCCAGCTCGACCTCGCCTCTGCATCCGCACCTGCCACTCCTGCTCAAGAAGAAGAGAGGAGAACTCGCATCGCCCGTCTCGCTGGTGCCTTTACACATCACGCTCTACCTTCTTCACAGCAGCAGCAGCAGCAGCAGCAAGCAAGCAAAGGAGAGCATCACACCACTACCACCACCGCCACTCTTGCGCAAGCTCTAGCGCCTTGGAAGGAGAGGCTGGTCTTGACAAAAGAAGGGGAGAGGGTGTGCGCTATTAAACTGCGTTGAGTAGCGAGGAGCAGGCAGCTGTCGTTCAAACAGAAGAAAAGAGAAGAAGGGTGGTGCTCGCACATCCACCCACCATCCACACCATCCACACCATCCGTCCACCATCCACACCATCCACACCATCCACACCATCCACACCATCCACACCATCCACACCA